ATCTTTAACGGACTAAAACTATAAAACCCCTATTATAAAAATATTCTATTCAAATGTCTACTTAAAGTTTTTTTTTTAATTTGAACGAGACAGTTAACCAAACATATTTAAACATAGTATAATATACGTTAGTATGATTTTCTAGTATGCACTACTGACATAGGTTAGGTACTTAGGTACTGTGCTGTCTGTGCATGAAGTGACGAGTGCTTCACGCCAGTGAATGCGGTTTTCATCCACGTAAGATAGGGAGAAATTATAAGAGTGGTTAGACTGCGGTTACCCTGCGACCTACTTAAGGTGGTGTGGCATAGCAAGTCGAGGAATATTTTTGATTTTTTGTCCGAACGCAGAGCAGCGAGCGAATGGCAATGCGGACATCACTGACATCATTGGCATCATTGCTATATGTCGGTATACTTCCTGGCACGATTTAAGACAATATGGTTGCCCATCAACCACGATTAAAGATATACAAGTTTCATACCACTCTACAATAAACGGCTTTCAGATTGATTTACAAGGTGACTGCATTAAACAGCTGAAAAAATTAACCACTAGCGCTTGATGTCAACACTCAACCATATGTGTCGACATTTAGAACTAATTTTACACCTATATATTATCTAATATCAGTGAATTATAACACTGCCGCTTAGACTTAGAGCTCTACTGGTTAATTTTTGCTAGTCATTTCACGCTTGCCTTATCAGATGTCGATAGACAACCAGTATATTATATTTAATCGTGCTTTCAACTACGGTAAAATGATTAACGGATAAAATAAAGACTATGCAGACTACTTTTACCCTCCTAACACTGAATACCTAACATGGGCAGAACTAATATATGTATATAATAATAATTTAAATTGCTTAAACATATTAATTGTCATTTGATATTTTACAATGTTAATATAGTTTAATAATCAACTATAATTTTGCTTAATTTTCATAAAGGTACTTAATAAAAATATATTATTATTACACATTTTTGTTAACTGTATTATTTGTATTCTAGAATATTGTTCGTATTAAAACTATTGTAATTGTTTAATTAGAATCCAATCAGTGAATAACATTTATAAAAAATTGCATCATTTAAACATATAGGTACATAATAGAACTCATAGTACCATTTACCGATACCATTATGTCTATGATTTAAACAATGGCGCGAGTTACGAGTGTACGACACTAATTTGATCACATGAATCGCTGCTATAATAAAAAAAAGTTTGATTCACTTTCTTATAAGAAGTCGATGGGCAACCATACTATCTTAAATTGTGCTTCATGGTATTAACTACATTATCATTTTTCAATTATGAGCTGCGTATTCCTAATCTTACGCGGATGCCAATTGCATTCACTCCCGTAAAAGGCTCGTTTAACAAGTTTGAAAATCAAATATTAGGTAAGTTTATTTTACTTGTAACTGCATATTGTATTTCAAATCCATTATTGCTAAAATAATAGTCTGACTGGAATATCATCATGACACTCTCGTGAAACGTCATTGAATGTGGTACGTTAGTCCCGCAATACTTGCCAACGAAATAATGTTCTGTTTGATTGTAAAACACGCCTGCAGTGTTGTATATTGTTAAACTGTCAAAACGACATCCGCTGTCTGTTGCACATTCATAAAAAACATGAAAATTTGATTTTATCATGTAACTTTAAACATTGTTAGTTAATTGATAACATATTATGGCTGGATGGCAACCAAACAATAACAATAAGATGAAATTAATGTCCCGACGTTTTAATTTCATGTTACAGTACGTAAAGTTTTTCAACCCCACCAACCGATAAATGAATGCCATTACTACGTTATGATACAGGCAACCAAAATAAAAAAATACAACCGAAAAATCCTGACATAATTTTGTTTTTCCTAATCGGATTTTTCCTAAGGTTGCCTTTAACAACTAGTGATGATTATTATAATTACTTATAAGTTATTACTTATTAGTACAATTATTATGCATTACAATAGCAACTACGTTGATACATTTTTTTTTTTACTTATAACTTTAATAATATAATTTTTATATTTCCATGCTTTCCGAGCAGTGAAGAAAATACAATGGAATCTAGGTAATTTGAAGTCTCAAGGGATCAAAAAAAAATATTCAACATATTGAAATTTTGAGTTACAGAGGTAATTTAAAATTATATCTAAATGAATCGGGACTGAAAAAAATTCTATGTACCTACTGAAACTTTGAAATAGTTACGCCTTAACGGATTCCGAGGTCCCACTGTATATTATGTGGCATGCTACATATTTTGTACACATTCTATTTTATGTATACTATTATCATTGATTATAAATACTATAGATTGTTCACTGGCCCGTATTTAAGTGGCGTGAAAAATGGTTACTTATAAGTTCTGGGTAACTTTTTTTTAACTGAGTTAAGTTAGTTTTATTTTCTATCTTAACTTTAACTTATCTAGTAACATTTTTTTTGTTAACTTTTAACTTAACCGAAGACAATTTAATTAATTAACTTAGCTTACCACAATTAATTATTTTCATTACCTTGCCCACCTTTGATTATATTCATCACCTACCCAGACACTCAAAATCTACACTCTCTTCAAGTTAAAAAGCGTAGTCGGTGGCAACCAGTTTTCGTCGAGCCATAGTCAGGCAACACGTGTTTCTCATCCCTACCCAGTCAATTATCTGTATACCTGCCATGTAGTATTGCTACGCCCCTGCGCATGAGTCTGACGCCAACTATTTTTCTTAACTTGAATAGAGTATAATATTATAATATAGCATAAGGTTAATCGAGTCCCGAGGTTTTTTAAAAAATATGAAAATAGTATAAATAGATAAGAAATATTATTGCAAGAAATTATAATATTCATTAATAAGTTACCTTCCAGTTCGAACGAGTTAAAAGTCAATTTTATTTCCTCTCCGGGGGCTGATATTGTATAGTTGCATACTATGTTGTTCGGATAATGTTTTGGATAGTTTGGGGAAATAATTTTTCCAGAACTTTCAGTAAAAACTCCACCACATGTACTAGTCCACCTCGCCTAAATAATAAGATATTTATTTAGAAAATATTTATTTTTAATTATTTTCATTTATAGTTATTCTAAAAATGTAATAAAGACATAGACTTGCTTTAAAGCCATCGCCTTGTATAGCACTATCAGTTCGTAGACGAATTTTGAGTTTTGTTTCAGACGAGTTAAACTGTGGTGGAATTTGACGACCACATAATCGACTTCCAAGTGGCATCCAATTATTATTAATTAAATTAAACACCTAAATTATCATAAATATTTTTTTTACTTTTTCAAAAATTCAAACATATTTTTTACCTATAAGGTGGTGTTAAAAACGTTTTGCTTTAAATTAGATTTTCTTTTAAATTAATGAATATATAGTATACACAGATAAAACATACATAAATATAGATATAAGCAATAAAATATATATTCCTATTCAGTATACACGTCATAATGTCTTACCTGTATATAGTCTTTAGTACAATTTACACTTTGTTCCAGATTGAAACGTTCTACAAATTGCAAGCCAACGTTGTTGCCTGGCAATACCGCTATAATCCACTCGCACTCTTCGTTATTTGGATATAAGTTTGGATAATTTCTACTAGATATTTCGCCTTCTTCCGCTGCATACATATTTCCACAGCCATTTTGTCGGGACTCTAAAGTTAAATTGAATCCTTTCCTGTTACTTTTTCCATTCTCAGATGAAAATACTACCCATAGTTTGTTTGATGTAGCTACTAAATTTTCTGGCAAAATGTTACCACAGTATTTACCCAATACAGGACTTTCAGGACCTGGCCCATCGTGTAACATAACATAGTTATTATCACACGATGAGTCGAGGTCAATATCATTAAAACGTACCTAAAGAAAAAAAATTTATTTAATTTTTAATTTTTATCTAAGTTTATTATGTTGTATGTTTATTTTTATTATTATATATATTATTATAAATAACATTTTAATGAAATAATTATACTTAAAAAAATGTAAATTAAAATATTACAAACAAATCTGTTTTATAGTAAAAAACCAAATATTTCAGTTATTTAAAACATTACGTTATTGAAAACACTTTGAAACAGTTGAACAAATTATTTTGTTGCTGTAGCGCAGAGGTTCCCAAAGTTGTCTATATCGACATCCTGGGTTCGATTCTTACCTATAAGGGGTCTATGTCAATGAAAATTAAAAATTGAGGGTGCATCATGTGTAAATAGGGGTCCACGAAAGTTATAAGTCGAAAATGCTTGTCGTAATTTTTACTAAAAAATGAATGTATATACATATATATTTATTTAATAATATGTGTGTGACGATGCGAATTATTATAACGAACATTGTCGATAACGACTAACGAAGCCGAAGGTGAATATCAGAATGTCAAGATAAAATCAAAATATTACACATTACAATTTACAGTTGATACTTGATTACGTTTATTTTTAGGTCTCACTAATAAGTACGATAAACATGATATAGGTCAAATGATATAGGTTGGAATATAATATATTACTGTGCGTTTAGTAATATTTAGTTCATTCGTTTTTAATTTAAATATTTTTATTTAATATTTGAATTATTTGAATATTGTCATTATTAAAGAAATAAAGGTATTATTATTAAAAACAACACTTTTTTATTTTAAAAAAATGCACTCCATATTAAAGCCTATTCAGGGGAGCAGTTCCGCATGTAAGCACTGTAAGCTATAAAAAACATCTAGATAAATTTGTAAAAATTTAATTTTAGGGGTCTACGAAAATGGAAAAAGTTGACAAGTGGTCTACCGGGAACCTCTGCTGTAAGCATAACTAATCCGACCTAACAAATGAACTCTTAAAGATGATTAAGCTTGAAAGTTTAATCTGTAGAATATTGTAGTTATTTTAAACTTTGAAACATACATAAGTAGATTATCATAAGATTTTATTCATCGTCGGTGTTTATACTTACATCGACGTTATTACCTTCAGGAAGTTTTAAATACCAGGCACATTTTAAATTTTGCCCATAATTTTTAGGATAATTAGTACTAGTTATTGTTATTTTCTGACCATTCATCACTCCGCCACACGAATTAACGTTATACTCAATTATTGCTGTGAAGTTAATTTTCCTTGAGTTTGTCAGCACCTAAAATATGAATTCATTATGCATTGTCAATTCATGCATACGTTTTTCTTGAATTCAATTTTTAACGCATTACCAAAAGCTTAACCATGGGCGTTGGACTTAGAATTGTAAACTTGTCGTTCGTATTCGACATTGGACAATACCTTTTTAATAATTCAGTGTCATCTTCTAAATAATAATTAGAATTTAGAGTTTACATTTTTAAGACATCTGAAGGTTTATAATAATACAATATATATCTACCATAAGTGGCCAATAAAACATGATTATTTTCATCTCGGCAGGATATCTGGCTTTCATTGACGTTGAAATTTGTAGATATTACAATCGTTCCGTTAGTGTTTGTAAAATCCCATTGGCAATAACCCTTGGTCATATTTATAATAGGAAATTCTATATTGCCTTTAATGCTGGCATCTGTTATTCCTCCACAAACTATAACATTTATAAAAATGTAACTGTATCATTTATTATCTGCAGCGTTATATTTGTAGAAAATAATAAATAATTGTATTGTATCAATTATCTGAAAGTCCGTTATTCATAGTTTGCTAATATAAAATACCAACCGTATCACTGGACTTCAACCAGAAAAAAATGAACACACCTAAAATGTGGTGTTATCGGCGTATCTCGATTACAGATTAAGTTATAAAAACAATAATTATGTTTAAATAATCATTATAGTAATGTAAAAGCTATACCTAATTTTTTTCGAAAACGCAATTTATATACTTCAGCTAGTATAGTAGTACAAAAATAACGTAATCGGAGTTTTATATACAATATTTAATATTAAAACTATTTATATTAATTTGTAATATGTAATATCAGCTAGCCTTTATTTACGACTGAGTGCGTAAACGACTATATAATTATCTATGCATGTACTATGTACATCCCTCGCAAACAACAGACATTAAAGGTATATTTTAAACATAAAAACGGATAACAGTTCAGTTACTGAAATGACGTATAAAATCACCGAAAAGCTTCTTTAAATATAGAATTTGCATTTTCTTAATTAAAAATGAAATTTAAAATAATATATCACTCTAATGAGTATTTGTTAAAACTTTGTGAAAATAAACTGGAAAAAAAGTTCAAGTGTCATCAGAAAATTGGAACATAAAAAATGTCTGTTTTTTTAAGGATATATTTTAAACATAAAACATATTAGGTACATTTAAATATTTAAAAAATATAAGGTAAGTTCTAACTTTCGCAGAAATTATCTAATTGTTGGCGTTTAAATTAATATGAATAGGTATGTAAATAAACAATAAAATAGATTTAAAATCGTATATTATATTGGTTACAGACAGAATTTGTTTACTACTAGAAACGTTGGAATTCAAAACACATAATTTCATATTTTCCGTAAATCATTAAGAGGACGTCACACCCGCATGTATTGTCTCCGTCTTACACACATAAATAAGACATAGAAAAAACGCGTTTACGTAGAACTCACTCAATGTTGGTGTTAGAACAAAAACACATACTACAAAATTAAAAGATGATAATATTTTAGAGGGCAAGACGTTGAGTTTTAAAAAAAAAAAAAATTATATTTTAAAAAAGTAATGGTATTTTTAAACTGCTAAAATGTTTGATATTTCTAATTACGCTTGTAGGACGGAGACAACACATGCGGATGTGACGTCATTTTAATACATTATTCGTCGTAGTTTAGGTAGGTTAAGACTACAGAAAATGTCAACTTACCGGAAGGTTTGTTCGATGAAAATTTTAATCGAAAACCATTTAGACCGTCTTTTTTGTAACCTTTTTCATAAACCAGCATCATCTCGTTTGAAATTGATTCGTACATATAGTTCAATGTTGTAGGGTTAAGAACAGGCTCAATGCATACAAAAATCCGATCATTCATAATATTTATCTTTTGATAAGCCTATGGACATTCAACAGAGTGGAAATTAGTGATGTTACTAATACCTAGAAATTCACTGTTTTTAATTCAAATACCTACATAATACAAAGGTTGACGTTTTAATTTTTAAATATATAACTATGTACCTAGGTAAAATGTATTATATATGATTGAAAATCGTTATTTATATTTACTTTGAGTTTTTCTTTAAACCTATTCCCCGCTAGATAACTATTTTCACAAGGTTGAATGATCGATTTTCCTTCGTTTATTTCTACAGTAATTCTACGTCCCATGGGTACCTTAATATTATAAGAGCAATGCGTTATTTCGCTATTGAAACTGGTATGGGGTGAACTGTTTATTTCACCACTTTCAACATCGTAATTCTTCATACAATCTTTGAACAAAACAGAATGGTTAATATATGCAATCAACATGTTTATAAAATTGTGTTCTAATAGTATATAACATTGAGTTTAATATACCTAAAGACTCAATACAGTTAAAAATTATTTGTAAATACAAAAACTAATATTTTGATACCTTTCGATAAAATCAAAACTTAACCCTGAAGCTCATTTTACATCATTTACTTTTATAATTAGCGTAAATGGAGTATCAATATCCTATGTAATTATGAATTAAATTACCAATATAGTCAGTCGTATATGACATTAAAAATTTAGCTTGTGTGTTGTTCATACGAAATGGTCCGTTTATAAAATGTGATTTGAATTTAATAATTAATTCTTTACCAGATGATCTGATGTCATATAATGGTGGATCTGAACCAACGATTGTTGATATCTTCACCCCTAGAAAAAATACAATGTATAAAAATCAAATTGTAATCAAAATATTATAATTATGTATTTTAAATATTTTTTAATTGGCATAGAAACAATTGTATGAGGAAGTGTTTAATTTTCAAACTATTTAACCGAATAAAAATTATTTTTGAAATAAAAAAAAAAATTTTAAAAGAAAAATTACTAAATAAAATCCAAAATGTCAAATGATTAAAAATAGCTCAAAAAGTGGTAAAATATTTTAAGAATGTTATAATTTAGAAGAAATGCTCATATAAATATTTGATGAAAATGTTAAGGGGATTCGATCCAGCGTATTTATTTCATGATTTAGACCTAAAAGCCTGACAAAAATACGCCTACTTAGAATTATCAGATTTCAATTCTGTAAAAAGATTCGAGTTCATTGACAATTTTCCTAGGTTATTGTGGGAATCAATTTTCGATATTTTTTTTAGAATTCACGTTAAATCATACTTCGATTTCTCAATTTTTTGAAAATTGTTTGTGTCTTTCTTTAAAAAGTTAAACAGTTATTCAAAAATCGACTCCCACAATAACCTAGAAAAAAGAACGATGAATTCAAATATGTTTACAGAACTAAAATCCGATCATTCTAAGTTATCGTATTTTTGTCAGGCTTTTAGGTCTCAATTGATTGAAATTAGTTTCTCGTTGGAACAAATATTTTATTATGTGACATGTGCATGCGGGTGCGAACCACTGATTCCTAACGTATCTACACACACTAATGATCATTTACTTCTCACACAAACACACTGCGAAACGATTATAATACATCGAATTGCCTATACACGACCCCTTATTAAATCACCGGATCGAATCCCCTTAAGGGGCGTCGCAATGGCATTGATTTAAGGAGAATCATTTAGGCAATTTCTAATCTCGTCGTCGCCACCCGAGATCTATGTGTTAGTCGTAAATGATTATTAGTGTGTGTGGCGTCCATGCGGGTCAATTGTAGTGGTGCGGAGGGCTCTCGCACGCACTCGCACACACATGTCAATATATAATAATATTGTGATCATGAAAAAATGCTTATTAGTTATTTTTCACTTAAACATACGATTCTAATTCCAACAGTACGTCGCAACGGTTACCTCGATTTTAATTCTGACAAAATATTCTTATTTTCCACAACATGTACGAGGGATCGATCGAGGCACATTTTTAAAATTGTATTCAGTTAATTAAATATTTAAGTTGGAAATCCTGTATTTTTTTTTGATTTTTTTTAAATTTTTATTGCAATTTAAATTACAAAAATTAAAAATGTTGCCCGATCGTTCCCTTGTATATATTACGGACAATCAGAATATAATGAAAATCGTGATAATTGTCGACACGTATCGTTGGAATTAGAAACAGTAGTTTTTGACAAAAAAAAAAGACTTGGTAGTGAGGCCCCTTAAGTATCTTTTTGTATTTAACTAATATTATATTGAAAAAAATAATTGGAATATTCTACTTTGACCTCTCAAAATAGTAACTATAGATCAAATTTTCTATCAATAACCACTCTCTAACATTAAAACGAAAGCGATTTTTCTAGTACTTTTCGTGTGACAGACACGAAAAAAAAAACAGATCATTATAAAATCAATTCATTCAAGGTTTCACTTAGAATTTAAAATTTAGACTTTACTTGTTTTGTTGAGTGGGTCCACATCGAATATGGTTAAAGTATCGTCATAAGTTTCGTTGTTTACAGTATTTTCGACTATTCCGATGACTGGATATCGGCGTTTTAGTCTCACCATCTCAAATTTCAACTTAACTCGCATACCTGGTCCAGCAATAATTTTATACTCACAATCCATGTTTGCCTCATATGAGCCGGGATAATTAGGTGACAAAATTAAACCCTGAGTTGCCCGTCGAGTGCCACCGCATTTCGCTGTTAGAAAACAAAATATTTTATGAACTCCAGATGTAAATTTTTATTTTAAAACTATTTTTTTATGTTAAATGTGAGCATATTGTTACACAACAAATCCGAAAATGTTGTAATACAAGAATTATTACAAAAAAAAAAATTGTGCTTTAAATATGTAGCTTTACAAATGTCACAAATTAACCTTTATGAATTGTTAATTCTTTTTTAAGCTAAACATTTTCACGATGGTTATGTCCAAATTTTATAAAACTATTGAAACTTAATTCTTCGATAAATTGTAATTTAATATAAGAAAAAAGGACAACATTAAAACGATTTAAATATCTAAGTAATGGTGCTTAAAATAGTATGAATAATCACCTAAGTTTAATAAAAAAATTAAATAGTAGTTACCTATAGTAACATTCAATTTAAAACCATTGCTGGGTATGTTTAAATCCGTGAAATACTTGATGAATAAAAATCTGTCTGTAGTTTCGGTATCCCGAATGAATGTATCGTGACAAATACGACTTAATAATCGTGAAAATCGAGCTGCGCCATCTCTGAATTCCAAGTATTCTGTTTCACATCTATATTTTTATACACCGAATTAGAATTATAATATGTTATAATTAATTTATAAATAATAAATATAATAATTAATTGATTGGAAAAAATGTAGTTTAAATGATAACCAATCTTACCCAAAGTTAATATTTCACTTGACTAAATTAATAAATTTATTAAATGCAAATAATAACGGGTAATGGATGTCGTTTAGGCTGTAGGTCACAAGTGCGGGTCACTGTAATGGCCAATGGGTGGTGTTAAATTTGAATTCAATGATATAATATTATCATTGTATACGAAAAACGATCTGAGTAGAGACGGTTTATCAAGGATATTGTGTATTATATTGGTATTATTATTATTATCCATTAATAATATTTAAGTATATCAAGAATTTTGCTTTTGGCTGTGTTATAAATGACTGCACTGTATTCCAATTTTGATAGTATAGTTGCTTTGTATATAGTTATGAGGCTATTTTTTTCTGAGCCCCAAGATTGGTGAGATAAGATTTTCATAATTTTCATACTGTTGTTTGCAATAATTTTTAGGTTTTTAAGGTGTGGGTTTCAATTTCATTTATGGTCAAATGTTATACCTAGTATTTTAATTTTGTCTGTATATGCTAGGGTATTGTTTTATAAGGTTGATATAGTATAAGTTGTCATTACGCTTTTTATGAAAGATGATATTTTGGGTTTTGGATGGTGAGAAATTGAAACCTGTTGTGGCTGACCATTTGAGGAGCTCATTCAGGGCTTGTTCGATGAATTCAACTGTTGTTTGTATGTTTGTGCCTCTGCAAAGAATGTTACAATCATCCGCAAAGATGGTATATTTTATAGGAGGAGGGATTTTGTTAAATATGTTATTTATCGCAACCAGGGAAAGGGTGACACTGATGACTGAGCCCTGAGGGACTCTATTTTCGGTAGTATGAGTGGTTGATAATGTTTCATCAATTTTAGTTTGAAATGATCTGTCCTGTAAGAAATTGGTAATGAATTTAGTCATCTTTCCTGTAATGTTCCATTCGCGTAGGATAAGGAGTACTCTTTGCCTCCAGACCATATCATATTTTGACATTTTGTTAAGTCGAGCGCTACAAGGATTGTGTGTTGTTTTATTTTGGCAGCGTTACATTTATGCGATTGAATATTGGATAAGGCATTGAAGGTGGAGTGGTTTTTCCGAAATCTACATTGCTCTTTATTGAATTTTTCGGAGACTTCTAGGTACCATATGAGTCTTGAGTTGATTATTTTTTCGAGCACTTTGCATAGTGTACTTATAAGAGAGATGGACGGTAGTTTTCTATGTAGAATTTGTTCTTATTTGGTTTGGGTATTGGTATGATAATTGCTTTACGCCATTGGTTGGGGAAGAAACCGTATTCCCATTTTATGTTGTAGATTAGAAGAAGTTTTTGTTAAGCGAAAGGAGAAAGATGATGTAGAAAGATATAAGGGATGTCATCGGGTCCAGGGCTTTTGCTTTTGCACTTCAGAAGAGCCTGGTCAAGTTCATCCATATTGATAATTGAGTTGTATGGAGCTTCGCTGTGTTGTGGTAGGTGGTCTATGACTGATGAGTTCTCGACTTCACTTTTGTATTTAAGGAAGGATTCTGTGTGATTTTGGTTACTATTGTTTGTTTTAAATAGGTCGGCAAAGGCTTGGGCGATGTCCAGATTGGTTTTGATATATTCATCTTTATATTTCATAATGTTGGGTATCGAGTTAAATTTAATTACTTTGAATATTTTGATTTTGTTCCACATGGTTGTAGCTGAGGTATGTTGATTGATTGTGGAGACGAATGCTTTTCAGGCTACACATTTGCTATTTTTGGTAATGAACCTTGATTCCGCCCTAGATTTTTTAACTGCTATGTGATCTGACAGAGATTTTGTTTTTTTAAAACGGTTTAGTTTTTTTTTGTAATTTTTAATAGCTTCTTTGCATGCGGGATTCTACCACGGTGCAGTTTTAGCGACTTAAGAACGGGAAGACTTTCCTATGGAAATGTATGCTGCGGTTATGATAATATTGGTGATAGAGGACACTATTGATTCGATTTTGTTTTGGTCTATTTCTAATTCGTCAGATTTTTTTGGTCCAGTCTTGATTTTCCAAGTGGTGATCAACCAACTCAGTGAAGAGGTTCCAGTTGGCTTTGGTAAGTTTCCATCGTTTGATTGGTTCGTCAGGTGTGGATTGGTTCGTCAGGTGTGGATTGGTTGAAAATGTTGAGGTGGATTGGCCAATGGTCACTTCCGTTATATTCAGTTAGTACTTTCCAGTCGACTTGAGGAGCTATATTGGTGCTGGATATTGTTAGGTCGATGGCTGATAGAGAACAGTTTGTGGAGTTGTGTCTTGTTGGGTCACCGTTATTTAATAATATCAGTGAAGGATCTTCTAATAATTTTTCAATCGTTTTTCCATGAATGTCGGTTTGATATGATCCCTATATGATGTTTCTGCTGTTGAAGTCGCCCAGGATTAAGAAAGGTTTAGGGAGTTGTGTTATTATTGAGTTTAGATCGTGGAGAGAAAAAGGGGTGCTGTCAGGGATATATACATTGCAAATAGTTATAGTTGTCTTGAGAATGACCTGAATTGCTATTACTTCTAAAGTTGAGTTGACATATATTTCTTTGCTGTTGATGCTATTTTTGATATATGTTGCAACTCCACCACTAGCTCTGATTGCTTCAGGGTGGTTTTTATTGAATCCGGTGTATCCGTTGATTTTGTCTAAATGTAGGTTTTTGAAATTTGTTTCTTGTAGGCAGACAATGTCAGGATTTTGTTCATATTTAATACGGTTTATATCTGTGTTGTATTTGTAATTTCAATGTTTTATACATTTTTAAATTTGTGAAATGTTGTGAATATCGAACCTCAAATGCTTATCAAAAAAAAAAAAAAAAAATTGTGCATATATATTTGTAATATATATAATATTTAAACTTAAAATAAAATAAGAGACAACTAATGACTAATTCAAATATCATTAGGCAGATAGGTATAACACAGCAGTAGCGTAGACAGGATTTTTTTCGGGGGGCGGGGTTTGATCAACTTTTACACTTTTACAGATTAAATACGTATTAGCACAGATATATAGCTGAACGGTGTTAATACATAATATACTATATAGTTCATTTTTGAAGTTAATTTTTGAGCGACTTTCATAGACTTTCATAGACTTTCATAGAAATAATTTTTAAATTTTCTTAACATTTCAGGGGGGGGGGGAGGGCTACCCCACTGTAGTAGCACGATCTTACACGGAAACTCTCAAACCACATAATTTCACACGACTCCCAGATACGTGAACACACACACACACACACACATACACATACACACACATACACACACACACACACACATACACATACACATACAAATAAACCTACTGCGACACATTGTAGAGCACCGACGTCTTAGCGGGGGTAATTGAACTGTCATTTCTCCGAATTACACAGGCAACCGGTTAGCCAGACGCGTCCCTTGCCCGTTGAAGCAGGTCATCAACCACCCGTATTCACCGTACATTACGTGTCGTCTTATTATACAGTATTTAATATAATACACACGTATCACACTAAAAGCTATTACCTTCCGCTACCGAGAATTTCTCCTTACTACATGTTTTTAATATTTTTCAACTGCATAAGTAACAATAGGTATCCGGAGCCTTATATTAAATTTTAACGCTTTTTTCCCAACAAATAAAATTTCATTGACAATTATAGAAAAAATAACTAAAAAAATAGAAAATTGAAAATGCCCTTAAAAGGGTCAAAATATTTTGAAAATTTTATCAAGTATAGAAATTGATAAAATAAACATAATATGGTGGAAATTTCAAGTATCTACAGTTATTCGTTTTTGAATTACAACAAAATAAAAAAATAAAAAACTCATGAGAATTCTTGTATTAAATTTTCAAATCTAAGATCTAAAAATAAAATTTTTTTGAGTTTCTGACTCAAAATAATTTGCACATTTTTGTGATTTTTACGTATTTTATCAATATTTTAACTCTAAATACTTGTAAAAATAATTGTGATTAAATATTTTTAATATTTTTCAACTGTAATTGTAATAATAAATTTGGAGCTTTGACCCAACAAATACAATTTTGTTGACATTTATAAGAAAAAACTAAAAAAATTGGAAACTGAATATGTCCGTAAACAACTCAAAAAAAGTCAAAATATTTTGAAAATATATCATGTATAGAACATGCTCATATAAACATTCAGCGAAAATGTCATATATCTACTGTCATTTGTTTTAGAGTTACACCATAAACCAAAATAAATTCCCGTTATCTTATATTTTTTTTTTCGGCGCTTTTGAAAACTACTGGGAATTTTAAATTTTGGTCTTCCGATGCACTAACAAGAGTCACATTTGCATCGAACAAAATAATGAAGTTAAAAATCGATGTATTACTTCGATTACTGAACGTGTAGACAGACCAAAAAAAAAAATGTTTAAAAAATAAAAAATAAAAATCCATGTCAAAACGTACTACATTCATAGCTCCGCTCAGAATCTAAAAGCACATATTTTACGGTATATTATCATACGCTCAATGCTGCCAATAGTTATATATAATCAAAAATGTAAAATAACATTATAAAATGTAATCGAAAAATTATAAATTCTTAAATTACAATGTTTTATTATCTTGTAATAAGTTTTTCATAAGATACATAATTATGTATAATTTTAGTCGTATAGAATAAACCTTATTTTTGCCAGTAATTACTACTAATTAGCATCGATACATTTATAGAAAAAAAATAATATGAACTGTAGGATTTACTTACTTATCGCTATCAGATAAATCTATGTCTTCAATGGTTATAGATATCCGTTCGGTTGACGGTGCAGCTACCGTCCATATGCATTCTATGTGAGCTGGAGGTATATTTGGATATGAAGGAGATGTGATTTGTGTAGTACTGTATGCATCATTCAAATAAATTTGTCCACCACAGTTTATTGAAATTTCTTCAAATGCTATTTTGATCTAATTTGAGAGGTTATCAGGTTGGTAAGTTTTAAACAAAATAATATTCGTGCATTCAGTAAATATTTAAGGAAAACAATGCATTTAAGAAAATTTTATAATTATACTAATTATTTAGATACATAGTATAATATTTAATGTTATTGGTTATTATAGATGTTCAAGGTTGCACTATTTACTCAATTAATTGTAACTGGATACAAATTACAAGTTAATACAAAACTATGTAACTAGTTTCAAGTTATTAGATACTTTTATGTTGAGTAACTAGATATAAGTTATAAAAGTAACTGAGTTATATAATTTAGTTACAATGTTACATGTTACTATGATATGCCCAATCCTGTAAATGTTATACAGTATACACTATTAAACTTACTACATTGTCTCCATCAACTAGTACAGCATTGATTTGTAACTTATTATCGGTAGTAGATAATGTTGATTCATTAGATTCATTGCAGTATTTTCCTTTGCCGATAAAAGATGAATCCTCGTAAAATCCACTTTTCAACTAAAAGATTGTGTAAAGGATTAAAAATGAATACATTATATTACTGTCTAGAAATAAAAAAATGTGTTTAACGACAAATTTCCCAATAATGTATACAGTTTTATCTTCTTAAAAATAGGAAAACAAATAATATTTGTCATATTTCCAATATCTATATATAGTGTATTGTGAGCGCAAATGCTTGTATGATGTCTTAAAAAAAGACAAAGCCAATATTTATGAACACAGCTCGAAATTAAAAGAATGGCGTAGAAGAAGAATTCGGAATTCAATTTCAAAATCAACCTGTCTATATAATATGCACCTACTTACCAAAATATAACCATCTACACATAGACTGTATGAAGACAATTTTATGGTTATAAGTTTCACTAAAATTGTTCTCCCCGGTCGTACGGTGATATTCCATGTGCATCGAAGTTGATACGAGTCAAAGAAACTTGATGCATTAGATAAACTAATGACTCCTGTTGGTCCTCGCAATTGACCTCCACATTCTATTATAACATAGAAAAGTTAGGAACAATTACCTCGGCTCTTACATATAAAATACAATTGATGTAGATAATTTAACATACTTAATTTTGCTTTAACTTTAAATCCTGTACCATTTAATGACTTGTTTGAAATGAACGTTAATATTACTTTATTCTTTCCGATTATACTTTTATCATTTATTAGTTTTGGAGTTGCATACACTGTTTTCAACAGTACTGTATTTGCCGTGTCAGGATCAACTAAAACGTATTCATATCAACTATATACATAATATTATAATTGATTTAATAACAATTTATATTTATAAAAAGTCAACATTTTAGTTACAAAAGAATAAAAAAATTCTGTTTATATTCAGCAGTCAAGGCCTAGTCTGTAGAGTAAAATAATAAGTTTTTAAACATTCCAAGTATGGTATGTTATTCGATGTTGTATGTAGATCAAAGAAGCTGGAAGAAATATTCTTTTATAACTTTTTATGTGTTTTAATGTACTTACCGCATATGTCTTATATGAATGACAAAAAGCGGCAGTAAGTACGCTTTTATTTGTAGTTAATGCTAAATGCCTTCTGATATCATTGTCATATGTGTTATTAAATATTTATGGATGTGTTTTACAATTTTAGATATATAAATAGGTTGTAATCACACTTACATTTTAATATAGGATTGACTCAAATATAGGTGAAGTATCATCTAATTCAAATATATAAAATTCTAAAAGAAAACTTTATGGTCACACAAAACCCACGTATTAATTAAATTAAACTTTTTTTAATGGAGAATATATTGTTCCTTATCAAGTAACCTACAAAATCGTAAAAATATTAGTTCTATTTCGAATGTTAAATTCAAGCCAACTTTGTTGGACATACTGTTGTGTACATACAATGATATTTCCATGAAAAAAAATAAGCAACTCCAGATCACTTACAGCTTTTTATTCTAGTATTTGAACGTCATGCTTATTTATTTGGATCTTAATGAATTTATGTACATACTGCCTTCATTGTTATGTCCTTGTCTATTTATTTGAAGTTTGAATGATAAAAAATTAAAATATTATCTATCAACACCAAAAAATCGATTTTGATGAAATAAAATTATTGCTCAGTGTTTTATAACAGCAATATTAATATTCATAGAAAATGTTATTTAGATAATACCTTTCTAAGATGAATACAAACAATAAATAAGTTCCCACGATAATCAATTAACTTAAAACAAAAATAAAGTAGGTAATAAAACATCAAGAATACCAGTTTCTATGTTAAGGTAATCTCCATGATGCTTATTTAAAGATGAACGAATTGGATAGAAATCTATGTCAATAAGTTCAATAACAATATGATAATGTGATTCCGTGTGCAATATCCAAGTAACATTGAGATTCGGTTCATAACCATGAGGATAACCAGGACTTGTAATAGTCACACTTGTATTAGAGCTTGGTGATAAATAGTAGTCAAAAAGTGTATTATTAACTGTAAACAATAAAAATGCATACATTTTTTAAATGCGAATCAACAATTGTATTTTTTTTTTAACTCATTATATCCATACAACAACATATTATTGATTTAAAATAATGTACTTCTATAATTTCACTTACAATTATATCCCAACATTGGATATAGATTGTTCGAATATACCCCATCTACTTGTGTCCACGATAGTAAAAACCGAATACCTCCAACTTTTTTCTGCCCTGCTTTCAATCGTATGAAAACCTTGTTATCGCTTGATATGATAGTTTTGTTCAATTCTATATTGGCATTTGTAGTGCTTAGTTCTAATAAAATTAATGTATCGACATCACTTCCGTCGTATATCTAAAAGAACAATTCAAATCAAACCTGAATTAATAAAAACTTCATATAATAATATGTTGTTCTATTGTTGTAGGTACTTAAAAGTATTAATTTACTTTTAATTCATGAATTTCTGATGTGGAAATAAAATCGTTTATCACAATTTGAACTTTTTCATATAGATCTACCATTATTGTCCACGAATAATCTTCACTATCTCTATATGGTCTGGGATACATTGGACTAGAGATTTTGCCTGATCGCTGTGACTTGTAGATTTCAGAAACTAGCATATAAATGTTAAAAACTACTTAGTTAAAAACATTGTATCAGTCTGATATTAATATTACCATATTTAAAGTCTGCAGTAAATCCTTTGGCTGAACCAACAGAATTCGAACGAAATTTGATCCAAAGTGTCGAACCCGAAGTCATATTGGATGGCAAATTTGGTCCGCAAAATATACCTAAAACTGGACCGATAGAATCCCCTTCTCTAACTTCCACATAATCTTCATTGCAAAACTCGTCATCTTCTAATTCAAAATCAATGAAATTCAAAGACACAAGATTTCCATAGGAGGACTTTAATATCCAAACACATTCTGAATCTCTAAAATAATTATTTGGATAGTTGGGTGAAGAAATTGTTCCTAGTATGGAGTCATAAGTTCCACCACATGCTAATTAAAACAAAACAATATTACTGCGAGGATATTTACATCGTATAAATTATATCATAAGTTTACTGACCTACTGATCTTACAGAGTACAGAGCTGTAAATGAATCCAACGCACCAGAGTTATCTGTGTACTCTATACGCATTGCAGGTCCATTACTGACAATAGGCGGTGGTATTGGATTTGACTTACAAAATTTAGTTATTTCAGGTGCATCTGAATCTGGCCCATCCAAAATTCGAAATATTGTGTGAAATAAATGGTTAGAACACGGACGTTCAGTTATATTTGACTTTTCTACTGTTTTAATATCTTCTGCGAAATGTGCTATGTCTATATGAGTAAACGTTAAAGTGACTTTCGATTGAGGGATGTCAGATATAATAGTCCAAGTACAGTTCTGGAGTTCACCATTTGTATAATATGGATTGTTAGTTATAATTCCCGAATCATTTGTTATTAATTTTGCTCCGCATGCCTAAAAAAAAATTCATCTCAATAGTAGAAGAATTGCATACATTAAAACTAATAAAAATTACCGTGGAATATATTGCTTTAAACCCTTTCGCTTGGAATTCATGTTTACCAACTTCAAAGGATATAAGGAGCTTATTTGATAAAGACATAACAGGTGGTGGTACACTATTTCCAGAGTGATTGAGGAGTAATTTCCCATGCATATTATCATCATATACAAGGACGATATCATTATTCCCTTGAGGCGAACTCTGAGTACTGAAGTCGACGAATGTAAGATTAATTAAATGATTTTCTGCTATCTCAATATTCCACGTACAAGAACTGTGAGAATCGTAGCTCTGCGGGTAATTGCTCGTATGGATAACTCCTCGAGGAGCCGTAAACATCCCACCACATCCTGCAAAAAAAAAAAAAAAAACTATTGATATTAAAATATTCACTTTTATTGTTTTACATTATAGAAAAAAAATGTTGTAGTAAGTATACGTAATTTATCACTTGTCATTAGACGGAAATTTCAATGAAAGTAATTGTTAAATTTTGTAGTAGTTAGCTTGGCCAACATTTTATCATAATTATTTTAATGTTATAGTCATGTTAATCATCTTTTTTTTTGCATCAGAAAATTAAAATTTATTTTTAAATTTACATAATTAGTGTACTGATGAACTATTAGGATATCTATATTAAACACACTTATTTTAGGTACATTTTTAGTTCAGATAACTGTGAACTTCAATTTATGCTAGTCCTAAAATTGTGTATGAAAAATGATGCCTCTTATATCAGTTTAGGTACTGCCACAAATTGTATACAAATTTACCTAGCCTTTTATGTAATTTTTATGATACAAAAAATATTTCTAGTTTATCATATAATAAGATACATTTTTATCAAGATATATAAATAAGGTTAAATTTAAATACACCTTATCAAATATATAATGAATCAGATAATTATATACCTATTTAGGTAATAATATTATCATTTTAAATAATCATAGAAGAAAATACATACTCGATTCAATCGTCCTGTATGTAGCTTTGAAACGTTTTCTCTGAGATTCGTCGAATGATTCAAATCTTACAAAAGCTTCATTTCCACTAGACGTCAAAGTAATTGGACTTGTTTGTTTATGACATATTCTTAACAATTCCGGGGCTGAATCATCATATCCATTGTAAATCTATAAGAAATATAACAGTTTTTAAAATCCATTATATTAGTTAAACAGACCTATATATATATATATATATATACAATATACATACAGCTAAGTAATCAGTTAAACAAGATCCTGAAGTTTCAAACCACAAATCTTCTATAGTTATTTCTACAATATGTCCATTATCGATGATAATATTCCATTCACAAGTTGTACTCAAACTATAAAATCTAGGATATTCTGGTGATGTAAATTCTCCTTGAAATTTATTTAACACTCCACCACAACCATCTACAATCCATTCGATACGAAATTTGCTCTTAAGCATATGATCTTTGAAAGAATCATACGTGATTCTAACAATATTCTTAGTTGACGATATCACCGAATGTGGTTCTATGGAACAATTATTTTTCCACAAAACAGTATTAATTTCGTTCCTGTTTGCTCCTTCAGTTATCTATAATAAAACATATCAATTAAAGCCAATCAAGAACCATAATAATATGTTTTGTGTTTTATAAATGTAAATATATTTACAATTAATTTGTTATCTGTACATTGAATACTATACTTATAACGATGAGTATGAAAATAATCTGAAAATGGACCTCTATGTGGAAAAGGATATCTAAACAGATGCAAAATCCAAAGTTAATGCTTTTTAATTTCTTAATTTTCTAAAATGTCACAATAGCTGTCTTAAAATATATTATTTATATATTTTTTCAACTCTTAATTTTACATTTTGGTGTTAAGCTAAGTATATAAAATAATCAGACTCAATTCCCAATTAATATAATACACATAAATATTTAATTACAGAGATATAACTATCCTTGCATTAAGTGCTGCATGCTCTTATACTTAATATTCTACGTCTAACTTCTCTGTCAGCTGCTACATTTTAAATTCTTAGTTTATTGGTCACTAGTAACATTTTTTAATTTTAAATTTTAAGAGTGGTTCTGAAAAAAATTAGGTCTAGTCTCTACTTTTAGGGGTAAAAAATATGAAAATTCCAGTAAGGTTAGGTTAGGTTATTGAGAAAAAAATCACCACATTTTTATAGATATTAGACATTTATAGAAATAAAAATGTTTAATATATTTAATATATAATTTTAACTCTAAAACAATGTCATAACTTTTTCCATGAATTGAATTTCAATCGAGTATGAAAAAAAAATTAAAATATTCGATAACATATTATTTTAATACTGTTAAAATTATTAAGTGTATGTAGTAATAATTGTATTAATTACAACAACAAATTTCCGTTTAATTTTATTTCAGTATCCCGAATATTTTAAATAATACCTACTGTGAATTGTTAAACTCCAAACTACCAATTACATCTAATTTATCCATACGTAATGACTAATGACTACTTAATAAATACATATTACATAACATCAAATACACATACAAAACTCCACCTAATAAAATTTACCTGAATGGGCTTGACAAAAAAGAAGGATTTTCGTCTGGAAAAAATATTGTTGAAGGAATACCATCGTCGCTGAAGCCTGGATGGAGTGGTGTCTTGATAATGCTTTTCTCTAATTTAAATTCGGTAAAAGTTATGTTAATTTTATTTCCTTTAGGAGCCACAATTGTCCATAAACATGTATCTCCATTTGTATATTCTTCTTGAACTATTTCAATCACACCTTGATATCCTTTCAAATTCACACGGCAGTCTAAAAATTAAAAATTATTATTTTTAAATACAATTTTGCCATACATCATTCACAAATATTTTCTTGATTATTTCTCATACAAACCAGTATCATATTGTAATGAAAAACCTCTTCCTTTGGAAAAACCGCTACTTCTAAATTTAATATACATTTGATTTGATGTCGAATGTACAAACTGAGATACACCAGTCTCATTACAAAAGGTTCCTAATAACTTACTAGCAGAATTTCCGCCGTTATAAAACTGTAAAAATTAATTTCTTATAATTTATACACAAATTGAATTACAATTTACAACAAATGTGTTTCCATTTAAATTGATACATTTAACATAAGTCATGTTTATTGGGTATATGGACAGGCTTGAATAAACAAAATAATGATTAATTATGGTGGGATAGGGATGGGTTGAATTCCAAAAAACTTGAAATGTATAGACCCCTCTATATATGTTTAAACACAAGGGCAACGGCATACAATATTTAAGACATTAATTTATTATTCAGACTAAAGTTATAGATTTACCACATACGAGTATTAAGACTCAATTGATACGTACTTCAAGAAAATCATCTTTACACATTAATCCAGGAACATTGTCTGTTACTAACTGTATATCCAATATAGTAATCTTGATTTGACTGCCTTGCACCACAGATATCTTGTAAAAACATTCTAATGTCTCTGGTAAAGGCAGTGGATAGTTAGGAGACACAATATATCCTTTACCCGAATGCAATGTTCCGCCACAACCTTTTAGTTATGAAATATTAAATATTATGTGAATATTTAAATTATATTATATTTGATGATACCTCTAGTAATTGAATTCCATTGCATAAAGAAACCTTGAAGTCCAACAGACCCGTCAGATACAAATCTTATAATAAGTGAATATCCGGCTGAAGTTATAATAGGAATAATTTTAGATCCACAATACTTTCCAAGTAAAGGTGAAGTGAGATATCCACCATTTCTATAAAAATGTATAGTTACTACACGTCATATTAATGATTCATACTCAAATTATATAGGTACTACCGAATTTCAACAAAATCAAGTTCGCAATCAAAACTTTCTTCGAGAGAAAATTGACTTATGTTCAACTCAATCTGATTTGAAACTGGTACATTTATGGTCCATACACAATTCAATAGTTTGGGATAGTGATATGGGAAATTTGGTGACATAATAAAACCTTCTGGGGTGAAGAAGTTTCCACCACATGCTGCATAAATATACATCATTAACTATGTGATAAATATATCTAGGACTGAACATACCTTGTGCTCTATTAAAAGATGTATAATTTAACATAAACCCATCCAGTGCTCCTAAATGATCAGTTTTATATACTATTGTCAGACGATTACCTAATGAAGTCAATGCAGGTGGAAGTTTAGATCCACAATATCTAAAAATGATAGAATATCAATTTTAAATATATTTGTAAGGCATTTAGTTTTCTATTCAAAGTACCTATTTTAATAATAAGTTCATATGTTGAATTATGTGAAACTATTCATTCACTTACTTGGCAATTTGTGATGCGTTTCCTTGAATACTATTATCATAGACTTCAACATAGTCATTATTACAAGTGAGATGGTTATCCAAGGAAAATGATAACCAATTTAATCGAATTTGACTAGATTCATTTACAGATATAATCCATTTACAAATCTGATTTTTAAATATTTTCCGGATTTTTCGGTGATTGTATGGTACCAGATGGTTGCTTTAATATACCACCACATCTAAGGAATTTAAAAAAAATAAAATCATAATTATCATAGTATTAATTTAATTCAATAATACTATTGCTCACTTATATCAATAGCTGAATAGTTAGCTCGAAATCCTTTATAAGAATATAAATGCGAATCGACATTCGAAAATTTTTAACCACATATATTATGTGTTGATATGTAGGGAATTTTTGGTAGTTTTTGAATATTTCCACACAAGCAATGCGAATTATAGCTGAGTTCGCATTGTCCCCGTCTCTGATCTGAAATTATATAATTTTAAAACTGAACATCTGATTACCTTAAAATGTAGGTATGATACAAACTCGTGATTGTTTTAGGTTACGAAAAATGTAAGATATATGAACCAAGACTTATTCAAATTCTTACAGTTTACATAACACGTTACTATTAGATTACCTATAATAATTATATACATTTTCAACACTTTAAAGTGTATTGCATAATGTTAAATAATATAAACGTCTGTAAAAGTAAACATTGAATAGTCGATTTCTAAAATAAATGTACAAATTGTATACATATTTTAAATTATTTACCTACCTAATTAATGCATGTTTGTAGATATTTTATTAAGCTACTATAGTTCTTTTAATATTATTATTTTAATTCAACATTTATAAATAGTATTCAAGATATAGCTATTAATATTGAAATAAATGCTAAATTAAATGTAGGTACTATAAATAAAATATATTTTATAATATTATAAAACCAATATAAGTATCTAACCAAGTTATCAATATAAAATATTCCAAAATTATAATTACCTCTAACGAATCATAATAACATAATGGATACGTAGGATCCATATCTATATCCAAAAATGATAATCGAATAGCTTTGCCAACTGGTTGCTCGATTAGATACTCGCATATTTTATCTTGTTTGTAAGGTTTTGGATAGAATGGCGATTCGATTATACCATCATTAGCAATAAATGTTCCGCCACATACTAAAAGTAAAAAGTGGTTATTAAAGTTCAATAATTTATATTACAATCAAGGAGGCCATATTATTATATTGATATTGTCATTAGATTCATTTCAAGTCTCATAAAAATAAGTAAGTAGAAACTAGGAACACGATTACTGTTCAGCATTACAAACGAACTTCGATAAAAATACAAATATTTTGTTGACACCTTGTACCTTCTATTCAATATAAATTTATACTGGGTAATTAATAGAACAATAGTCACCCATTGTTTCAAAATGTATTTTTACTTTATTTTATAATTATAAATTATAATTTTATTTGTTAAATGAGAAAAAAGTTATAAGTCAGAGATAATTCAATATAAATGGGTTAGGGAAATGAAATGTTGTTGTCTAAAAAATATGAAACACTTGAAAAATTATGAAGATAAAAAAATGTAGGTACCTAATAATTATACTATTTTTTTTAAAATCATTTTTAAAATTAAGTAAGAAAAATATATTGAAACATTTTAATATTTTAGAGATCATAAGTAGTTAGGTACTGTTTAAAACAATATTTATTTAATTGTAAATTACCTATAAAAATAGATTCATATTTTAAGTAAATTAACAGAAAAATGATTTTTATTTGTATCTATTATATATTCATACATACCTGTATCATATTTAATTGTAAACCCATCAACTATGATGAAAAATTGATATAAAAAGAAGAGTAACTTCATTACTGTTTGAGATTATTGGTTGATCATATCTAGTTGAACCACAATAACGACCAATTAATGGAGATTTTATATTGGGGCCATCATGAATCTGTAATAATATAAATACATTATATTTCTATGTCATAAAATTATTTAAAATATTATGAAGGATTATCAAATTAAGATAAACCACATTGAAAATAAGAAATAACACATACTTCTAAGAATTCTTTTAAACAATTTGTAGAATATGTAATGAAAAACTTCTTAATGAATTCAAGTTTAAGTTCTGATTAGTGGCATTGTATATGCCACTCACAATTAAAACTGTCCAAATAATTAAGCTATCACTGGTCAAATGTGAAGGAGAAGCTATGATTCCAGACGTCCTTGTATAAGTCCCACCACATCCAGGAACGCCTATTAAAATATAATATGTAACTTTTAAAACTAATAAATAGAAATATTATTTTATAAAAAACCCTAATAAAGAATATTGAAAGAATAAAACATAATATTTATAGAAATAATAATACCTTCAATTACACGATATACCATTTGAAATCCATAGTCTTGGCTAAAACATCAGAATGGAAATGCAAATTTTACATGTGAACTTGATGTTATTATCGGAGGAGGTAAACTATTTTTATTAGTATTGCATAATTTTGTCAATATTGGACTGTTCTGAGTAAAACCATCTCTAATCTACAATTTTAATTAAATAATTGTATTTTAATATTATGATTATTTTTAGATAACCTATACGGTTTTCGGTCTAAAAAACAATAATAGTATAATACCCGTATGAAAATGTTACCTCTAAATAATCATAACTGCAATTTATATGGTGCTCAAAACTTAATGAAAAGAAATTTAATTGAATTCTTTTTCCGGGACTAGCATTTAATGTCCAATAACAGTCACGATTAGGTGGATATTTTTTTGGAGAACCGGGAGAGGATAATGTTCCGTGAGAATCGATATTTAATGTTCCACCACAGTCTAAAAATAATAATTTAACATTTTTAATTAAGGTAAAATAATGGGCGATTGTAAACAATTTAAACTCTCCCGAGACTGCTCCAGTACTACCTACTTGACGGCCGACGAGTACATGTAAGCTCTCCTGAGTCTGTAATAACTTATACATTATAATTCAATTGTATATAGTTATATGAAAACCCACATTTAAGATTCTGACTGAAACTATGAATGCATTGAATTTACAATGATGTGTGTTTTTTTTTATTTTTTATTTTTAATTTTGTTTTATTTTTGTGTCTGTCATCACCTTTTAGGACAGTAAAAATGCTTGGATTTTCTTCAACAGTATCTTTTCTGATAGGATCTAGTTGGTACTTTAGGGGGTCAAAAGTAAAAACTTTCCAGTAGTTTTCAAAAGCGCCGTGAAAAACAAAAGAAAAATTAAGGAAAAACGGGAATTTGTACGCAAAATCTGGTTTCGAAAAAATCGATTTTGGTTTTAGGTGCAACTCTTTATCAAATGACCTTATTTACACGAAATTTTGACTGAATGTTTATATTAGCATTTTCTATACATCATAACATTTGCCAAATATTTTGATTTATTTTGAGCTGTTTACGGAAATTTCAGTTACCACTTTTTTTAGTTTTTTTTTTTCTATAAATATCAATAAAATTTTATTTGTTGGGTAAAAAAGCGTAAAAATGAATGCAAGGGCTCCTGATATATTGTTACAATAGCAGTTGAAAAATATTAAAAGTACATAGGCACAATTGTTTTTATAAGGAATTATAGTTGAAATTTTAACAACTTTTATCACATTTAAAATTTAATAATAATTTTGCAGTTAAAAATTTATAAGATGTTCAATTTTTATAGCTAAGGATTGAAAATTTAAAACAAGTGTCCACGTAAATAGGTAAATAAATATATTAATATATTAATTCACAATAATATCATCAAATATACTTAGTTATATCATAAACCTATGACCGTTTTCGCTCAGAATCGTTTTTCTTATTTATTTATTTATTTATTATTATATAACTGGCACAAGGCCCAAAAATATAATGATATTATATCATTGAATTCAAATTTAATACCATCCATTATACAGTGACTCACTTGTAACCTTTTGTACAGCAGAGCGACTTTTTTAAATTGAATATACATATATATTTGAATTTCATAAAAAAAATAGTAAACAAATTGAATTATAGTAAATAACGAAAATAATGATAATTTAAGCCAATTTCAAACTAAATTAACATTATTATTTAATTGTTATAATTTTTTTAGTTTTTAATTTAAATTAATATCGAAAGATTACCAGGCCTCACTGAGAAAACTCGTAATTATAATGTAATGATAACATATATTTAAAAATACTTAACAATTTTTTGTAGCATAATTTTAAAACAACTCGGGAGAGTTTAAAAATGTCCTAGCAAGTTAACATAATGTTAACCCTGGAGAGATTACTGTTCTTAAACATCTGGGGAGTTAACTACTAACCAAAAGAATATGACAAAATTAAACTCTACCTTGTTGTATTGTTGTGTAATTTAACTGAAAACCTCGGTAATTGTTTGATTCGTCTGAACGAAAATGTACGAAAACTGAATTTGAATCAGAAATAATGCTGTTATTTAAAGGCAATGTATTTCCACAAAATTTACCCAACGACTTTTCATCAACTTCTTCGACATTTGTAATCTAAAACAACTCAAAAAGGTAACTAAAAATATAAAATAAAAATATAATACTTTTACTTCAACATAATCCGAAGAACAATTTATTGATTTTTCAATATCAATCCAAACAATTGATATATTTATGACGCGAGACGAATTGACTTTGATCACCCATAAACAATTCAAGTTACTCTGGTAGGTTAGTGTTGTATTTGACTCGGGATACTGTATTGATCCATTAAAGTCGTCAAAAGAACCACCACACACTTTAAAATATATCTATATTAAATACATTTTGAACACATAACGTTTTTAATAATATTTCGAGTCATACACTAACCTTCTAAAAATGATCCACATAAGGTTCCAAAATACCCTCTATCACAGTTACAATGAAATTCGCTGGATTTCGGGTCAGGAACACATTCTCCGTTTAGGCAGGGATTTACTAAGCATGGATTTTCTACGCTAATATTACATGTTCGTCCTAGAATGAATTACATTTGTCACGAAACATATAGACTTATAAGTATTAAAAGGTTGTCAGCAAAATGTCACCTGTATAACCCGTGTCACACTGACAAGAAAAACTATCCGTTGAATTTGAAAGACATACACCATGGGAACTACAAGGATTATTCAGGCAAGGATATATTCTATTGTCTTTAATGCATCCATTCATCCCGATTCCATTACCATTATACCCTTGACGACATGTACACTGAATTGTTGTTTCAGCATAAACTATAAGTGACGTAAAAAAATGTTATACTTGATTTAAAATATAAAAACATATATAATATTTTATCTTGTTTACGAGTGCACTCAGCATTTGGATGACACCCTCCATTGTCTATCGCACAGGCTCCTCCAGATATATAGATGCAATTAAATCCATTGCCACTATAACCAGGTGGACATAATTCGCATTTAAAAGATCCCTGGATAAGTAATAAAAAAAATAATAACGTTAAAAGTGAAAAATTGCACAAACTAAATTGCATTTTTCTATGAGCACGCTATTAGTTTTGACAATAATAACAATATTATTGATAAATAGGTACACGTACTCTCGTGTTAATGCATTGAACTCTGGGATTCACGCTGCATCCACCGTTATTTATCAAACACTCGTTGACGTCAGTACACACAAAACCGTCTCCCTCATAACCTAAACGAATTATAAAACGTGAAATCTTTTAATAAACATATTGCATATCACTATAACAGTATAATATTCAGGGGTGTATATTTGGTGACACTTGAATTGCCTCCCATAGCATACCTAGATTATTATTAATATATCGAAAGTTGTACGTTTTCTATCGATTATTACATCAATTTCTAAAATGTACAATAATATTATTTTATTAAGACATACTGGCATACAGTATTTCCCTGACAGATTAATTTGTTAAATGCAATAATCTTGTCGATTACTGATTATCAGTTAAAGATTAGTCCATCATTACCCGTTCAACATGGCCAGTTTTGTTTGTGCAACCATTACCATAAATAACACGTTAATACGTACATAATTTTATAAAAATGAAGGTCAGTAGTGATAAAGTTAAAAAAATTCTAATTTGGAATGGATAAAGTTGAATATTTCACCAACTCACCCTCAAATTTAAAACTTTTTGGATGTATTAAAACCAATGAAGTTACATACGTTAATATTAATTAGATTTTCCAAAATGGAAACTAAAACAATTAGTCAATACGAGGAAATTGTCTCAATTTACTCAATTTATTTAATTTATTCATATTTGCTATAATATAAGGTTGTAAATCAATTAATATAGCTATCAATATTCGGTACAAGAGGGTAGTAACCTAAAATAGAAGGAAATTCAAAGAATGAAATTTTTTTAATTGAAAGGCAGTTCCAGTAACCTTTTTTTTAAAAAAACCACGGTAGGCCATTCGATGAGGGTCAGATGCGAGGAAATTCGTGAGCACTCGTATATTTACCTGTGGGACAGTTTCCGCAAGTAAACGATCCTCTGGTGTTCCTGCACTCGACCGGTGGGTTTGTCGAGCACGTGTGCTTGTTTTCCTTGCATTCGTCCACGTCTTTCGTGCAAGCCGGATTTTGTCCCCCGTCCATGTTAGTCCAACCCTTTTTATAAAAAATACGTAAAAAACCTACGATAGTATGAACACGAACTCGGACAGCCATCCGTCTGAGTGACGGTGTGACACTGACCTGATTGCAAATGCACGTGTAACCGACCGCCGACGGTTGATTGATGCACACGCCGTTGCCGCAGAGCTCCGACGACATTGCCCCGTTGCAATCGTTCTTCCTTTTCGTACAGTGCAAACCGAACCAGTTCGCTGCGCATACGCACTCGTAACTTCCAGGCGTGTTCTTGCATTCCGCTCCGTTTTGACACCCTAAGTCCGTGTGAAGGAAACGTACACATTCATCGACGTCCAATTCGCACATTTTACCCTGTGTAATAAATTAACTGTTATATTATTTGGGATCTTGGGATCTATTTTAAAAGTATAAAAATGTATTCTCAGGCGTATATATAATGAATGTTAATCTTTTTAATATTTCGAGGCCCACTCTACAGTTAAAATTTCGATGAATGAGAAAAATCATAATATGCACCTATATCGTCTTAAGATTAAAGAAATGCAGTGTTATTCATATCGAAAGGGTTTTAAAAATACATTTTGAATACCTGAAGGTTTAAATTAATATGTTATATAATTTTAACAGATGATTGAGATTTTATTACATTTTTGTTTGTTCAAAACAAAAATTACAAAATTTATGTTATGTCGCAAAAGCATTAAATTGTGTTCCTAAAATGTTTAAGATTATGACCAAAAACGTTGATTTTTAAAGTCATTCGTCCAAAATTTAAGTTTATAAAGTATGTAATTATAAGTATTTTCTTGATTTCTACAATAATATAAAATAGTTAAATTACGCACCTATTGCACCTATAGATCGATTATACACAAAACTATTTTTTAATTTAAAACATTTAGCCAATGATCAAAAAATATCTTAACACTTACCTGCCAATTATTTGGACAATTACATTGAAACCCGTTATAAAGATCCACACATGTGCCTCCATTCTGGCAAGGATTACTCAAGCATTCGCTAATCGACAAAAGACTAATGAGATTAGTGATTTTCTTTTCCAAATTCGTCAGCTATATAAATATAACAATTATGAGTTAAAATGTTATTTGTTTACTAGTCAAGTTTGATTTACTCACTCTGACTTCTAGCCTATCTGAGATGAACGTCGTTCCACCTTTCTATGCCAACACAAAAATATACCGTATATAGCTTTAAATATTTAAGTGAAATCAGTAGCAAGGAAATGTATGTTGTTGCATGAGTACAAGAAATATTTTATTACACTAATATTTGTACAAATATACTAAAATAAAACTGGAATTTCTAATTATTATATTAATTGAATTAATAGAAATCACCGCTCTCATATAAAATCGCATCAATATTACATTTAGAAAGCATTAATTTGCTCTTTAAAAAGTCCAATAATAGTTGTTGTCTACGGAACAATTGCAATTCGTACATACAAAACTTAGCAAAATCAAATCAACTTACACCCTTAGTAGAGAATTTCGATGACGTATTCATAATTTGCATTTCCAGAGCGGTAACTCGGCTGGATAAACTTCTCGGACCATCTATCAGTGGCACGAATTTGGTTATTGTATCCGCAAACTCAGGCAAATCGTTTGATCGAAACGAATCGATTAGTTCCCAAGCTTCTTTAGCCTATACAATGTCCCCATATATATTACCAAATATTAGTTATTATCTTATTACAGATATATTCAATTATTTAATTACCAGTCCGATAATTTGAAGTAAGTTTTCATTATTCACGTTTATGAATCCTTTTCCTTTAGTACTCAAAGAAATATTGCGACTAGTGGCGCTGTCGACGCTTAGATGTCCGTTGTCAGATCGAAAGCATGGCCTAAATTATTTAAAGACTTATATTGTTTTAGACACATAATATTTGTTCAAGCAAAGCTCAATTTATTGTATTTTTCATTTAAATTCGATAAATAAATCTTTAATTTGTTTTAATTTATTTTTTGTTAGTGATCCACAAGTATTAATAAAACTACAAATAGGTAATGAAAAAATAACAATAAATATAAAGAAAATTGTAAAGAAAATTATTAATCAGTACCTATCTATTTATCGCCATTTTTAAATATCTACTTTTAAAGAATATTGTATTAATATAATTATGAATCGCGTTAATGAACCATACATATATCTATCATTATCATTAACTCGCCGATCTAAAATTATATACAAATTAATGAGTTATATTATGAGTCATATATGAGTGATCTATATTATTAGTTATTATGAAGACATTCAAAAAATGTCAAATCAATATGAAAATTAACAATTGAAAAAAAAAATTCTTAATTTCAATCAAATTTTAAGGTAACAATAAAAAGTTGTTGTATTTTGATACTTATTAATTGTCAAAAAATAAACACACAATTACTTACTGATTACTATACTGTCCAATTGTTAAAGCGATTAACATAAAAAGCAAAATAAAAAGTGAACCAATTGCTTTACACATTTTGATGGAAAATATGAATTTAATTTAAACTAATGAAGCCAATATATTGTATTATGTATAACCTAACTAAACCGTTAACAAATCAGTAGGTATAAGAACACTGTGTCGAATACTACTAACAACGGTACTTGAGGACTACTATAACATACAATAATATGTATGATATAGTCATTAATTAGAATTACACACATCACAATTCACAAATAAATGTACATTGTATCCCCATGAAATATTGCATTATGTCATTCGATAATTTGTATACACCCACAAACTGATTATTGTAAGTTTGCATCTGTACTCAGTCATGATAAACATGACACATTGACATAAACAATAATATTCTGCAGTATACCTACATCAATTAAAGTTATCTATAATTACAATGTTATTTTTAACATATGTATTAATTAAAACTTTACTTTAACTGTTACTCTTGTAAATTGAAACAATAATCATAGTCAAACATTATTTTTAAAAAATAAGTTCTAAAAAGTTATATAAATTTAGCAATATTTCTAATATGCATATCATATTAACGTATACATATATTAACATATTAACTGGATAAAATATGACGAATGGACATACATAGGTACATAAGTAAATAGATTTATGTATAAAAGTTATCACTTAGAAGTACACAACTGTCATATAATGACCCCAAAAATATTATTATTATTTGGTACTATTATAGTTATGTAATTAGTTGTAATGTAATTAGTTATACTAATAATAAATAACACTAATACACCCTATTTTAATTTTGTAATTTGTTTGTTACGACAAGAAGATTATACACATTTTATTAGTGATAATAAATTAGTACTATTATAGTGTGTACTCTGTACAGCTTCAATATTTCAATATAAACATTTAAAAGCATCTATCATATTATGATATCAAAGAAATCAAGAGAACAATTACGTGAGAAATGAGAAATGTTCATAAAACTAAACTTGTATTTTTGAGTAAAACTAATTTTATTAAAATATGTTTATTGAAATATTTAACATTTTTGACACTCATATTCACTCCCCCCCTCTCTTACCGAAATTAAATTCTAGATACGCCACCGCGAGACTATTCATAAAGCACTTGTTTGGAAAATCCTGATATGGACCTACAACAGTTCTATATGACTATTACTCCGATGTGTTTCCTTTCTACAATAAATAACTAATATATAATCCCATTCTCACATCATAAATATAAAGCCTGTAACTAATTCAACTATTCAAGTAAAGAAATTACGAACCACTTAAACATGTCGAGTGATATTGATTTATCATATTATAATCTATTGAGTAAAGGCAAAAATCTAAAAATTGAAATTTTCTTAATAATAATAGTGCCACATTAAAAAAAATTATAATAATTTACTATGGCAACCAAAAAAAATAAAAAAATAATGAGTGTGGTGACTAGTAGTAAAGTGAGAGGAAATTTCAATCGTTGCCTAGGATATTTATTTATTATTTATTATTAAACATAGCGGGCGTTGCCCAATTTACATAAAATTACATTTATATAAAGATATAGATAAAATTAGTAACAGATAAATTTATTATAGATATGGGTTATGACAAAAAGGTAGGTTGTCAATTAGCCATTCGCATAATGCGATGGATGGGGTTATTTCTCCCGTAATTTGTGGTACAATTTGGCACCGAGAAAGGAGTATGGGGACTGAGGGTATGATGTGGAACTCTAAAGTTGATATCGGAAAGGAGAGTGGGGCATCTATAGAACCGTCCAAGATTTTGTTCAGAAACGATAAATTTGAAGCTGCAAATTAATAATAGTTTCATTGATGACTCAAGCTCAAATTCAGACGATATTCTCTTAACGAATCCAAATACTTTGAGAGCTCTGCACGATGATGATTGAATATGTGGGTGAAAATCAAGTGTAGGGATATAGAGAATACCTAGATCTTTCACACTCAACACAGAGATAAGGGGAGAATAATTGATAGTGTACTGGAATGGAATGCTAGATCTACGTCTGGGGAAAGACATAGTTTGGCACTTCTCCACGTTGAGGCTTAGACCTAGTGAGTTTAGGGAGGAGACCAGATTGTCCAAACTAGATTGGAGTAGGGGACAGTAATTTATTGATGATATTGTTTGGAATAATTTAATTTCATCGACAAAAGCAAGACAGTGGCAGTTTGACAGTATTTATTTTATACAGTTTAAAAATAATGTAAACAATAATGGGGACAAATGGCCTCCTTGAATAACACTGAATGGTATAGTATGATTTGTGACCGTTAGTCTTTACCCACTGTGTCCTGTCTGTTAAGTATGACTTGATCCATGATAAAAGGGGGTCACCAAAGCCAGATTTGTAAAGAACTTGAAGAAGAGTTGAGTGGTCGAGACGGTCAAAGGCTTTGGACAAGTCAGTATAAATTGTATCTACATGCGGGTGGTTTTCAAAGGCCTCGTGGATAAAATTGTTGAAAAAAAGTGAGCTCGTGATGGTGGAGCGGCCAGGTCTGAAGCCGCATTGTTCATCTATAAGTATTGAGTTAACAGATGGCTGTATACTTTTTAGCACTAGTGATTCAAACAATTTTGATAGATGGGAAAGTACTGAGATGGGTCTATAATTTTTTACGTCGGATTTATCTCCTGATTTGTATATCAGGAGTAACACTACTCATTTTCCAGATTAAAGGAAAAATGCCTTCATCGATTGAATTATGGAAGACGGAAGAGTAGCCATAAAGGAAAGGCAATAGCTGATTTAATATTGAATAAGTACCTGAGAGCCAGTCAGGACAAATTGATTTGACATTCTTTAAGTTATCCAGACTTTCTTCTATATCTGAGATGCTGATACTGCAGTTTGAAGTCAAATCATTTAGTTTGAATGGCATGTCGAAAGCGTTATTGGTGTGGTATGTGTACACGGAGTTAAAATGAGTAGCAAATAGATTAGAAACTTCCTCACGACCAGTGCCTGAGGAGTCGTTTAAGTTGACTGTATTAGGTATATCGTTTTGAGATTTGTTCTTCCTAACAAAGTTCTAAAACGAACGAGAGTTCCTTTTTAATGCCGATTCAGTACAACAGAGGTATGTCTTATAGGAATTCTTGGATTCAAATTTTAAAACGAGACCGAAGATAAGAGAAATATGTGTAGTCCTGTTGGCTGCAGGTCTGTTTGAACTTTGCGTGAGTACGTTTTTTATCGACTACCAGTGATTTTAAGTCTTTTGTGAACCAGGCTGGGAACATAGAAGGAGTATAAGTTGCTTCAAGCATAAATTGTAGAATACAGTAGTGAAGAAATAAGATCTTTTGTGGCAGAATTTACATCGAGAGACAAAAACGTGTCATACCAATTGAAGGATAGTAAAAATTTGTTTATATCAGGATATGATGCTTGGTGAAAATAAAAAAAATTGTGAGAATTTATAATTTAGGGTACAGCTGGATCAACCGAAATATTAATACACAGGGCAGGATGATAAGGGTCGTATGGAACAAGAGTGTCTAGAACAGTTTCCACTGAAGCCATTTCATTATTGCAGAATACAAGGTCCAGGAGCTTTCTATTAGTGTTTAGAACTTTATTTAGTTAAGAGTAGTTTAGGAATGCTAAAGTTTCTGGAAGGCAATTGATTCTGATATCAGAGGTGGAGGTATAAGTTAACCCAAGATTTTCGTTAGACCAAGTGATGTCAGGCAGATTAAAGTCACCGCAGAATAGGAATAAAGAATTAGGGTTATCATTAATAACTGACTGGACTGCGGACAAGTAAGATTCATAGATATGTTTTGAGCTGTTAGGAGAAATGTCTGCTGAACTTAAAACATAACTGGAGTCGTTGTAAGTAAATTTGACAAATATATGTTCAACATTACTGTTGGTAATAGGGATAATATTCGAGTCAAATTCGGCACGAACTGCTATAAGAACACCACCACCTCTACTAAAACTACTGGTTAAGGCATTTCTGTCACATCTAAATACAGTATAATTATATAAACCTAATATTCATTATCATAAATGTTATCACATAACATAGTTTCGGATAGACATATAAAAATATAGTTAAAAATAGATGCATTACATATAAAAGTTTTTAATTTTGTTCTCAGACCTCTACAATTTTGGTAGTACCCAAAATGTGTAATATAAATGGGCGTATGAGTGAGGGGGAGAGCGTTGTTTACTGAAGTACAGACATACATGTTGGGTCTATTATTGTTTAACACGCAATCATTTTCGTACAAATCATATAACATATTATCATTTATTTATTTTTTATCGGGTGTCTATGATCTTAATATTATCTTAGTATTTAAAGATTAAATCCCTTTGTGGGGATCTGGTGGTCTAAAAATAGATTATTAAGGATTCTAAAAGGCTTCGCTGTGACTTTTGCTTACCCTTTAGTAATATTTATTCAAATCATTTTATGAGTTGCTGATAGCTCAACATAAAACGGACTGCCAGCCCAGACGCTGACAATATCCCAGATGGAATTATAGTTTCGTGGTGACATCTAGACAATAAACACTTGAATTGGAACAGTAATGTATCGACAAAAATATCTTTTTTTAGCCAAATTCGTATATTAGTTTTTGGCTTATTTCTATCGCAAAAATACATATCGATATCATGATATTCATGATACGATAACTCAGACGTCAAGTAGTTCATGGCAGGAAGCTCTCACACAGAGGTGGTAGACATCCAACTAAAGAAGGTCATGTGCACAATACCAGACACAGTCTTGCTTACAAACAAAACAATGACTGCCCTACCTGGCCAGCATAGAACCCCCTCATATCAAGAGACAACACAGTGTTCTAAAAGAAAATGACAAAATTGATAACACCAGGAGTTGCCAATACATGAAGAAGGAATTGTAAATCCAAGGCCTAAGTCTCGAAACCGTTCTTGAATGGCAGATAGAGAGACCTGGTATCATCAAAGTAGAGAACGTGCGCACTCCAGGTTTAAGCACGGACTTCACTTGGAAAATATGGGTTTTACTCAATAGAATACGAACGATTTAACCTTTTTTTATATGCATCTGAGACATGGAATTCGAAAAAAGTGAAGATACGAGACTTGCTGTGTATGAACGGAAAATACTTAGAAAAATGTATGGACCTTGTATCTACTCCAACACACGGTGATGGAGAAAACGGCACAGTGGGGAACTAATGAATGTATTTCAACGACCAGATAAAATTGGAAAGAGAAAACTAATGGGGTCTAGATATGCTTGGAGGAAAGATAATTCGTATATAAAAATGCTCATTAAGGGAGAACTGGTTGGAAAAATACCGCTAAGGTAGGCCACGTTTAAGACGGGAAGACATAATTAAAAAGGAGGTAGAAGCAGTAGAACCGAACAGACTGTTGAGATAATTAGCGATGGATAGAGAAAGATGGTGGTAAATTTGTTTGGAGGGTTGGTCTTAAGCCGAACCCCACTAAAAGAAGCAGAAGAATGATATACCATTCAAATAATTTAATAATAAAAAAAAATACGATTAAAACCTTAAGAAGACTTTATTAACATTTTATTTTATTCTCAGGCTAATAATAATATTCTATACTCATAACATATTTTATTTTAAGGAGTATTATGATTTAAATCAAAATTTAACACCCAACCAGTGCCGGTGTTGTGAACGGTTGTCACGTAACGAATGAAAACTGCTCCCGTTAGGCTGGTGTGCGCCGCCGGAGTATCCTAAACAAACGAATAAAACTGTCTAAGTAACCTTTCTGTATATGGTGACGTAATATTAATATTAGTATGGATTCGAAAACCATATTAACAGCTATATCGTGATAGTACTCACTCCTCCACAGTATTTAGCGACAAATGACGACACTCCCGTGATCTGGTCGACGTTGTGCATTTCTAAATAATCGGTGTCACATGTCGCTCTTGTACCGAGTTTAAATACTATATTTTAAAGAACAAAATCACATGACAAACTATTGATTAGTTTTTAGTTTTAAAAGAAGATGATTGGACATTTCTTTATGAGTTTTCAATCGATCAAACATATTATTTTTGCTAATAATAAATTTTGAAGTTTTATAGAATTGAGGAAAATTTAAATCTGGCACTGGGTCCATTAAACTGTTATTTTAAAATAGGTACACGCGCAAGGGGTTAACAATATTTATAGTTCCACACCTTTAAATGAAATCTTGACTGAATTCGGTCTGGGCACCGCAATATCCCACCGGCACGTGGAGCTCACTCTGTATAAGTTAGGATACATTGGGCTTGTCACCGTACCTTTGACATTAAACATTTTACCACCGCAACCTCTACCTATATATTCGGATACAACACGTCAGTAAAATACACACTCGGAAACAACACGTAATATCATTATAGACTTTTAGGATCGCACCTTGGTCCGTGGAAGTGTAACTCATGTCCAATAACCCTCTGCGAGGATACGCTTTATACGCCATCGTTAATGTCGAACCATTCGAAAATATAGGATCAGGAATCACACTCATACTGTCCAATGTGGTTACCAATGGCGATAAAACATTCGGTCCGAGGTACACCTAAAATACAATTTGTGATTGAAATTTTTTCAAGATAGATTGTCTTGTTGACACCAAGTTACCTTGAGGTAATTAGATAGAGTCGGACCCCAAAAATAAAAAGATGAAATATAAAGAGAAATAGTTAAATTTGAATGTCCTGCGTTTATCGTGAATACACACTCCTCTTCCCTCGCCGTGTCATCATCACTAAAAAGTATACGTCCATTGGGTTTGTCATATGTATTTTGGCAACCTGTATAGGTAAATTCCAACGTTAATAATAATGTTCACTTAAAATCAAATAGAGCGGTATAGTGACATGCAATCAGTCAAATGAATAATCTATTTTCAGTAATATTTAATTTTTTATAACTTACTTGAACTTTTGTACTCTAGTCTGAAACCTTTTGATGTTTTTCTGTCGTCTGTATGTAGCTTCAACTTAACACCTTTCGTTATTTTATCCACAAAATCAAATGTATGATTTTCGTGACACATTCGTATAGTATTGAAATATGAGATATCCGCCCACTAAACAAATGTTTATTAAATGTTTAAATATTCGAAACATTAAATATTATTAATTATTAATATACCTATAGGTACCATATAATCGACGTTATTATAATCGGTAAGTACTTACAAGTTAACAATTATAAAAATAATACGTATACGTTATACTAAATAATATTCTTTATGAAGATGTGTGATGATATGATAAAGATAAGAAATATAAGAAATATTTGCAAATAATCAATCATTAGTATCAATAATATCAATTTCATAACATTTAGTTTCCGTCCATAGTGGTAATCAAAATTCAGAAAAATAAAACCAATTGTTTGATTCGAAACCAAATTAAGTACAAATGTATAATTAGTAAACTTTGAATAATGAATAACTAACTAGCAGAAATCTCTTAATTAGTTTTAAATTTTTACAATGCATTAAATTTTAAATAATATATTTTCCATATTATGGTTTATTAAATAGGAAATTTAGCTGATTTACAGGCATGCATTTCTCTATAGGTCTCTAGTATGATAAAATATTAAAACATGATGAGCGGTAGATCAAATAAAAATAGTTTTTCCCGCCTTTTCATCGAATTCCATGCCACCATATTATTATATTATTAACTAAAGGGACTAGAAAAATATATTTACCAACTTAAAATACTATGCAATGTATTCAATAATTCAAGATATATTAACAAATAATTAATTATACGTCTTAATGCTGTTTTCATTACGCCCATATTTTTTTAAAGTAAGCCTTCAAGCGTCATTCTGTATATTGATAACATATTTTCCAAAAGAAATAATAAACATGTTTTGTTCAGCGTATTCTATATAATATTTATTTTCTATTAAGTATTAAGTATTTGTACATTTACCTGTAAATAATACATTTCTAAATAATCAGACGAACAGTCGGTGGTATTTTCCAAATCCAAATCAGTGAATCGTAACGAAATAACTGTATTGGGTGGTTCCGGTTGTAAAAACCAATTGCAGATCAAATTATTTCCGTATGCAGATGGATAGTTTGGTGACGTCAAAACTTGCGTTGTATTAGTTACCATCAGTGAAGTTGGACCACAAACCGCTGTTTTAAAAGAAGTATAAACAATAAATATATTTTACAATCATATTTTATTATTCAAGGTAAATTACATGTCACTGGTGTTATCTTTATCTCAAAATTTACGTCTACGTCCGTATCGACATATGTGTATCTTATATAAGCTTCATTTCCAGACGATAATAATGGAGCGTAATCGACATTTCCGGAACAATATTGACGGATTTTTAATGCCTTAGGTCCAGGACCATCGAAAAACTAAAATTTAAAACTTTACGTTAAAGCGACATTCTTAAAAATATAACATAAAATACACTTTGTAAATTCGCAAGTTTTATAATAATTCTATAACCCAATTAATATGAGTAACCTCTTTAATAAATAAATAAATTATGCCTTATTGTTTTAAATGATTTACAAAATATGAATATTGTCCAACTATAACTATGGTTAACTTAAACTTTATGTTTTAGGCTTTTAGCTATTTGAAAATATTGTTTTCAAAGTCATGCATCGGTTTCCACAGTTGATGACTGATTGCTAGATACTCAAGTATTCGAATTTATACATTTTCATAAAAAAGCGTTGTCCCCTGTCTGAAGTAGTTTACTTTAGTTGCTCAATTGCATGTAAATTTAAGTTCATCGGCGAAGACTTAAACATGGCTTATAGCCTTAGACTTTTTGACTTTCAAACAATAGCAGTAGACAGACCTCGGAGGTCGGAGGACCGTATCCAGCCCGTCGAGGTTAGATTTATATCGGTAATGACTAATGACTGACGAGACAGTCAAACTGAGCTACTGAGCTATCAAAAATATTTCCACCATTAAAATAGGACCGCCTAATCAATGGTACCAACATTGCAAAATACTACTTGCATAGACCATAGTTTTACCGACAGAGACCTTCTCGATCTTTCTCAAAAAGATGACATATTCCCGACCTAGAGTACTCACTAAGAGCGAGTTACCCCAGCTAGTTGTATAATAAAACATAAATAATGATTCCTAACCTGCAAAGAACTGCATCTACAGTCTGTTGTATTTAAAGAGCATTTTGGAGTTTCTGTGTAAGTGACCAATTTCATCTGTGCGACGTATGACTGCTCCAATAGTATTAACCATCCACAATTCAAATACGTTTTTGCTGATATCTTTGGTACTTTTAGTGTATATTCTGGTATAATATTTGATTGGTTCAACCTGATAGTTCCTCCACAACCTTTAGCTTCACCTAAAAGATAAATAAAATAAAATAAATTTTAACACATAGGTATATGTTTTTGGCTGTGTACAACTTTTTCCTGACCTATGAGCCATACTAAACGTATGAACAAATTAATAATAAATGTTCGTTTCAATTTAAACATAAAAACCTAAAATATTTCATATTTACCATAAGTAAATGAAATTTCGGCGACAAAACCTTCGTCATTTATTGAAGCATCAGTAACAAAATTAACATACATAACATTTGTTTTAGACTTAATTTCTGGTAGACTCTCATCTAAAATTCCACAAAATTTCCCTAGGCCTCGATAATTGTTAGTCTTTAAATCAGACTCGTCAAACACATTGACATAATCGTCTGGGCATCTTTCTTCTTCTGGAGCTTCGTCATCATAGTCTGGTTCTAGGCGAAATTTAGTAAAACTGTAAAAATGCACATTCCATCACTTTATCAATAAAAAAAAAAACCAATTGTAAATTTAAACATACACAAGCTGTACAACTTGTTCTGGAGGAGCTCGAATAACCCATGTGCAATTTGAATTACGTGGGTATCCAAAAATACCATACAATTTATCAAAACCAATTGGGGATTTAATTGTTCCCGGAGTAGTAATTTCACTTCCACATCCTGTGAATAATAAATAAATGTATTGTTGAAATTCAAATGGATAAAAATGTTTATTAATTATTTTTATAAACATAAATTTAATAAATAATAAATAAATAAAATATTTAAAAAAGCAGACATTCTTACAAATTCGATAATACTGAAGAAAGAGGATATATGTTTAAGTCTTAAGGTAATAATAATTTTGTGCACGAATATCGACGGATGTTTTTAAAAAAAACATGAAGCCAAACCATTATAATTATAACATTATATAATAAACTAAATATAAAAGTGTTATATAAAATATCGTTTCTTATTTCTTTATTATAACATTATTTTGGTAATTGTCTATGAAACACATGATAATCAATTATCAAAAATACTTGGCTAAAACATGTCCGGTTAAAAAGAAAGAACTGGTAAAAATATTTGTCAATATTTATTTATATACCTATATTTATTTATTACCTATATTAAATAATACCGTTTACATTTATTAAAACCTCCAAAAAGGATTAAAATAATGGCAAATATAATCTTTTTCTATATAGTAGTTATAACGAATACTTCCTAATCAAAATGCAGTAGGTACAGCGTTGTATCGAATATAATGTAATAACTAATAACCTTGCACATAACAATGAACAATGAAATTAGTAAGTACAACTTTACATTTGTACCTACACGTGATTAATAATTTAATATCAATTTATCATTATTTTGTTTTTAACGGGATGTTTATTATTTATGGTACAGGATATTTTGTCTCCAGATCCTATATCCAGGATCAATTATTATCACCGTATATCATATTTACTTGGATCAAAAATATGCGCACCAAAATAAATATTCCTATATTTAGAGCTAAATAGCTTCAATATTTTTTAAATAATAATATGTTTACAATTTATTAAGACATTCTTTATTGCAATAAACAATAAGTGTCTAAAATGCAAAGCTGGGCACTAACTAGTTAGAAAGTTAAAGTTAAGTTGGAAAGTTACTTTTTAAGTAAATTTCTAACTTAACTAGTTAGTTTTAATTCATAACTTTGTAACTTAACTAGTTGAATTTAATGTGTAAAATAGTCTAACCTAACTCGTTAGAAAAAAAACTAACTAGTTATTATTATTATTTTTTTTTTATTCCAAAATTCCAAAAGCTGTTTCTCAATCATGACTTTATGGCTATATGACTAAATAATATAGATTATTGGCTCTTATATATTATAAATTACTAGTATATATAATAATAGAAAATACGAAATTTATGTCTGATGATAACTTTGAAATGTCACTTTTGTTAAAATTTAACAAATATTTTGAATAAAATAAACTAGCGTATAGTCATATGGATTATTATGTATTATTATTTAATATTAATATTTTAAGTTGTCATATTGTTACATATATTTTTTTTCTTTCTGTTCTAATAACTAATAAGTGATATACCAATTAATGGAAATTATTACTTACATAATTAGAATATTTTAATCAAATTACTAGGTGTTTGATTCAATTTTTCAGTTTTAATCAATAATTTAAGTTAGATAACTTCTTATTTACATATCAACAAAAAGGTTTTTTAATCTATAAAAAAAGCTCACTTCTAACTTCTATTCTAACTTAAGTTACTATTTTCACCAAACTAACTTCTAACTAAGTTAGAAATTTGGACAGTTTCAGAAACTAACTTATATTCTAACTCAGTTAGTTTTTTTATTAAAGTAACTTAACTTCAACTAGTTGAAAAAAATTACCAACTTGGCCAGCTTTGCTAAAATGTAATTTTAGTTGGTTCATCATTTACCTTGAAATTCGTAATTTATTTCGAATCCCTTTTTTCCTACAGAATGGTCCGACATAAATATCATCATGACACTGTTCACAAACGTAAATGTGTTTGGTGCATGATTTCCACAATAGGTTCCAATGACATGTTTCGATTGGTCATCAAATGTACCTATCTTGTCATATATTGTTAGATTGTCATACTGGCATTTGGAACCTAGATTGTACAACAATTAATCATTCAGTATTGTTTGTGTAATATTAAATTTAATATTAAAACAATAACTAAAATTTATGAAAAATATCTAATAGGAAGCCGGTATATTAATCAGCTACTTTAGCGGTAGTTTTTCTTACGTAGGCAAGTAACGATTTTATAACGATATAGTAGTCTAGTTGAATATTTTTATTCAAAAACGTTACCGTCACAGTTTAAATATTAAATTATTGAATTATATATTTATTTTTTACATAAATGTTAAAAGTAAAAAAAATAACAAGTAATACTTAAATTTAAAAAAGCAAGCATAATATTTACTATCAAAATAATTATTAAATATTTTATCATACGCCATGCAACCAATTATAATTGCATATTATGTTCAGACACAGTAGATAAGGGCTTATTGAAATAGTGGATAATATAACCGATTTCCAATCACGATAACATAATTCGGACGTGAAACTACATAATTAAAAGTTTTTTTAATAGTTTGGATGTACAGGACGGTTTCTTTAAAATAATAATAGTTTGGATAATATCAGAAGAATAAAAATGATAATTTGCAAACTATTTAAATTATAAACTAAAATTGATGATATCGCCAGTAACTTTTACAAGTATAAACTGGGCGTTGCATATTTTAAGGAATTAATTTTCTAACAAAAATGTGTAGGTATTCAATGTCTATGATGCCTACCTTCTAGATCGAATGATTTAAAAGTCAGTTCTATACTTTCTCCCGGTGATAAAATTGTAAAGTTGCATTTCACATTCTTTGGATACTCTGCAGGATAGTTCGGTGAAAATATTTTTCCAGATTTTTTAGTAAAAATACCATCACAAATGCTCTTCCACTCGGCCTAAATAACAATTTATTACTAATTTTCAAAAAGTTTTTTTAAAATCAATATAAATACTACTACTTACCTTAAAACCTTCACCTTGTATATCACCATCAGTTCTTATACGAACTTTAAGCTTTGTTTCAGACGATTTGAATGTAGGAGGAATTTGACGACCACACAATCGGTTTCCTAGTGGCTCCCAGTTGTCATTGACGAAATCGAAAACCTATTAGACAAAAAAAAAAACTTATTCAAAAGTTGCACTACTTTTTTATTCAACAGTTATAATATAATTATGTTGTACTTAAAATTATATTCACTATTGGTATTAAGAAATGTAACACTGACTTACCTGTACATAATCTTTAGTACAGTTAACACTTTGTTCCAGATTAAATCGTTCAACAAATTGAAAGCTGACCTTGTTGCCTGGTAATACTCCTATTGTCCACTCACAGTCTTCATTGTTCGGATATAAGTTTGGATAGTTTTTGGTATATATCCTACCTTTTTCGTTTATATAAGTATTTCCGCATCCACTCTGTGTGGATTCCAAAGTTAAATTGAAGCCTCTGCTGTTATTCTTTCCAGTCTCAGATGAAAATACTATCCATAGCTCATTTGAAGTAGCTACTAAATTCTGTGGCAAAATGTTACCACAGTATTTACCCAATACAGGACTTTCAGGACTAGGTCCATCGTGTATTGTCACATGATTGTTATCGCACATTGAATCAAGGTCGATATCATTGAAACGTATCTAAAAATATATTATAAACCATCATAAAAATAGAACCATACGTCAAGTTCATAAGAATGTCTTTTTATAATTTCATTTTTATAATGGACAATTAAAAACAATTTAAACAATTTCTGGTTATGTTAAATTTGTATAGGTATCTAATATTCACTATTTAAATATTATAATATTTTGGGAAATTAATTATTGTTTTTAACTTATATATTATGTATTTTAGCTGGATATAAAAATTGTTTCCTGACAGTTAGAGTTTTCAAGGCATCCAAACAAAGAAATAAAAGTAAAATACATTTTTTTTATAAAATTGAATGTATAATATTTTTGGTTATTCAAATAACAACGAATATTAAAAACATATAATGTATGATTCAATGTTATTATAGAAAAATAATGATATACTGGACTTAGAAATTATTTTTCATTGAATAAATTTAATGTAATCTAACAGAAATAAAATGATTGACGTTAAAATAGAAATGATATGACGTTGGACTCTTATATAATATGTATAACAATAATAAATTATTCTTCATATTTTAAAATAAATTGCATAAAAAAATATTTGTTAAAGCTCTTTATTATTTTGTAAAGCAAATCATTTGACTGCTCACTTACATTAACATTTTCACCCTCAGGAAGTACTACTGACCAAGCGCAGTTTGTATTTTCCTTATAGTTATTAGGATAATTTGGACTTGTAATGGTAATTGTCTGCCCACGTAGTACTCCACCACACATATTAATATAATAGTTAAGACTTGCTGTAAAATTGACTGATTTTTTTTCTGCGTTTAACTAAAATATGTAAATTAAACATTATTTAAAAAAAAGTTTTTTCATTTAATCAATTATAGTGTTAAACTTTAATTTTTAAACTCTTACCAAAAGTTTAGTCATTGGTAATGGACTTATAATAATAAATTTCTCGTTCTTATTTGATTTTGGACAGTACCTTTTCAACAATATATTTTCATCCTCTAAATAAATAATATTTAATTAATAATATTGTTTTTAAAATTTCCGATGGTTACAAAAATAAAATAGATATGTATTTACCATTGGTAGCTAATAAAATAAAATCATAAGGACAGTTATTTTTAGTTTGGTTAATTTTGAAATCTGCTTCTATTACAATAGATCCATTCGTGTTAGTCAAGTCCCATTGACAATTAAAGCTGGTTATATTTCTAATGGGTAATTCAATTTTACCATTGATACTAGCATCTATTACTCCTCCACAAACTATAATAAATATAAAAACGATAATTTACAGTAAATAAACGCAACACAAAATTAATTGGTCATTAATTCTATTTATGAATGTATTATTATGCTTTTTTTCAAACACTTTTTATAACCATTAAGGTAAGGTACTTCAAAACCAAACTTAACATGGTATTTTATAGGTCACACTCGGAATCGTCCATTGTTTTCAAAAGTTTCTATGAAAACTGTACATATTTAGAAATTATTTTATTTCCAATTATATACCAGTCTGGCAATAAACAATTGAGATATATAATAGATATTAGCAATAAATTAAATGATAAGTAGTAACAATTATAATACAATTATCAATCCACCAATAAAAACAAAAGGTAATAATGTTTCAAATAATATTAGCAAAGACCCAGTTGAACCATTCTTTGAGGATAATTGAAGGCGAAGTTACAATTAATACGGACAGGCTTGTTATCATGTGGAGGACAGGATACATTTAGTAAAAAAACAGCAAATGATAGAAATTTCCGTTGATCCCTTTCTATCATTAAAGTGTCTATAGATAATTGAGGGTCCCAAATAATAGATCCATATTAATACATATGTTATGTACTTATGTATTATGTTCCTATTACTCTCGATACATTTTACAGGAAATTTATAATTAGGTATTAGTTACTTTGTATAACAATTTCGTTTAAAATAATATAAAATAATAATTACCTATATTATAATATATTCTATATAAATTGAACTACATTTAAGAGGATGTCAACGCACTATTAATTGTTTTCTCTCTCTGGCTCACGCACAACATAGACAAAACGTATTAACGCAGAATCATTTTTTCTATGTTTTTAAGTAATCTTAGAGTAAAATCACCCATTACAAAAAAGATAGAGAATAATAATTTTTAGGGAATGACATATCGATTTGTCTCAAAACAATTTAAACAAAATGTTTTTGTTATTTTGAAAGTCGAATACAAAGTCAAATAATAATAAAATATAAAATCGATGTCATTCCCTCAAAAATATTATTTTCTATTTTTTTTGTAATAAGTGATTTTACTATAAGATTACTTCAAAACCAATGGTGGGCAAATTAATGAAAATAATTAACTGTGGCAAGTTAAGTTAATTAAATTAAATTGCCTTCAGTTAAGTTAAAAGTTAACAAAGAAAAAAAATTTAACTAGATAATTTTAAAGTTAAGATAGAAAATAAAATTAACTTATCTGAGTTAAAAAAATGTTAATTTTTTTGAAGGTAGGTACAATATTTTTAAGTCATAAACTACCACAGTATTTTATTATACACAAACATTTACCAAGACATTTAATATTGTGTAAAAAATTTGATTATTATAATAATATATAATTCAAAAATATATTACCAAAATCGTAAAACAGTCGACAAATCAGTATTGCCCAGTTGATTACGCATGACTCGAAAAGAAAATTAAGTTAACTGCACGACAATGATAATTAACTATAAAAAATTAAGTTACAACAATAACAATTTTAACTGAATAAGTTAATAAGTTAAAAACAAAAATAATCGACTAGGTAAGTTAAAAAGTTTAAAAAAAAAATTAACATTTTAACATAACTTTAACTTTTTAACAAGTTAATTTCCACCTTTTTTCGAAACATAAAAAAATTAATGATTCTGTTTAAATGTGTTTTGTTTATGTTGCGTGTAAGCCAGAAAGAGAAAACAAATAGTGCGCTGACATCCTCTTAAAAATATTAATTGGATTTATTTATGTCATGATATTTTCACTTTGAAAATAGATACTTATTATTACAACTGACTTAAAAGAATAGCTACTGAAACATGGATAACTCGACATATTACCTATATATTATATATGTATAACAATTTATTTTAATGATTACTTACTGGAAGGTTTGTTCGACGAGAATTTCAGTTGAAACCCAGTTTGACTACCACTTATATAAACATAGTGAAGTTCCATTTCATTCGATGTTGATTCATAAACATAGTTCATTGATGAAGGATTAATAACAGGATCAACGCACGTTGAGATACCAAAGGTATCGGCACCTTGGAAAGCCTTTAATTATATCAAATACAATATAAATTAGTGAGGTGTACTCATGTTACCAAGTGTTGATTATAGCATCAGAGTAATTATTTATTAGCGATTTGGTAAAAAATAATGATTACTAATTAGTTTAAATATTCTAAATCTACTCCAAATGTATTTCTTAGACTGGTAGTTAGGAAAATTCGAGTATTTTTTATACTAACAAATATTAGAAATTTTTTTTAGAAATTTTGATAAAAATATTAAATTACCATTAAGACAAAAATGTTAAATTGTATCAACAATCAACATAATATAGAACTATTAGTACTGTTAACTACTAGAAGACTATTAGTATTTTTACATTATTTGAATCTACAAGTATAATGTATTATATTATATCACTATTTATGCATTCATATTTTTAATTTAAGTAACTAGATACATAATAGGTCCATATAACATAAACCTTAAATGTTTAATTACAATAATAATTTGATTATAAACTAGGATTTTACACTTACCACCAATTCTTCTTTTGAGGCATTTTCTACTAATAAATAACTATCACAAGTTTGAGCGATCGATTTCCCTTTGATAATTTCAACAGTAATCATACGTCCTCTCGGTACGGTTATTTTATATGAACAGTATATACGTCTACTATTCAAACTGGAATACTGAGGACTCCTTATTTCACCACTCTCAACATTGTAAATTTGACTGCAACCTATTAAAAAAAAAACATTGTTATAAAACAAGTTAAATAAATGATAACTCAATTATAAATTAATACTTGAAATTAACTATTTATAAAACATCAAAAATGAATGCGGGAATAATAACAATAATAATAATATAATACATTATTATTAAATACCCAATAACTTTATTGCTTTCATTAATAGAATTTTTTTTTTTTTTATTGATGCACCCCGTGTCATCTATGGCCATTAGCTATTTGTAGGGTTGTATTGTGGTGGTGCTAGGGTTTGGAACGGTAAGTTTTTACACGTGAGTATTTGTGTTTGGCATATTTTTTATGTGGGATCCCGTAGGTATCTTCCATGCCCGGGTGGGGGATGGCAGCCTTTCTCTCTGGACACTGTGACTGCCCGAAGAAAAATACCGCCCGTATCCGGGGTCGAACCGGCGTCGGTGCGCGTCGCAACCGACGCCTTAGTCTGCTCGATCATTCCATCCCCTTAATAGAATAATATGTATAAGATTTTATAACTTACTATTGTACTCAGTATCATAAGTCAATAAAAACTTTGCATCAGTATTTTTAGAATAAAAAGGCCCATTTCTAAAGTGTGATTTGAATTTAATTACCAATTCTTGACCGGATGATTTGATGGGGTTTGGTGGTATATTGGAACCAAAAATCGTTACTAACAATACCCCTAAAAAATAAAACAACATCATATAATAATTATTGTAAATGTTTATACTAATATATATTATAACGGTTGACGGTGGAATGTCACAATTAATGATAATTTTTTATTTTGTTTAAAAAGGGGACTACTAAAAATCAAACCATGAAAACTAAGAATTGAAATTTCACACTTTAATTAATATACACTATGATGTGCATAATCGTAATAACTAATAATAAATAATAATACGATTTTCGCATTTAATCGAAATGTTGTCAACTGATAATATACTGTTTTCGGCTTGATGTGCCATACTGCCGTGTACTTATTACCTAGTTATATTTTGTTATAATTAAAAAAATAAGTAATTAAATATAGAAAACAGAAATTTAAGAAATTTAATTTTTCAAACAAATTTTTTTGACATATTCATTGCTCATTGCTGGAGTAAAAACATAGGTGTGTGAATAGTATTTACTGGTATTGTTGAATGGGTCTACGTCGTATACAGACAGCGTGTCATCGTATGTATCGTTGTTGTGCCAAACATCCGGTAATACTCCAATGCTGGGATACCGCCGTTTCAAGCTCACAACATCGAAATTTAATATGATACGGCGTCTGAAGTCGACGATAATTCGGTATTCGCAATCCATGTTCGACTCGTATGAACCAGGATACTTCGGTGACGATATTGCACCTTGGAGCGATCGTCGAATACCACCACATTTCGCTGTAAAAAATAAATAATTATATTTAACCACATTAGAACAACCAATAATATTATTAGATTTCTGAAAACGATTGTAAATAAAGAACATTAAAATGGAAAAATTAAATTAAAGTGTAATGTTTTTTAGATATATTTTGATTGCGACCGCAATAATATCAATGTTCTTTTAAAGTTCTAATGAAATCAATGCCATAGCATTTTAAAAATATTATACTACAGTGGGTAGTTGTTCAGTTAAATTAGTTTACATACCTACCTATCCAGTAGCGGATCTGAAGCTCATTTAAGGAGGGGGCGAATTGGTATCATAGAATTTCAATATATACATATTGTCAATAAACATCTGTTATATATATATAAAAAAAAATTAAACCGTATAAAAATTCAACAGTCTTTTATTCAATATTAAACAAACAAATGTATTAATAATTTATTTGAGCAACAGTTGTATGGTTCTTTTTTACCAGCCTCAAATTTGTCCATGAACAATGAAAATAAAGTATACAGTGCTCAATATTAAAATTGAGTTATTTTCCACAGTCACAGTGAACAAAATATTTAATTTATTTTATAAAAATGAAGTGATAACAGATTTGATGATAGGAAATGTCTCGGAGAAAAAAAGTCCCGGGAGAAAAAAGTCTCAAGTCCTAGGGGATGGGGGGGGGGTAATCACCCCCCTCAAATCCACCACTGTACCTATCAATTAATATATAAAATACAATTTAAAATTATTATTGATATAATACAGTATATCCAGCAGATCTGCTTGATATTTTTATTTGTACCTTGAAAAAAATATGGAACTATGCGAGGCATAATTTATATCATGTATTTTTAATGATTAATCCATTCCCAGTTCAGTCATTATAGGGCAATAGGGCATAGATATAAAATACACATACATATTATCATTATCTAATCATAGAATCATCTAAAATCAGCTTATTCAATATTTTGAACTTTGAAAAATATTAATAATATAATATTATATTATAATTTATTAATATTATAACATCGTAGTCCATAATGGACCTTAATAATATATTATCACATCACAATCCTCAGCACATAAAATATTTAGTGTGTTTGTTCGTTCTGTATAGTTACTCAAATACTGGAATTATTCAATTATGCCACTGTTATTTCCTCTGAAATAAATCTTCAATTGTAATAAGACTAAGATAGTTTACGTTAAAACCACACATTGTAAAACAAATATTGGCTTATTAAATATTTCCGAAGTAAGGGTTCCGTTTAACCATCCTCCCGCCTTAACAAGAGTAAAGTTGACACAGCCATAATATCGGTAATACATTTAAATAAATTAAGTATAAGAATTAATACCTATAGTAACATTCAATTTAAAACCATTGTTTGGTACACTTAAATCCGTGAAATACTTTATGTACAAAAAGTTATCTGTTGTTTCAATATCTTGAACTGGATTACTCCCACAAATATGCTTTATCAATTTTGAAAATCGAGCGGCACCATCTCTAAATTCGATATATTCCTTTTCACACCTAAAGTTATAGATAAAATATTAATCACTGTAGCATTAAATTGTTTACAGAAACAATGCATTTGCTTTCGTATGCACTACAATATTTAGCATTATGCAATTATACAACGCATCATACGATTGATATACGACCGCGACGTATATATTAAATGTGTTTAGAGAGCAACATTTTAAATAGTCACAATAATTTGTATCGTATAAATTCTACGTAATATCTTATACAATAAATATTAACTTGACTTACGTTTCACCCAAAACTAAGTCTTCTATGGTTACAGATATTTGTTCTCCAGCAATTGCTACTACCGTCCAAATACATTCTGTGTGTGCTGGAGGTATATTTGGATATGAAGGAGATGTTATTTGGGTGATGTTGTATACATCATTCAAATAAATTTGTCCTCCACAGTTTACTGATTTTTCTTCAAACGCTATTTTGACGATCTAAATTTAAGGCCCTCATTACTTATTAGGTACATTATAATTTTGTCTTTCTAAATTTTAGTTTTTTTTTTTTTATTATTATTCATATTAAATAAATCCCTCATTTGACTCATTTTTAGATTCTGAGTGAAACGATGAATGTATTGATTTTACAATGATGTGTGTTTTTTTTATTTTTTTTTTTATTTTTTTATTTTTTTTTGTGTCTGTCATCACGTTTTGGGACAGTAAAAGTGCTTCGATTTTCTTCAATAGTACCTTTTCTGATAGGAAAATGAATCTAGTTGGTACTTTGGGGGATCAAAAGTAAACATTTTCCAGTAGTTTTCACAAGCGCCGGGAAAAACAACATAAAAATTAAGGAAAAACGGGAATTTTTACGCAAAATCGATTTTCCAAAAAATCGAATTTGGTTTTTGGTGTAACTTTAAAACAAATGACCGTAGATACATGAAATTTTCACTGGTTGTTTATATTTGCATTTTCTATACACGATAACATTTTCAAAATATTTTGATTTATTTTGAACTGTTTAGGGACATTTTCATTTTTCATTTTTTTTTAGTTTTTTTTTTAGAAATATCAATAAAATTTTATTTGTTGGTTGCGAAAGCTTGAAAATTTAATAGAAGGCTCCTAATATATTGTTTCAAAGGCAGATGAAAAATATTAAAAATCCTTAGTCACAATTTTTTTTTATAAGCATTTAAAGTTCAAAAATTGACAAAATATGGAAAAATCACGAAAATTAGCAAATTATTTGAGTTAAGAATTCGTAAAAATTTTTCTTTTTAAATCTAAGATTTGAAAATGAAACACAAGATTCCTTATAAGATTATCTACCTTTATCAATAAAAAAATCTCTACCGGACAGTCAAATTAAATTTTTATGAGCGTTTGAAATTCAAATTTTTACAACATTGGATTTTCACTCGATTACTCATGTAGCGATTTCCTTATTTTGTTGCAATTCAAAAACGAACAACTGTAGATACATGAAAATTTCACTGAATGTTTAAATTAGCATTTTCTATACACCATACAACTTTGAAAATATTTTGACTCTTTTTGAGCTGTTTATGGACATTTTCAGTTTTCAATTTTTTTTAGTTTTTTTTTCTATAAATATCAATAAAGTTTTATCTGTTGGGCCAAAAAGTGTAAAAATTTAATACAAGGCTCCTGATATAAAGTTACAATATCAGTTGAAAAATATTAAAAATACATAGGCACGATTTTTTTTTAAAAGCATTTAAAGTTGAAATTTTGACAAAATTTATCAAAATCTCAAAAATTATCAATCGTTGGAATTAAAAAATTATAAAATGTTCAGTTTTTATAACTAAGAGTTGAAAATTTAAAACAAAGATTCTCTTAAATAATTCATACTGTAACCAAAAAATCTAAAAAATATATAAACACACTTATTTTTTACAGACATTTTAATTTCAAATTTAGACAAAATTTCATATTTAAACCAAGAATTACGATTTTAGTTATTTTGTTGTGATTGTATAATATTATTCGTGGGTACTTGAAATTTCTAAAGTAATTTACTATATATATCTATGATAGTATCAGGGTTTGTTGTTGGTGTATAACGCGTTATAAGTACCTAATGGATATTGTGATATGATTAATTTGGAATTCATTATAGGTCAATTTTTTTTAATACCATAGATATGTATATAATATGTCTTATACCTAGAAGGACATACCGTCTCCACTCAGAATCGTTTTTCTTATACAATGATATTATATCATTGAATTCAAATTTAATACCATCCATTATACAATGACCCACTTGTAACCTACAGTACAGCAGAGCGACATCCACTTACCCACCTTTTTTCTGTTGGTTATAGTCCAAATAAGGATTTAGTTTTTATATTTGGTCATAATATATTTTATCCTCATGGTAATCTATATAGGTATAATATAATCGAACGTAGATTGGCCATATTTTTTATTTTACTTAAGCTGAGACAAACTTTTTTCGTATAATTTTGATGGGAAAAATCGTATCACTCCTCCACTGCCAACCAACAGTTTTAACATACAATTTTTATGGAACTAGAATGGGCCTAGAGAATACCACAGTGGCGCTCTACGTATGTAAGGCAAAAACAAACTCAACGTTACAAATCGAAATCAGTGACTGACAAAATAATCAAATTAGTGATAAGAGATAGCAAAAAATGTGTGGAAAACAGGAAAACACAATGGACATTTATTATTAATCAATAATACTGTCGTCACCAAGTCCGGAAAATTCTTTACATTGCATAAGTGTTATGCATATTTTTCGATTTTTTATAGCATAAGCCATAAACACAACAGTTATTACTAAATTAAATCTTTTCGTTTTTTTCTTTTTTTCTTTAAATTTTGAAACCCGTTATATCGAATATTATAACGAATCGGACAAAGTTTGAAACATTTAATAGTTGCATTTCTTATACGAACAACGTAGTGCGCCGCGGATGAGAGGATCGTTTATTAAATAATTGGTTGAGCAAAATGGTGAAATAACAATACAAGAATTATTGCCGGTGTTTCGAATTGGAACCTTTAAGTTTTTACTTTTTAAGAGCAAGATGATATTATAGAGAACCAGAAAAAAAGATTTTGAAGAATGGAAATTTGATAAGAGTAACGACTGTCGTTTTAAGAGGAGGGACTTAGCTGATAACAAAGGACGAGAGTGTAGTCATGTGACAAGCAGTTTTTATTAAAAGTATATTTACAAAACTTTGAAATCTGTGTTACAGAGCGTTACGAGTTTTTTACTGGTGTTCAAAGTCTGCATATCCCATCCGTCAACCTAGCCATACTCAACAATAGGTCAAACAAGAGCACAGAAAATAGATTTTTGTGAATTGATATTCTATAATTAAAACGTAAGACTTTAAACACCTTGCACGTAATGTTATCGATGTGAGGCAGATGACAAATAGATGTAGTTAATGTAATGGTTAATATTTATGTCAAAACAAAGAATGTTGATATTATGTATTTATGTCTGAAACGAATAAAAATTATACTTACATCCTGTACTGTTATACTGACTCCAACTTGTAATTTATTATCAGTCGTGGACAATGTTTCTATATTAGTGGTGTTACAGTATTTACCTTGGCCAAGGAGAGGTGAATCTTCATAAAAACCATTTTTTAACTAAAATAAAGTACATGGTTATAATTTGTAATAATGATTATCCGATATCCAGTTTATATACGTCTACTTACCAAAACATAATTGTCTGCACATGAAAGCAATTGCAAGTTAATAAATTTAACTGAAATAGTTCTTCCTGGACGTACAGTAACATTCCAAGAGCAATGAAGTGAATACGAGTGCGGTGAGTCTAAGAGTTGACTAGTAAAATTAGATAAATTAATTACTCCTGTTGGTCCGCGTAATTCGCCTCCACATTCTACAAAATCACATACAATTTATGAATATTAATTTGCATACATAGGTATATATAGATGATATAATTCATTTTACATACTTAATTTTGCTTTAACTTTAAATCCCGTACCATTCAATGACTTGTTTGAAATGAAAGTTATTATAACTTTATTCTTACCGACTATTTTTTTATCATTAATTTGATTTGTGTTTTTATACACTTTCTTCAAAAATATAGTATTTCCGGTATCAGAATCAACTAAAATATAATTATAATGTATAAATGACAAATGTATAAATTATTAAAAAAAAAAAAAATTCTATGACAAGTTTTTTTCATATTATGTAAACACATTTTTTTTTAAATTAAATAATATAATATATTGGTAAAATATAAATTTCATAACTATATTAAAGAGTAAATGAAAAAATTAATTTTTAAATATTGTTTTTTAACATTTTTAATTATATTAAAACAATAGTAACATGAATTTAAGAAAATAAAAAAAAAATATTACGAAATATTGAAGATTTCAGTTAAGTATATATCAGTAAGTTATCTTATGTTAAGCCGAAGATAATTTTTATTACCTGTTTCTATATTAAAGTAATCTTTATAATAAACATCCGAAGATGAATGAATAGGGTACAAATCTACGTCCAGAATATTAATTTCTATATGGTAGTGTGGTTCCGAATGAATTGTCCAAGTTACATTCAGATTATGTTCGTATCCGTAAGGATAACCAGGACTTGTAATTATCACACTTGTATTGGTACTTGGTGATAAAAAATAATCATAACTCGATTTGTTATCTAAAAATTTGTAAGGTAAATGTTAATTCAATTTTTTTTTTCTTTTTAATAGATACAAAATAACAATATTATTAATTAAAATATTTACATTTAACATCATACACGAAGAATGGTTTTTTAGAAAATTGCGCATCCACATTTGTCCATGACAGTAAAAAGTGTATACCTCCAACCTGTCTACTACCAGCTGTCAATTTTATGTACACAGTATTGTCGGTTGACATTATAGTTTCATTAAATACTGTATTAAAATTTGTATAGCTTAGTTCATACAAAACTAATGAATTAACATTACTTCCGTCATATATCTTCGTGCAAATAAATAAAATTGATTACCATTTACTATTAGTTGGATAAAAATGTTAAAATTATAATTTACTTTTAAACTATGAATTTTTGAGGTAGTCATAAACTCTTTTATTACAATTTGAACTTGTTGTTTTCGGTCTACAGTTATTTTCCATGAATAATCTTCACTATCTCTGTATGGTTTCGGATACATTGGACTAGAGATTTCTCCAGATTGTTTTGTCAACTCAATTTCAGATGCTATAATGTATAATATACGTTATTTAAACTATTCATTTATTGGAATAATAATAATCTTACCATATTTAAAATCTGCAGTAAATCCTTTAGCTGAGCCATCAGAATTAGAACGAAATTTGACCCAAAGTGTTGAACTTGAAGTAACATTTGATGGAAAGTTTGTTCCACAAAATATACCTAAGACTGGACCGATAGAATCTCCTTCTCTAACTTCTACATAATCTTCATTACAAAACTCGTCTTCTTCTAATTCAAAAGCAATGAAATTCAAAGACACGAGATTTCCAACGGAGGACTTTAATATCCAAACACATTCTGAATCTCTAAAATAATTATTTGGATAGTTGGGGGAAGAAATCGTTCCTCTTATCGAGTCATAGGTTCCACCACATGCTAATTAAAACAAAACAATATTATTACGAAAATATTTACATCGTTCAAGTTGTATCATATGTTTACTCACCTACTGATCTTACAGAATACAGAGCTGTAAATGAATCCAACGCACCAGAGTTATCTGTGAACTCTATACGCATAGCCGGTCCATTACTGATAATCGGTGGTGGTATTGGATTTGATTTACAAAACTTTAATATTTCAGGTGCATCAGATTCTGGGCCATCCAAAATTCGAAATATTGTGTGGAATAAATCACCAGAACACTGCTTATTAGTATTATTAGTGGTCCCCACCATACTATTTTCTAAAGGATGTACTATATCAATACGCGTAAAAATTAATGTGACTTTTGACTGAAGGGTATCAGATATAATAGTCCAAGTACAGTTCTCGTTTAAACTGTTCGTTAAGGATGGGTTATTTGTGATAATCCCCGAAGTATTTGTTATTAATTTTGCACCACAAGCCTGGAAAATAAAAATAGAAAAATAGAATAGTAGGAACCTTACTACATACATACCTACATTAAAGCTAATAATAATATATTACCGTCGAATATATTGCTTTAAACCCTTTCGCTCGTAAGTCATGATTGCCTACTTCAAAGGATACCATGAGTTTATTAGATGAAGATATGACCGGTGGTGGTATGCTATTTCCAGAGTGGTTAAGGAGTAGTTTTCCATGGATATCGCCGTCATAAACTAAAACTTTATCTCTGTTTTTTGTTGGAAAACTCCGAGTACTGAAGTCAACGAATGTAAGGTTAACTAAATGAGTTTCTGCTATTTCAATATACCACATGCAAGAACTGTTGGAATCATAATTTTTGGGATAATTACTGGTATGGATAACTCCTTGAGGAGCAGTAAACCTTCCACCACATTCTATAATGGTAAAAAAAAATTTTATTAAACGAGCGTTTAATTTTTTGTTTTAAATTTTTTTACTTTATATTTTACTAACTATAAACATTTAAACCTTCCAAATTTTAGAATTTATCAGTGTTTTTCATTTTTCATTATAGGAAATATCATAAGGAAATAAAAATACATTTCACGCAACTAAACGTCACCTTTATGGGCTCGAATAAAGATATTATACCTTAAAACGAATATGAGAGTTGAATGTATGTTTTGTAGCTTAGGTATATACTCAAAAACTACATGACTGATTTTGGGAAATTTTCAAATTGTTTATAGATTAATCAGGTAAGTTTAATGAGTGTAGTTTGAACCACTTTTGGTTTTAACCAAGTGCTGAGCATACGAATTGTTTATCTCGGTCGAATTAGTTCATACACCGAGGTACACCGACGTCGATTGGCTCGTGAAATGAAGTACACTAAAATCAGCATATCTTATATCTACACCTTTATAACGCTATACTATTTATATGTTTTCATTCGTTCAAGGGCAAAGTCGGATTATACAGCTAAAGAAATGTCAGTTTATCCAAAGTAATTTACTCAAAAACTACTGTACCGTTTTCAATAAAAGTTATATCAATAAATTGCTTGAGACTCAAAGTTTGTTTATAGCTCATTTTTTCAACCACTATATTTTCAAATACATACATTTTTTTGAGCTGACGAAAAAAATAAAATAATTATTGATTTATTTATGCCGTTGGTTACATTTTATATTAATATTATAGTTAATAGAAATATGGCATACATATACATTTTTTTTACAATTTTCAATTTTAACGAAAGTTAAAATATCTCTATAATTTTTTTTTATTATCAAACTATAATATTACCAGAGAATTAAAAATAAGTGAAATCATCTTAATGTTATAGACTACAGATGGCTGATAATATAACTATCAAAGTACAGAAATTGTAATTTTATCTAAGTGACCCTTAATTACAGATTTATTTACGACTTATTGGAAAGGAAATTATCCATGGTTAATATAGATTTTTAAAGAGAAACTTAAGTATGTGACCGTGCTAAAAAAAGCTATTCTAAAGACAGCTAATTTTCTCTTTCCATGAGTCATAAATAAATCTGTAATTACGGACAATTTGATAAAACTACAGTACGCCCACTGCCCACATACTGAAATTGATCTTTAAACGTCAATCAGTAATTGTGAATGTTGTTCTAAACATTTTTTTTAATTTAAATTTGAGCTTAAATTAAATATTATATTATACTATAAATATATTGTTGGAAATTATAAATCCTTTAAACGGTTTATTGTGCTACAAAATCTGTCACCTAATAATAATAAAATATAAACTTAAAAATGTAATTTGTAAATAATAATAAAAAGTTATGATTTATAATTTCTCATTATATTTAAATATACAATTAATGTGGTAATCTAATATTTTTTAGTTGTAGCAGAAAAAAACTTACTCGATAGAAATGTTTTGTAAGTAGCTCTAAATCCTTTCCTCTGAGACTCTGCACTAGAATCAAACTTTACAAAAGCTTCATTTCCACCAGATGTTACAATGATTGGACTGGTTTGCTGATGACATATTCGTAACAATTCTGGACCAGAATCATCGTCTCCGCTGTAAATCTAAAATTAAAATTAAAATCTTAACCAAAATATAATTTAAACATTCTAATACATACAGCTAATGCATCGAGTGCGCAAGATTTTGAAATTTCAAACCAAAAATCTACTATAGTTATCTCTATGATATATCCATAATCAGCGACAATATTCCATTCACAAGTTGTACTGGGAGGATAAAATCCAGGATATCCGGGTGATGTAAATTCACCTTCTGGTTGATCCAACGTTCCCCCGCAACCATCTACTATCCATTCCAAACGGAAACTATCAATTCTCTCCATAAATGATGATCTGCTTCGAACGTTATAACTAACTTTAACTATATTTTTAGTTGAAGCAATTATAGATTGATTATATTCCAAAGAACTATGAACCCACAAATCTGTATTTATTTCATTAATATTTGCACCTTCCGATATCTATAAATATAGGTAAATACAAATTTATGAATAATTATCAACTATTTATACATTTTATAAATGCAATATCATACTTACAGTTAATTGAGTTAATTGAGAGTTGTTACGTTTACTATTAACTACCAAACTTTTCAACAAAGATGATTGACGCTTATGCAACAACTTTAATGAAGTAAATGTCATATTAACTTTACTACCTTTTGGTGCAACGATTGTCCATTCACATTTATCAGTTCTTAGATTTTCTTGATGAGCCATTTCAATTGCACCTTGATATCCTTTTATAGTTACATTACAGTCTAGAAAAAAAATATTTAATTATAATACAATTTCACAATAATATTTTATTATTATATAATTTATACCAACCTGTAGCATATTTTAAAGAGAAGCCTCTCCCCTTGGAAAAACCACTATTTCTAAATTTAATGTACATCTGGTTTGAAGATGAATGCACAGATGTAGATGATTGAGTATCTGAACAAAATGTTCCCAACATTTTACTTGCACTATTACCCCCATCATAAAACTGTAAAAATATTAGGTAATCATATAAATTATACAAAAATAAATTAGAAAACAATTATTTATGATCTAAATTGAAAATTCACTAATAAATATACCCTGTATATTTTTTTTTTTTTTTTAAACTCATGTTTGAAAAAAAAATTACTGTGTACATCTGTAAATTCAAAAAAATATATAAAGATTATAAATTTACAACGAAACATACTTCAAGGAAATTATCTTTACACTGCCCTCCAGGAAAATGGTCAGTTATTAACTCAATATCTAATATAGTGAGTTTGATTTGACTTCCTTGTGCCACAGCTATCTTGTAATAGCATTCTAATGGCTCCTGTATAGGTAATGGATAATTAGGTGATACGATATGTCCAACACCAGAATTCAATATTCCACCACAACCTTTTAATTATGTTAAATGATGAATTATGTGTATATTTTTGTTTTAATTTATGTAATTCTATACCTCTGGCAGTTGTATACCATTGCATGAAAAAACCTTTACGTCCTCTAGATCCATCAGACACAAATCTTACAAAAAGTGTATTTCCAATTGAAGATATGATAGGAAGAATTTTAGATCCACAATATTTACCAATCAAAGGCGATGTAGGAAATCCTCCATTTCTATAGAAATAAATAATTATACATTTTATTAATAAATAAATTATTAATAATTCATACTCAATTTAGCTATCATAAACTATACATACCGAATTTCAACGTAATCAAAACGACAGTCTAAACTTTCCTCGAGCAGAAAATGAGTAACGTTTAATTCAATCTGATTAGTTACTGGTACATTTATAACCCATGTACAATCTTTTAGTTTGGGATAATCATTTGGGAAATTTGGCGATTTAATAAAACCTTCTGGTATGAAGAAGTTTCCACCGCATGCTACATTAATATAAATCATTATTTAGATGAGAAATATATTGAGAACTATAATAGCATACACACCTTGTGCCTTATTAAGTGAAATGTAATTAAGCATAAATCCGTCTGATGCCACAGAATGATCAGTTTTAAAAATGATTGTTAGTCGGTTACCCAACGAAGTCAGTACAGGGGGGACCTTAGTTCCACAATATCTGAAAATGACATGAATATTTTTTATTTAAAAATTCTACTTGTCACATTTTTTTTTTTATTCAAATGCATAACATTTAATTCAACTGAAAACTACAAAATGTATTGTGTCCTAAGTATATTAAGTAAATATACCTGTTGTACATATTATATTGATTTTTTTAACATTAAATTTAGCATCGTTAATATAACCCAATTATTTTTTTAATTAATTGAGGTTATAATTCTATCGATCCAGCCCTATGCCCAACATGCAATACAAACTACTCCATCAAGCATATCATCATCCACTGCCCAAACTTCAACGACGCTAGAAAAGATCTCAACATCCCAGACAACCTGTACGAAGCAATTGGTCCATTTTCAAACTTTCATAACATAATTTTATTTTTAAAAAAAATTGAATTGCACAATACCATATAATTATTTAATGTAGAAATAACACCTGTAAGCTAATAACCTATGTAGTTGATGCTTAACCAATAAAAAAAAAAAAAAAAAAAAAAATTCTATCGAATAATATAATTACCTAGCAATTTTTGATGAATTTCCCGAAATACTATTGTCGTAAATTTCAACATAATCATTATTACAAGAGTGTTGGGTTTCTAAGGAAAATGTTAACCAGGTTATTTGTATTTGACTAGATTCATTCACAGATATAATCCATTTACACATTTGATTGTGTAAATATTGCTCTGAATGTTTCGACGATTGTATAATACCAGATGGTTCCTTCAAAATACCACCACATGCTAAAGAATTAAAAAGAAATAAGAAATCATGATTAGCATTCTTAGTACCTAATTAAATTCATAGGTAATTATATCGTTTACCTATATCAATGGTCGAGTAGTTAGCTCGAAATCCTTTATTAGAATTAGAATGATCGGTAGAAAATTTTAACCACATATAATTATGTGTTGATATGTAAGGAAGTTTAGGAAGTTTTTCAATATTTCCACATAACAGTGCGATTTTAGTTGAATTCTCGTTGTCTCCATCCCTGATCTGAAATTGATATAAATTACATAATATTAGGTATATTTTATTTGTAATCAATATCCAAACTCTTGATTTTTTTACTTTACAAAATTTGTAAAATGTAAATATCAGAAATCATTTAAAATCTTACAGTTTGTGAAACATACAATTATATATTTGTATTATTCTAAAGTATAGTATTGTACACAATGGACGCAGTATTGTCAGTATACATTATTATGGAGTATAACAACAAATTATTACAAAATTAAAAAAATTAAAAATATTAATTTATTTTTTGATATGAGATGATTAAAATTAATATTAAGTATATAGTATAATTTTTTATGAGAAGGACGTTTAGTTTTTAAAAACTACGTTCCTGCTTTTCGTTGACTTGGGATGTTTTAATAAAAGAAAATAATATTTGATTTATTATTTGTTATTCATATTAATATGTTCAATAAAAGTTAATGTCTATATGTCTGTAGGTTATAGACCGCAGGTCACCAATAATAATATAACTTTAATATTGCATTACTTTATTGTACCTACTTACCTATCCTATACCCATACGATGTCAAATTTATTTTTAACACATTAACAGGTCGCTGGTCATTTTTAAGGTTTAGTCGGCCCACGAGTTGGATATCGCTGGTATAGAGTCGAAAACTATACTCGACTAATTTTGACAAATTTCTCAGATATTGACTTAGATATATCAAGAAAGTTTTAAAGAGTTATTTTAACCACGTTCGAAAATAATATTATACTAAGTGTCATATCCAATCCACCAAAAGTGTGAAGTGGATAGCCCATCTGGGTCGAATTACTTCACAAAGCGAAATACATCGATGTCAATTTACCAGTGAACGTTTATCTCCAGTTGGTATAAAAATTGGAGCGAATTGACCTCTTATAAAATGTAAAGGTAAGATTATTATCTAGACAATGACATTGGCTTTTTATTATAATTTAATTTTAAAGCGAGTTATGTGTATTTTAAAATTGTAAACTGTTTGTACATCTTAAAATACTCATAACTCCGTAGATAATAATCTTACCTTTAATTTTTATAAGAGGAAAATTCGCACCAATTTTTAAACTAACAGAGATGAACGTGTTCTGCTGAGCGTGAAATTTGCTATGTTACGCGCTTGTAAGATGAAGAAAACAAATATCACTGTAACTGCCCCTTAATACATTTTTATATTATTTTAAGCTAGTTTGGGAAAGTTATAAATCAAAATTCAATATAAGCATACTTATTTATAAAGATATTATTAAGCTTTATCGATTGACAGTGTATTGAATAGTAAAATGTTATAATATATTAACCATAACATGAAACCATAAAATATATAACTATTGAAAATCAATTGTATTTATGCAGCTGGTGATCAATATAAAATATTTGAAAAATTTAATTACCTCTAATGAATCATAAAGGCATTGTGGATAAGATAAATCTTCAATCTCCATATCCAAAAACGATAATTTAATTGCTTTTCCAACTGGTTGTGCGATAAGATACTCACATATTTTATTTTTTGGATAAGGATTAGGATAGAACGGCGATTCAATAATACCTTTACTGTCTGTAAATGTTCCACCACACACTAAAAAAAAATATAGATAATATTATATTTTTTTTTAAATAACATTATTTATAAAACATATTATATTCAAAAATTAGAAAATGTAATAGGTTTTTTGTTCAGAAACGCCAATAACCCTGGTAGTTTGAACGTATTTATAAATTAAATAAAAAATATATATTTATGGCTAACTATCTAAGCGTATTACCAATAACTTAAATAATTATAATTATATTACATTTTGAATCTTAACTAGGTATTTTAAATATAGCTAATATTAGTCTATAACTTATAGACTTTTAAACATAACTATAGATATAAAATGGCAATATTGTGAGAAAAATAGTTGTTTTTAAACGTGAATCCTATGGTCTATGAATAAAAAATAAAAATTCATTCAAATGTATTTATTAGTTATACGTACATGTTTCATATTTGATTGTAAATCCTTCAGCCGTATATGCAAAATCAGACTTAAAAACAATGGTGACTTCATTGCTGTTTGTGATAATTGGTTGATCAAACCTTGTTGTACCACAATAACGACCAATCAATGGTGATTTAATATTAGATCCATCGTAAATCTATTACAAGTGATTAACAAATATAAATATTTGATATATTATTTTTGTAAGATTTAATACCAATATCACAAATAACACATACTTCCAAAAAATCTGTTGAACAATTTGTTGTTCGTTCAATACCAAACTTCTTCACGAATGCAAGTTTTAGTTTCTGTCTCAAAGGCATTCTTATATGCCACTCACAATTTAAATTGTCCAAATAATTATTAGTATCACTTGTTAAATCTACTGGAGATGTTATTATTCCAGACGGGCTTGTATAAATACCCCCACATCCTGGTACACCTAATTAAAAAATAAATAGATAAAATATAATATATAGGTAAATCAAATTACATAGATATTTAAAAATATTATAATGATGTTATATGCAAATATTAAATACCTTCAATTACGCCGTACGTCATTTGAAACCCGTAGTCTTGGCCAGAAGCATCGGAATGGAAGTGCAAACTTGCATGTGGACCTGAAGTCAATATAGGGGGTGGTAAACCATTAGAAGAGGTGTTGCATAATTTCGCCAACACTGGACTGTGCTGAGTAAAACCATCTCTAATCTACATTAATAATTAAATATTTATTATTGTTTTAACCATTATTACTACTGGCGTATCAATATGTTACCTCTAAGTAATCATAACTACAATTTATATGCCGCTCAAATCTTAATGAAAAGAAATTTAATTGAATTCTTTTTCCGGGACTAGCATTTAATGTCCAATAACAGTCACGATTAGGTGGATATTTTCCTGGAGAACCAGGAGAAGATAATGTTCCGTGTGAATCGATATTTAATTCACCACCACAGTCTAAGAAAACAAATTTGGAATTTTTAATTAAGTTCAAATAACATGTTTGAATATACCAAATTTAAATTCTACCTGGTTGTATTGCTGTGTAGTTTAACTGGAAACCTCGAAAATTTTTGGATCCATCAGATCGAAAACGTACAGTAACTGTATACGAATCCGAAATTATGCTATTGTTTAAAGGTAAAGAATTTCCGCAAAATTTACCCAACACCTTTCCGTCCTCATCATCACCATTTATAATCTAAAACAAGTCAAATAGGTAGTGAAAAATATAAAAATAAATAAATCATATTGTTTACCTCGACGTAGTCGAATGAACAAGTAATCGTTTTTTCAATATCAATCCAAACAAAGGATATGTTTACAACACGGGACGAATTTACATCAATCGTCCACGCACAATTCATGTTACTCTGATACGTCAATGATGTATTTGACTGCGGGAACTTCAGTGTTCCGTTTAAGGAGTCAAAATAACCACCACAACCTTAAAAATATCTTTTCATTAAAAAATGTTCGGACACATGTTTTTTTTTTTTTTTGTAAATATAGCCCTTGTATATACTTACTTTCTACAAATGATTCACAATACAGTCCAAAATATCCACTAGTACAGACACAAGTATAATCACCGGGCTCTAGTTCGGGGACACATTGTCCGTTGTTTTGGCACGGATTTGCTAAGCATGGATTTTCTGCGTGAATACTACACGTTTGTCCTAGAATGAATTAAATTCGTCACGAAATAGTTATACTTGTACTTGGCAATTTTTTTGTCAACAAAATATCACCTGTATACCCAGTGTCACAGAGACACGAAAAACTATTGTTTGCATTCTGAATGCATTCGCCGTGAGAACCACACGGATTATTTGTGCAAGGGTCTATTGCTGCTTTATTGATTTTAACGCAACCGTTAATTCCAACACCATTACCTGTATACCCCTGCCGACATGTACACTGAATTGTTGTTTCAGCATAAACTAAATAAAGTAACACAATATTATATTAAGTGACTTAAAAATAAAATTGTTTTAATATTTTTTACCAGTGCAATCAGCATTTGGATGACACCCTCCGTTGTCTATCGCACAGACTCCTCCGGAAATATAGACACAGTTAAACCCATCACCCCTATAGCCGGCTGGACACGGTTTACATTTGAACGAACCCTTGAGGAGTAACAAAATTTTTTTTATATATATTGCTAAAGTCAATGTCCTGACAAGAACTAAAAATTATCATCAAAAGAGATTTGCCACTGGCATCTGAAAGTCTAAATCCAGCCATGGTGTTGAAAACAACACGAACAGTAATACAATTATAAACATGGAAAAAAAAAGTAAGAAAATTATTTTTAAAAAACTTCAACAAAGTGTCCTTCCTGCAGCATATTATAATTCACAGTTCACGATCAATTTCATTATTTTAATATCGATAAAATTCACACGTACTCTATTGTTAACGCATTGAACTCTGGGATTTAAACTGCAGCCGCCGTTATTTACTAAACACTCGTTGATGTCTGTGCACACGAAACCATCTCCCTCGTAACCTAATGAAATACGCACAGATCACGACATTATAAAACGTGATATTTGCAATAACATTATGAAGTATATCGTATACGTCATGTAAGCTGTACATGTATGTGTACGTATACAATTTGTAGATAAGGAGTAAAGATGTAAACATCACCTGTGGGACAGTTTCCACAAGTAAACGACCCTCTGGTGTTCCTGCACTCGACTGGTGGGTTTGAGGAGCACGTGTGCTTGTTTTCCTTGCATTCGTCCACGTCTTTCGTGCAAGCCGGACTTTGTCCACCGTCCATAGTAGTCCAACCCTTTATCAAAACACAAAAATACCTTAGATATTATGAGCACGGTCTCGAACAGCCGTCCGTCTGAGTCATGGTGTGACACTGACCTGATTGCAAATGCACGTGTAACCAACCGTCGACGGTTGATTGATGCACACGCCGTTGCCGCAGAGCTCCGTCGACATTGCACCGTTGCAATCGTTCTTCCTTTTCGTACAGTGCAAACCGAACCAGTTTGCCGCACATACGCACTCGTAACTTCCCGGCGTGTTCTTGCATTCCGCTCCGTTTTGACACCCTAAGTCCGTGTGAAGGAAACGTATACATTCATCTACGTCTAGTTCACACAGTCTACCCTGCAGCGTATAAAACATTAGTTATAATAGCATATGTTTTCGATAGTTTTTTGCGGAGTATACTTGTTGAAATAATGACGAATTAGGAAAAACAAGTCGTAATAATATGAAAATTATTATTATTATTATTATTAATTTATTTCTCAAGATAAGAATACTGGGCCTCACTGAGTATTCTCGTGTGGAGGCCCAGGAGTTATTATGTGTACATGAGTTTAATTAATTTCTAGTGTATAAGTTACATGTTGTATTGTTTAAAATTATTAATTATATAATATTAAGTAAAAATATGTGTCTACTATCTTAGTGAAACATTACAAATTAAACGTAAATAAAAAAAAATCATGATATATAAACCTGTAGTAGATTTCTTATAATTAGAGTATAAAAACAAAAAAATAGAACATAGAAAAATTGATAAATAATATAAATTTAACAAATAGTTAAAAAAAGGTATGTTATTAATTATAATAATAGGTTATTGTTGAATTCATAAAGAAGCCATTTCTTAAAGTCTATCTTAAACCTAAGCAGAGTTAATGCATGGAAGTGTTTTGGTATTAAGTTTAGGATTTTTGTACCGACGAATTTATATTGTTTTCTTGTGCCCGTTTTATGAGGCCATTGCATTGTATAATTATTATTTTTAGCGAACCTGGTAACAACATTATGACTCAGGGGTAATGGGACATCATGTTTTTTTAAGAAAAGGACTGCTGAATTAAAATATATTTTTTTGATATCTAGAACATTAAAGTCTTCGTAAAGTTGTTCTGTATTGTATGTTTTGTCTTTACTTAAGGCGATCTTAATTAGTGTGTTTTGAGTAGTTTGTAATCTAGAGAGAGCGTTCTCATATGATCCTCCCCAGCCTATAATTCCATAAGATATTATTGGTTCAATCAGTGCCAAGTAAATTAATCTTAATTCTTTCTTATTTAGGATATCTCGAAATTCTCTCATTATATATATCATTTTTCTGGTTTTCTGTGTTAATGAATTTATTTGATCATGCCATTTCATATTTGAGCACATTTCTATACCCAGATATTTGAAGTTATTCACAACGTTTATTTTCTTACATTCACACTTTATATTGTTGGCATAGCATGTATCCTCGTGTAATATGAAATCTTTTTTGGTTGGTAACGTATTAGTTTTCCATGAATGTAATAAAATAACAGTTTTATCGTAGTTTAGAAATAGGTTATTCATTATAAGCCAGTGTTCTATGATTTTTAGATCTTCCGTTATAGTTTTAAACACAGCTTCCCACGTAATTTCTGAGCAAATTAAAACTGTGTCATCAGCATAGCAAACAAGGGTACTTTTTAAGGGTAGGTTTTTAATGTCATTTAGTTGTATATTGAATAATATAGGTGAAATGGTCGTTCCTTGTGGTACCCCACATATAATCGTCATTTCATCACTATGTATTTTATTAATTTTAACTAATTGTTTCCTGTCACTAAGGTAAGAAGATATATATATATATATAGGTAGGTACATATATTTATATATTTTATATATTCATTAAGACAGGGGTGGCTCCAGGGGGGAGTCTAAGGACCGTGCCCCCCCAAGCTTTATTTCTAAACAATTATGTACTGTTAAAGCAAAATTACAAAAAAAAATCATAGACATTTTCTAAAAATTATGACTTTCCCCCCCGACCGTTTCACTGGAGCCGCCCCTGAATTAAGGGGTAAGGATGCAAAATATAACAGTGCGCATGCAGGTGGCTGCTAAAGGGGAGGAAAGGTGGTTCATGGTGTTTGAGCCCCACTTTCCTTATTTTTTATTAAACTATTTAACTATTTTATGGGTACAATTCACAATGTGATATGTAACTTTCTAGATAAATAATGAAAAACAATTTTTTTTTTATCTATATGAAATTTCGATGTTGGTAGATACCCCCATCCCTATGCACCATTGAAAACTCCTGAATAAGCCTGTGCCTCTGAGATTGAGTCACTTTCCAATAACTTACTGGTTGGATTATTATAGAATAAGTAGTTTTAAGTAAATAACATCAATATTATGGCCAATAATATTATTGTATGTAGGTACACTAGATACCTACAGTATTGCTCTATTGATTTTTATAATTTTTATTATATTTAGGGTGTGTCTTTTTATGTAAATACAACATTGTTATTGAATCTAGATTTCTTAATTTTGGCTGAAAATTTTATAAATTAATAGTGTTAAATAAAAACTTTTTGTTAAATATTTCATGTTTTTTAATACCTACCTACTATGTATTATTTTTGCAAAAATAAGAACAATCATATTAATATTCACACATTTTATTACATTAAAATCCACGTCCTAATTATAATAATATTTCGACTAAATTTATATTATAATATTAAAGCTATATTATTTTTTTTACTAACCCAAACGCCTTAATCGATGAATAAAATATATAGGTAACCATAAATCTAAACACTGACCTGCCAATTGTGTGGACAATTACATTGAAATCCATTGTACAAATCTATACACGATCCACCGTTCTGACAAGGGTTACTCAAGCATTCACTTATCGCTAAAAGATTTACGAGAGCGGAGACTTTTTTTTCTAAATTAGTAAGCTAAAATATAAAAATCGTATTGAGATTATTTAAATTTTTTACAAATCAAATTCTATTTAGGAACTCACTCTATAAGAAAGTCTTTCTCCATTCGAAGTATCTTTCTATATTAACACAATAATTATTATAGAGTATTACGTCTATAATTTAACAAGCATATTATAAAAATAGTCTTACCCTCTTATTAGTAGGAAATGTTAACGATGTCCCATTTAAAATTTGCATTTCCAGCGCAGTGATCCGACTGGTTAAACCCTTTGGACCGTCGATCATTGGTACTACATTTTTTACCGAATCCATAAATGTAGGTAAATCATTTAACCGAAACGACTCTACTACATCCCAAGCTTCTTTAGCCTAATGAATATTTAGGTACAGAACAACTAAGAAATTTAATCTAAATTGAAATATTGCAAATAAATTTTAATACCATTCCGATAACTTGAAGTAAATTTTCATTGTTCACATTTATATATCCTTGTCCTTTAGTATTCAATGAAATATTGTGGTCTGTAGCACTTTCAATGTATAAATGGCCATTGTCAGACCGAAATCGTGGCCTAAATTTGTATTGTTTTAAAATAATAATTAACGTAAGTACTACAATGAATATTTTTTTATTTCAATTGCATACAATTAAATTCCATGAAAGTCGTTACGGTTTAATATTATACAATATATGTTATTAAAACACAAATTTCAGATAGTTATAAGTAGGTACTTACTGATTGCTATATAATCCATTGGCCGTATCAAATAACATTAATAATAAAATAAATAGTGACCAATTGCCATCTTTTTGCATTTTGGTAAATGCCTGATATCCAATAAAAATGAATTTAATTAATAAAGCTATAATATATAAATAACATGTTACACAGTTAAACCTCAAAATGTGTGATGTTTGTTCAAAGATTCATCACAAATTAAACTGAGCCGGAATGAAAAATTATGTTTCAATATTTAGTACCATGCACAGCGTGTAACTAGATATTATTATTATATTAGTCTCTAGCGTAGATAACTGGAATCCACCCCCAAACCGATAAATTATATTTCATCTGTTTTTACTCGACTGTCAAGTTAATTACGATAGAAAAATTCAGATTGTATATTATTATTACTGCATTAAATATAATATTATTTTTTATACACGGCTTAAACAATTTTAATTATATAACATTCTGGTAATTATTATTTACAGAACACGTTGTTAAATTTTAAAAAGTTTAAATCATATTGGCTCTAAATTTTTCTATGAATTTAGCACATTTGCATAATGTACGATAAATAGGTCCATTAATAAGAAAATTGAATGCATCATAGTATTAAAAAAAGTTATGATAAGTGGTTTCGCATTGAAAAATATCAAATTGAAAATATGAGTAGGTGCTTATAAAATAATAGGTAGGTAACTGACATAATGATATTATGTGCTATTAATAATAACATCTGGTTTTGTTAAACTTGGTATATTTTACTTATAATATTATAGGTTTGCAATAGTGTTGCAGGTACATTGGTAGGATGAATAATTTAAGTGTCTCAAGAATGCATCATGACGTTCTGTCCTTAAATAATCTGAAATAAATATAGAAATAATTTCTATTTAAATCAATTGTTTTTATATCATAATAACTACTATAAGTTACTAATAAAACCCTATTTATCCATAGGTATTTTAGATTTTTTAATAATATAGTCCATGTTATGGTAGATATAATATCTTAAGTACCCAACTATTGCTTCATGCTGGTCCATATTATATATTGATGTATCTAAAGTACATGTGTGGGTCAGACTTCGTTAGGCTTGGATAAGAATGTAACATTCTTCCCCAAGTGAGCTTAAGCTCCATTATATTCTATAAGCTTTGCATTAAACATCCTAATAATGTAGACATATTTTTGAATCTGAACCAATTTTAATGCTGATATTTTAAAATGTAATAATCGATTTAATGTTTCTGTGTAGCTAAATTAAAGTATAGGTATTTTAAAAACTATGTGAAAAAGTAACTGAATTATATGTGATGTACCTTTTTTTTTTTTTTTTTTTTCTGTTTTAACCGACGACGCCGCGGGATCTGCTTTCGCATTGCTTCCGCGGCGCATATGTGATGTACCTAAGCATATATAATGTAACTATACCTAGCTACATAATACAATATATTATAGGTACATTTCCTAGCACCTATATTCACAAAATAATTATTATAATAAATAATGATAAGTTATAATATAATAGGCAATGTTTGTTTAATAAAGCAATAGATAATTATTGACTATGTTGTAGATGAACGTCTGTAATAGAAAAACAAGTGAATTGGTATCGAAACTTTCAAACTAAATGTTTACATTTAACTTTTCATAAAAAACGAATAATTATATTCATAAAAGTATAATATAGTAAAATATTTTAGTATTTATTTATAAATTATATACACAATACACATATATACATGCACTTCAAGAGTTCATATTTGTATGAGTTATTTTATTAGGTATAAATTGTATGTGTAATCTATCCTGTACCCATTTGGTAATTAGTCATTAGACTATATAAACACTAAGAAGAAACAAGAAACAAAAAAACTCTCAAAGATAAGATTAAAAAATTCATCGTATTCATATTATATGCACTACTTATAATAACGTGACTGTCAATATATTTAAGTTTATTAGTATTTAGTCGTAGCCAAATAGAGTATTTCTACGCACGTCGTTTAAACATTACAATGATTTCCGATTCAAAACAAGAAGCTTATACGAATGACGAACAACTAATTTCAAAGGTCGGTGTTAACAATGTCGATATCATCAGAGAGTGGTTATCAAAGCAACCCCATTTACCGAAAATATCAGGTACTTGTAGCTTGTAAGAATTTAATTGCATTTCAAATTATAAATCGTGCGTAATTGATCAATATTAAAAAATTCTGGGCTTGAAATTTAATTTAAGGGGATTCGATACCGTGATTTTCTGTTTTTATCTAACCCACAAGTTACATAGGATTTAAGACTGATTCTTTGCCAATCTATACCATTGATCTAATGAAGAAAATAGCGATAAGAATTCTAAAAACATATTTGAATTTGTCGTCAGGTCTACTTGAAATCTACTTTCCCATATTTTTGATTTTTTGATTTTAACTTCTCCAAAAATGAAAATACAACAATTTTTAAATACTCTTTTTTTAATATGACATTTATAGGAATTTGGAGAATAATATCAAACATGTGGGAAAGTCAATTTCAAGTAGACTTGACGACAAATTCAAATCTGTTTTTAGAATTCTTATATTGCTTCAATAGATTAATGGGAATGTTTGGCAAAAAACACTTCCAAAATACTATGTCGCTTATGTGTTAGACAAAAACAGAAAATCACGGTATAGAATCCCCTTAACGAACAATTTTAACCACACATTTTATTTTTGAACTTAAATTAGTTATTTATTATTATATAGGTAGGTACTAAACACTATTAACAGATATTGTTTAATAATAGGTATGTTATTATGCCTGCGAGGAAAATAAATAATATTAAGTTTAAAATAAAATGTATGTTATATACCTAGGCACAAAACATTTTATGAAATGTGTACTAAAATTGTGTAGAAAAAACAAGAGATAGTCGTCTCAATTTTGCTCAACTACATTACTAAAGCCAGAAGTAACCTTAATTATTATCTACTGAATGTAATAATATAACATTATGTTATATTTAAGAGTACCATATTGTTATAAACCGATTATAATAAGTATAGACTTGTTTACCAATTATTACCATACCATATTTTTTAATGTTTATAAGAATTTTTTTTTTTAAACTGACGATGATACTTGATAATGAAAACCGAGGAAGTTGCTCTGCTGTATAGTATATTATGTGTAGATTGTATCCCCTCGTATTGAGCATGACGTATGTCACTATAACGTCTGTGTTTAATTTAAATTTAATGATAAAGTTCATTGTATACGAAAAACGATTCTGGGAGGAGACCGTCTGGCAGCCTATATTTTTAAGAATATTTTATTAAATATTATATTTTATATTGCCATAAGTAATTTATTTTTATTTTAATAATACGAGAAGTTGAACTACATTTTTCTGAAAACAAATCACAATCAGATTATATTATATAATTATTATTATATTATTTCATAGATACAGTATTAACAGTTGTCAATAATTATAAACTTTTAAATCAATACCGATGAACCCACCGTAAAACAGTGTGGATTAAAATAAATCTAAATATTTTGGAACAACTTCATAGTGTTATAGTAAGCAATAATATACGTAGTGGTGAAAAGTTTCAAGTACCTAAAAAGTAACAATAACAGTTTTTAAATTACAACAAAATTACTAAAATAGTTATTTTTCGATTAAATATCCAATTTTGTCAAAATTTGAATTTTAAATAATGTAAAAATAACCATGAATACGTATTTTTTTTAATTTTGATTTTTTCTAAGAACAACTTAATGTATTAATATGATATTAATCACTACCTACTAAATATTATTTTAAATCTCTGAAAAATGTATGTAGATACAATTATTTGAAAACTATGAATAATATGACCTATTAGAACATGTCATCAACTTTCCGATAAAAAAAACGTATATAAACATTCCGTGAAAATTGTAAACATCTACAGTAATTTCCAAAAAAACAAAATGTTGTCGAAAACTGGTTTTGCTTAAAAATCTCAGTTTTTCGGGATGCTCTTGTAATTATTTTGATTTTAAAGCCCCCCCCCCCCCCCATCACTCAAAATACCAACTAGATTCACTATCCTACTACAAAATATTTTGAAGTAGAAAATCAAGGAATTTTTATTGCTTAAATAAGTTAAATAGATCTTAAAATTGGGGTAAAAACTAGGTCATACAACATGATATAAGTCATATAACCATCAACACTGTTGGATTTGGTAAAGTACAACTTTACAATATCAAAGTCCACTACACCAGAATACAAATTTAAAATTCCTCAAAACTGGTATTATATATATATAACCCGGAGCATATGCTATCCACCCTTGGCCCGTGTTGATCTTTATTTCTGTTCGGTAAGAAATTACATTATTTATTATCATTTTTGTGTGTGATAAATGTGTGAAATAATTATAATCGTAGATCCCCTGTACCAAACTCCTAGATCCTCCTCTGTATACATTTAAAATTTGTGTTAGTAAATATTGCAATAAAAATTATTTTACTATTGATTTTAGCCCTTAAATTTAAATTTAAAAAAAAATATTTGAATATTGACATTACAGTAGTTATGAATACCAATTATTAGATATTTATATAATATTATTGTTTATTAATATTATTATAATATTATTTTTATATAATATAATATTATTATTTATGCAGACAAGCAATTGGTGATATTTTTAAACTGCTGTCGGTGTAAACTGGAAAACACGAAAAAAATGATAGACGCATATTATACTATGAGAACTCATAATCCTGAAATGTTTAGCAACAGGACGATATCCGAACTTGAGAAAACGTTTAATATATTGTAAGAATCCGAATCACTGTTGTCTTACTAATATCTGATCGTGCGTTGATATAAAAAAACCTCAAAAATAGAATTATTGTATTATTTTCACAATTGCAGTTATTTTCATAAAATGCCGTTGCTACCGGACGGCTCTCGAGCGGGATTTTCGCGTCTACGAGATTTCAACTCTAACGTATTTAACACATTAGACACAATACGACTTGTGTTTGCAATGTATGACGTATGCATCGACGACGATCCGCTTGCGGAAGAATGGAAATTCGTGATGGACATGACCGGATTTTCAATGGGCCATTTGACTAAACTCACCAATTTGACTCTGATGAAAAAATGCATGGCCTACGTACAAGTAAATATATTAAATTAATATTAAAAATATTACCTATATCATTTAATATGAGTTCGAGTAAGAATTTATCATATCATATCCGTGCAGAGATAGGCAGGTTAGGTTAGGTTAGGTCCAAGATGCCCCAAACCTAGAATTTGTAACCTATTTTTAAATCATGACACAATAAAAATAGCTCCACAAAAATAACAGAAAGTAAATATTTTAAACACGTTCATATTAACATACGAATTTTAAAGTTAATATTATCGACCATTTCCAAAATGTTTCAAATCAATATTCAAATTCAATATACTCAATTATTGAATGAATACGTATGTACATTTATTATTATATTATTAAAATGAGTGATTTGTTGTTAACTACCTTATATTAATATATTACACTGTTTATTTATTATTTACAATATTTTTCGCTCCAAAATAGTTACCAAACATATTATTATAATCTTTAAATGGGTTGGAATTAATAACGTTTCATATTATAAGCACTGACACTATAAAGTGGCTTAAGAAAACAATGAGCTAAAGTGCCAGAACCACTCCTGAAATGTAAACTTTTTTTTATAAACCTCTTAAATATTATTTTATTCCACATTAGTAAAACATGAAATTTTGGATACGGCTTTGGTAACCTAAGTAAACCAGATATATATTAAATCATATTCTTCGTATAAGCTCTTGAGATATTTTTTATAAATTACAAATAGGTTTATTTAATTGATTTAAAATTTTTATTTTCATAGATGGCTCTGCCAATGCGTTTAACAGCCGTCCACTTGATAAACGCTCCACCATTGGCTAACCAATTGATGATGTTTTTAAAGCCATTAATGCACAAAGACTTATATTCGATGGTAAGATATTATCGACATTTTTGAGAAGAAATTATGATTCTAGGGTTTGTTATTACGTTTGTTCCCACAAGTTGATCGCATAAAAAAAAGTACAAAAATCCATTAACTGCCAAAAATGATTGGAAAGTGACTCCAATATGGTATGATGATTCTACTTATAGTTTCAAGAGTAGTTTCAAGAATATTAAAAAAATTAACATTTTTGGGGTCATATCGTAGCATTTTTTTAGAGTTTTTATGATAAATTAAAAAAGTGCTGGTAACCTATCTTAAAACAGTTTAGTACACCCAATGCAGTTCTATGCATTTAATATAATAAAACAAAAAAGCTACGTTATGGTTAATCTCTGTAATAATAGAATCACTTTTTAATTATTATTAACTAAAAATATTCATGAATTTTAAACTACCTATTATTTTTTTTATGTACCTACATAAAACGTTCCACGTACCTATAACAAACACAGATAACAAAACCTTAGTGCCATGTCCTTTAAAACTCGATTGTTTTCTGGGAAATAGTGCGTTCATCAAACGATAATTAATAATTTTGTATCTACTAATAATTATTATGACTAATTTTAAATGCAGATTTCAGTACACCCAGCGAGTGATATGGACAGTGTTTACAAATCCATACCAAAAGAATACTTTGCCAGCGACATGGGTGGAAAAGCTCCTTCATTTGAAGCCAAAAAAGGTATACAAATAGTTCCTAAATACATACGTATTATGTATTACCTATTGTATTAGTAATAATATATAAAATGAGTTATACAGTTAAAAAGTTCACTTCTCATTTTCTAGGTATACTATAGTATTGATAAATTTATATTACCGATATTAACACCAATGTTTCCTTAATTATTTATATTTATACATACCGATCTTTTTATAATTGGATTGATACACATATTCTCTTCAAGGTCATTAACTACTTTAATATTTGTTTTTTTTATATAATATGATTTTTATTTATTATATCATTATATCATTTTTGATAAATAATGTAGTTATAAATTATGCAAAAAATTAACTAATTTAAAAAATAATAATTTCAAGTTCTAGTAAACCTAATAAAGTAGGCATATATATTATGAATTATTATATAAAACAAAGTCAAATTTGGAACTTTTTGTAATTCCCCCCCCCATAAAAAATTAAGCCCTGGATCCTCCACTGAATGTACCTATTATAATTGTTTTAAGTCCAACAAACGATTAGTAAAAGTTTTAGTCTCAGTGTATCTGCCATAAATGTATATCATAGTACAACTAATCAATTTTGTTTTTAAATATTTTATAGAAGAATCACAGAAACGTTTTGAATCGTACCAGATTTTTTTTGATAACGACGAGAAATTTAACCGTATAGACGAGAGCAAGCGGATCGATAAGAATAATCGATTTAATTCGACAAACTATGGACTTGACGGATCGTTTAAAAAACTAGAATTAGATTAAACCGTTTTTTTTTACAAATTTATTGTATCGTAATTTATGTGTATAATATTATAAACATATACCTAACCAATCGTCGCCAATCATTATGTACATTTTAATTTAAATAAATACTGCACCATCATAATATTATACTGTAATATATGAATATTAGGTATATGCAGGGCCAGTACTACCTTTTTAGAGACCCTGGGAAAAACTTATTTAACCAATAACCATAAAGTCACCTATAGCGTATAGGCTATAGTTGTAATATTAAAGGCGAAAAATTATCAAAAGTGTGTGTCCTAAATAAAAAAAAATTTTAATTTACTTCGACATTGTGAAGACTTAACCTCTTCAAAAATATCAATTCTAGTTGCACCTGTGATGTTCATTGGAAATAAAAATAGATACATTAGCAAAATATAAATGTTCAACTTTTTAAAATTAAACATGTCAAAGTACCATAAGAACACAAAGTGCTCCATACCCTAAACAGGGTATGAGTTTAAAGATCGGAGAAATATCTTTATGAATATTATCTTGTTTTAATAAACTGATAAAAAAAAAAATTTAAATACACATATTAAAACTATTACATTATTTGCTTCTCTCAGAATCTGATATTAATTATTAATCATTAAAAAATAATATAAAAATATTATTTGCATAAATAAAAATTGGTTTTAGAAAGTGTCTTTCGAACGGCTTAACAAACCCTGCAGGTAAAACCAGACTTATATGATTGATATATTTATTTTATATTTTGCATATGATATGTCTTATACATGCGGGCAAAGGGAAATAATTTCCCAATAGGTATAGGTACATAATATTAGAGATATTTTTAGTAAGACATTTCAACCATATTTATAAAACAAATAAAAAGCATGGGGTGATTATTTTAATGGCAAACTCTAGCCTATTATTCGAAGCTAAATGTTAGCATTATTCGGTACGTACCTGCTATACTTAATAGTTAATATCGTCTTAAATAATTCGATTTCGACACCACGGTAGGCCCTTAACTATATACACTCTGCAGAGGCCCTAATCTCCAAAAATGTTTTAAAAAAAATTGTAATTTCATAATACAAGCAGTAAATGAATCCGTATTTTTATACTTCATTAGGATTTAGGGGCCTGTGTGGTTACCTGTATGGTCGTATTACTTACCTAGGTATGTTTATATACCTACTTATAAGTTATAAGTTATATTTTATCAGTGTTATTTTTGAGGGTTTAAGGCGTATACCCATTTACCATTTAGTAAATTAGCGTGCACCCTGTGAAAATAATATAAATATGCACGTATAGGCTAGTAGGTAGGTACGCCTATTACAATTTATAAAAATGTAATAATCCATAATTCTGTTTTATTATTTATTGTCATATGACATTTATTAATTATCTTTAAGTTAGAACAGTGCACTGAATATTTAGAATTGCTTATTACTACATAAAGTGTAAACGCGTAATGGTATAAAAACTAATTATTATCGTTCATGACCGGGAATCGTGATGATTGTATTTTTTTTTTTTTAATAAACAGAGTTGCCGCCACAGAGTTATAAGAATCGCTAAAAGAATAATATTATCAAGTAAATGTCATAAAATGTTGAAGCTGACGAAAAATAAAAGTGTAGAAACAAAACTATGTAGGTAATAAAAAATGTGTTTTTGTAAAGTTTAGGAGCTTATAATAATTGTATTAAGTATATAAGAGCCTATACTTAGTGAGCTACTTATGAAAGGTTGAATCTCATTATAGTTTTGCTCTGTTAAATTCATTGCATTTTATGCCCTATTTGTATCATTGAATTAAGTTCATAAATTAACTCATAGGTACCCTATAGATTTTTTACGAAAAAACCACTGTATTTACTAAACAATCAATATAGGTACATATGAATTATGAATAAATATGTACGATTTGTACGAATGACAAAAATAAATAACCATATTAATATTATAATTATTTTTTTGACGAGTGTTGATAATGATGATAAGAATTAATTATATATTCTCATTTAAATTTTCATCGCCTGCACTCGTAATAATCTCATTTTTACGTCATAATAATGTAATAGATTTGTTCGGAAAATAACAGTTAATAATATTCGATTAGGTAAAAAACCTTGTTAGCATGTTACAAAGTTATTACTTATTTTTTTAAGTAAAGATCTTTGAATACAATTTAACATACCCGAATAAATGACCTCAACAATCTCTAAACTTCTATAAAAAACGAAACAAAAATAAACAACCTTAAAGGGATTTCCCACACTTTTTGTAGCAAAATAGACTGTATACGTGTTCCGAAGTACTGACTTGAGTTTTCCTCAGATATAAATTTTGATAACATATTAGAATTTATTAATTATTATAAAGTCTTTTTTGAATCCTTTGAGTCAACTTTTAAAACTGTATTTTTTATCCATTAAAATGTCGGAAATAACGAGATCTTTTTCAAAATTTCAAGTGAAATTTTTTTTTTAATAATCATAAGTTTAAAATGTGGCTCGAAAGAATAAAAGTTTATTTAATTACTAAATAAAATGTGAAACTATTCAAAATTATTATGGGTGTAAAACTCAAGTCGTTCTATTGGGACTCGTTTAGGTCTATTACTCTAATTTACCCCATTTAGCTGTGAAATAATTTCGATTTTAGGTGTTTTATGACAGTAAGCATACCCCGCTTTTTGTCGAAGGATTCGAAATAGACCACATAATAAATTCAAACACGTTTTAAAAATTATTTTTGGAGTAAAACTCAAGTCAGTACGCTGGAACGTGTACCTATAGATTGACTTTTCTGCAAAAAAATTGTGAAATCCCCTTAAAAAAAACTAAATACTTTTCATTCTAATTCAATAATACATGAAACGTGTGTTTTATAAAACGAACATCGCGTAGCTTTGGAAATCAATGCAAAGTGCATCGAAATTCCGACAGTATAATTATGAGATTATGGTTTTAAAATAAATTTGAGAGCTAATCGAGTGATTTTTTTTAATATTATACAGGCTCCTGTTCCATATGTGGTCCTAATAAATATAATATCCTGATAAAGAAAATTACCTCTCCGCCCATAACGGTAAGTGTCGGTAACAAACTCATATTGTTAAATACCTACTGATTAATACCCATAAAAATAACTCTATCACTTGAACAGTTGGACCTATACGGCAATGGGTCGTCGATCTAAATATATTTGTATCTTATGCGTGTTGACTAAATAACAAAATACAAGCTCTCTAAAAGCTAAATAATGAGAAGCAAACTGCAGTTATAGGAGGGATAAGTGCCACTGGAGTTAGGCTATAAACCTATATCTATTTTTTTAAATGCTTAAAAGACAAACAATTAATATTGTACTTTATAGTATGAAATTAAAAACTAATACTGTCATTTGAAAAAGTAAAAAACTTAATTATTAAAAATAACAAGGTTGAAAATGATTAAAAAAAGTGAGTGCTGTCATAGGACACCCGGTATAAACGAAGTTTCTTTTCCAACAAATAAATGCAACTGAAAATGATTATTATTACTATTTAATTACTATTATATTAATCGTATTCAATAATCGAAATTATACAGGCCTGTGATAACTGAAATATGATTCGTATGTTTGTGATGTGATTTTTTCCAAATATCTTGAAAATACTGCATCGATAGTGATGGTGTCATCTCTCGTTGCAGATTCTGCTGGATTGTTTAACATAATATGTAAATTGGATGTGTCAATAAAGTTTTAAAAGTTTCCGATTTCTTATCATTAAAATTGATGTTAAAGTCACCAAATCATTATAATTTATACATTATAATAATTATTATAAATCTTATTACGCTATATTTCAAATCCTCGCATTATACTCGTTTTCTATTACTTGTCTGTACCAAACGCGAAGCACAAAAAAATGTAATCACGGCGGCAAAGGTAAAGCACTTGCAGTTGCACTATAATAGGGATACATGCAACAATTAGAATATTCTACGAAAACAATTTCATGAAATAAAAATGTTTACGAGGATATTATATTAATAAGGATATAAGGTGTAACCAAAAGCTTACGTTTTGTAAGGACCGGCAGGACCGCGGTATAGATTTCAGTGTTTGGTTGTGCATGGAACAGGTACTATAAACACTTTGGAGGATTTCCACTTTTTCGCCCGGCACTATGGGGATTCCCACTTTACGGAGCGCTGAACGGAAAAAAATCGCTTCCCAACGCTTCAACCACGGTCGAAAACCAAACTTCCGGTGAAGGCGTGACAAAAAATATATATTACCTACGTACAATTCAATACTTATATACGTATATTATTATTATACACTTATTGCTTATATTATATTTTATTAATAAATATTAAATTATAATAATTATAAATGCATAATATACGTAGAGTAGTAGTGATGTATTATCAATAATTATATTATCAATATACGCAAGATATTTATAATCAATCTATCGCGAACCGTCACTATACGACTTACCGCTCCCGCTTTTTTTTTTTGTTCCATCCTACCGGTCGATCAAATAATGCGATATTTCAGAAAACTGATCTATTACAATGTCTACTTAAGATCGATCAGTTCACATTTTAAGATTTCTTATTTGAATTCCGAATAAATCCCGAATAATCAAAGTTTGAAAATTCCGAAATTTCAAAATATTCAAGCTAAATTTTTAGAGGTTGGGGGGAGGGTGAAATTGGAAAAAGTGGACTGACTAATCCCGAGTAGAAATAATAACGAATTCAAATCTGTTTTAAAAAGTATTATCGCTTTACTAGATCGATCAGTATCAATCATGGAATAAAAATTGGATGCTTTGGCTAAAATAACTGCTTAATAAATTATAGTAGTATTTCGTCAGGAAAGTTTTTTCCCCGCATCGTGCCATAAAAAACTTCGTTTCAAACATGTTAAAAATTATGTATATTATATAAAAGAACATAATTTATTATTAATAAATAATTAAGTTAAATTACTTAAATTAATTTTAAGAAAATGATTTTGTCCGCTGATATGGGGGGGGGGATGATACGTACAGCACCCCATCACACCTGTAGCAATTCCACCTATAGTGATGATAGAGAAATAAAAAAATTCTTTGACATCGTCGGTACTCTATTGGTTACTTGGCTCCACAGATATATACGTTATACCTAGTTATAGTTTTAAGTTAAAAACTATAGTTATATTATAATATAACTTATATATATATCTGTGGTTGGCTCGGAATCGAAAATCTGAATCGCTTACGACAACGCCATCAATCGGCAAAAAAGCGCAGTGTAAAAATTTAGTTTTGGTGTCACGACGCTGCTGTCATCTCGTTGCCCACTGGATTTAATGGAATTGATATCCGCGCAATATCGTCGATATGGTCACACTGGGCTTTCGTTTTCTTATCAATACGACTATCCACCAGGGCGTCCGATATTCAAAACCATATTATATTTATTTTAACGGACAACCGTCGTTACGTTTCCGATCTACAAGTTACAACTAGTTTTGGAATCCTTTTTGGAATCCGGTTTCCACCGTTCAACTGTTTGCGTGTTTCGTGTGTCGTCCGAAAATAAATCCGTTTCGACAGACTATTTTAGACATTGGACTTTACTATAACTCATTAGTCATAACAGTTGATGTTGATATTTTTCGGACCCTATCCAACAATTATTGAAAAAAACCCATTTTTACCTATTGAATTTTTTTTGTTTCTCCTTATTTTACAATTTACATCCTACGATCCTGTTACGGCTATTTTTATTTTTGAAACCTTCGATTTTGTGCCAACGCACACTCCTTATAAACATTTGAATTGCATTCCAGCTGCCTAACCATCCTGCTACCTGCATTGGTTCCAGCTATCTAAAGGTGAGTAAATAAAAACATGATTTTATGATGATACATATTGCTATGAACTCTACGACCGAACCATAATTCTAATCTATTGCACGGTTTCCTTACATTTTTTCATTTTTCATTTTGTTAGTTTTGTCTGGTGTGAACAAAGTACTCGGATCAGTCGGATAACGATTTCTTTTTCCACAGCTGAAGGATGTCTCAATTTAGCTATGTAAATGATTTAAAAAGTGCTGTTAGAATGGATGAGCCAATTACCAATGGTCCGGCTCCACGTTGGATGAAGAAAAGTGTGGAATCAACCTCAAGGTATGTGTATTTTTATTATTGCATGTGCATCTTCAAGAAATGTGTTCCGTATGTTTATGATTCTACTGTGTTTACTCTGATAGTTCTGCAAATACGTCTAGAAAAACTAATGAACTATTGCCTATCAAGAAGACACCATCAAAAACACCTAATAAATCCAAATCACCAGGTTAGTAAAGTTATTAAATTCATATTTGCATCTATGTCACTTAGTTATCAAAATTAATTTTATACACAAACTAGGTAGATATTATCAAAAACTACAATTTAATTTATAATATTAATTAATAATATCAATTGCTATTATATTAATTATTTGTCTATTAAAAATAATTCACAAAGTTGTTAATATTAGCCATTAAAAATGAGTAAAACCCATTTAAATAGATTTTTCAAAAGAAATAAACTAAAACCTCGAAAGTTAAATCTCAATATTCCAGAATCATCAATTATTAATAGTTATACAAATATACCTACTGTCAAACAAGGTAAGGATATAATAATATCGCTCATGTTTCTTATTGAAATAAAGTAGGTAGGTAGGTTAGGTATATAATATAATTTGAATGTAATAGATTGATAAATTACAGTTTTAAATATGTGCCCTGAATTTTGATGCACATATTGATAAAATTTTGTTAGTTCTATCATATTCATTATTCGTTTTAATAACCGAATATACCTGAGACAACTTGAGCTTGTAAATAGTGCCCCATAAATAAATGCTGATATTTTTTTTTACAACATTTTATTGCTTTAATATACTTGCAATTTATGCTTTTATGAGAAAAACAAATTAATACAGTCACATTTATAGATGTTAATTATTAAATATTTTAATTTAAGAGGATGTTACGCAGATATTTGTTGCCTCTGTCTTACACGTGCATAACATAGCAAATTTTACGCTCAGCAGATCACGTTTAGCTTTGTTAGTTTAAAAATTAAAATTAATTAAACTGTAAAGGTAAGATAATTATTTAGGCAATCTCATAGGTTTTTCATTATATTTAATTTTAAAGAGAGTTATGAGTATTTTAAAATTGTAAATTGTTTGTACATCTTAAAATACAAAAAGCTCACTTTAAAGTTAAAATATAATTAAAAAGCCTATGACATTTCCTAGACAATAATCTTACATTTAAATTTTATAAGAGGATTGTAGATGGAAGAGATAGATAATGCATTTTATTCACTCCAATTTTTAAACTACCGGAGTTAAACATGATCTGCTGAGCGTAAAATGTGCTATGTTACGCAATTGTAAGACGGAGACAACTAATGTCGGTGTAAAGTCCTCTTAATAATTTATAACCTACTACATCCAATAAAACTATTTATTTGAATAGCTTCTAGATCAGCATCAAACACACCAGCTAAACCTAAAACACCTGGTGGTGATAGATTCATTCCTTCCAGAATGTCTACAAATTTTGACATAAGTCATTTTAAGGTAAATCACAAATATCTATTAAATATTTAAGATATTTACCTCAACAAATTATACTTAATTTTGTTTTCATAGATGAACCAAGAAAATGAAAACCTTGACTTAAGTCCAACTCAATCAGACTACAGAAAAGCTATGTCCGAGAATCTTCATGGATGTGACATTAATAATGTCCGCATTCTTTCCTATCAGAACAAAGCACCTGCTCCTCCAGATGTATAATAATTAATAACTAGTACATAAGCATGAGAGTATACTATATTATAATTACTAATGATTTTAGGGTTATCAAAACGCCTTAAAAGTAGTTTACAGCCAATCTAAGACTCCCATGAATGTACGTGGAGCTACTCGTTATATACCACACGCACCAGATCGTATTTTGGATGCTCCTGAAATTGTTGACGACTATTGTACAGTATTCCATTAACTATATCCATGTAACTATTTATAACAGATTCTCAATTTTAACAGACCTAAATTTAATTGACTGGAGCTTTTCCAACATATTGGCCGTAGCCTTGGGCACAAGTGTATATCTTTGGAATGCTGACACTGGAGCCATTGACCAACTGTTAGATTTAGAAGGTGCCGACTATGTCACATCTCTGAGCTGGGTACCCAATGGAAACCTATTAGGTGTTGGAACTGCTTTAGGACCTGTACAAGTATGTAGAGTGCTTGCTGTCAAACATAGTAAATACCAGTAAATATTAAACTAATATTATTATTTATCAATTTAGTTATGGGACGCATCTCAGACGAAGCGGCTGCGTATAATGAACAGTCACAGTTCAAGAGTGGGTGCTATGTCATGGAACAGTCATATACTAACTACAGGTTGTAGAAATGGACAACTTGTTCACAACGATGTCAGACAGAGAGAACACATTGTTGGTACAATTCAATCCCACACTCAAGAAGTATGCACCAACCCTTGTTGAATTTATAATTTGATCTTAATGTAGTGTGACATTTCATCACAAACTTATTTGATTTAATATGATATAGGTTTGTGGTCTTAAATGGTCAACTGACGGTCGTTATCTAGCCAGTGGAGGCAATGACAACCTGCTAAATGTGTACAGTGGATTACCAGGCCAAGCTACTTACCAATCTGAACCAATATACAGTTTCAGGTAACATTGATTAATCTAGAAATTTTGATGTGTAACAGTATATAATTGTCCATATGTTTTCTCCAGCCAACATCAAGCTGCCGTTAAAGCATTGGACTGGTGTCCATGGCAACCCAATGTGCTAGCCAGTGGCGGCGGTACAGCGGATCGAACCATCAGGTTTTGGAACTGCAATAACGGGCAGTGTATCAATTCAGTCAATGCCAACTCGCAGGTGTGTGCTATTCTGTGGTCAAAAACGTACAGAGAATTGGTTTCGGCGCACGGTTTTGCAAACAACCAGCTCATAATTTGGAAGTACCCTTCACTGACAAAGGTAAGTTAATTGACAACATAGCACATATATTCATTAGCACAAGCACCCATTGGATATTTAATATTATGATTTTATCTTTAAGGTTGCTGAGCTCACTGGACACACAAATCGTATTTTGAATTTGGCCATGTCACCAGATGGTTCAACAGTACTCTCAGCTGGAGCAGATGAAACCCTGCGAATGTGGAAATGCTTTTTGCCAGATCCAAACAAGAAGAAAGAAAACGAGAAGCGCTCTTCTAGACCTACTATGCTGGGACCAGGCCTAAGATAAATATCTTGTATTTGTTATTTGATGTTCTTTGTCAATTAAAATTATATACAATATTTGTGTAAACTTTTTACTTGCGTAATTTTAGCTTTTCAATTTTATTTATACAAGACTCAAGTCATATTTTTTACTTGCATAATGTACATACTTAAATATATTGTTTTTATAATTAATTTTTCCATTGTATTATTTTCTATGTCAATGTATTTTTTTGAACAAGTAATTTCATGTTATCTTAAGACCAAATGTATTTAGAATAAGTGCTTCAATTGACTACAAAAATTAATACACTAATGCATTTTATATAATGACTTTAATTACTTATATTATAATAATAAACAAGTCTTTGGCTACTTTATGTTTACGTGTAAATATAATATAATAACATAGTTATATTAAGCTTATTGACTTATTAGTTAACATAAAGGAATAACAAATTAAAAAGAAATAGAAATAGAAAATTAGTTACAAACAAAAAAAAACATTGGATAATAATAAATAATAATAAAAAAAAAGTAATAATTCGGTTGGTTTGTAATGAGCCGTAAACACGTAATTTATACTATTTAGTATATTTTATTACTTAACTATTATTCAAATCTGAACAATAATACAACCCGATATTTAAGACTAACGCCCTACGGCTATACATCCAACACAACCATTTATTTTGTGCCTCAGCAAGATAAATTTTACAAAAAGAATTCCCAACACAAACAAACCCTACAACTAAGTGCACTTAGAGATGAGATATGGAAACCTGACTAGTATTTGTTTAAATAAAAACTGTACTTGAACAATTTTTACCATTAAAGATGATTTGAGTTTACAAAAATGACTAGACATATTAAACGCGTGTGTTGAAAGGACAAAAACGTCACATACGAAAAGGTTATAGAGGTAATAATGCAATATCAAATTTCGAATTGACTCATCTCCAAGTTAACAAATCAGACTACACTATGAGTTGTACACTAAGATATGAAAAAATAGTGAAAAAACCAATACATAAATGTAAAAAAAAAAAAAACTTACAATGCTAATATCAATAAATTAGTAGTAAATGTTAAACAAAAATAGCCATCAGTCAGATACCATCGGAATTGTTAAATTTCATATCAAAGACAGCGAGGTTTTAGGTTAGAGACAGCAGCCAATGTTTTATTTATTCAATTCAATCAAAATTGAAAGACTTTGTACTAGGACAATCTGACTAATGGCTAAATAGTAAATATTATGTTACAATAAATAATAATTGTTATTACATAGATAACATGTATTATATAGCCTACAAGTAATTAACAATAAACACAACAAATAAAATAATAGTACGATAATGTTAACCTACATTTAAATTGACTAAAATACAATAATATGTATTGTTTTTATATTTTATTTTTTGAATATTTTTATCATTTTAAAATTACCCTGCCGTAATTTACGTATATATAAATATAGAGGCTCGATAGGATGAGCCCTTATAATATATTAAGCTCCTCGTTTAAGGCACTGTTAACAGTAATTTTATACTTAGGAAACATATTTTATAAACTTAACTTATACTAATAATATTTTTTTTTAAAAATGGTAGTAAAAAATAGATCGGAAAAAAGATAAAGATCCACACTTTAAAAAACTAACAGTGTTTAAGTCCTTAAATCTACGAATGTGGGTAAAATAAATTGCACAATGTTGCACAGTATTTTCAAAAATAATTATTAAAGGGAGAAAAAAATTAAATAATAATAATAAGCTTGAAAACACCAGTTACATCGAATTATAATTTGATGAACGGTCAATTTGTGTTTGGAGGCTGTGGATCATTGACATGAGTTTGGCATTTTCGATGAAAAGTTCTTTGACAATCATATCAGCGCTCATGAGTTGTTTGTTCTGAAAAAAAAGTATCAATATCAATAGGTAGTAGGTACTGAATTATTTATAAATATGTCTATTATTTTGATAAACAATAAACAAAATATGAGGAAACACTAACTTGTTCATTTCTCATTTTAATTTGTTCTTCGAGTTTATCTTGCGATGATCGCAATAACTTGTGTACCATATCAATTTTTGACTGATGCTCATTCCATATAGCTAAAATTAAAACAATATAAGCAAACAATTACATTGTTGAATAATCAATAAGACATTATAAATTATTAAGCAAATACATTTTTATGAAATAATCAACAAAATATTTCCAGTTACTATAGGTTAAGTGACAAAATATTTCCAGCACCATTATCTATTGTATTACAAATTATAATCAGCTTAAACGTTTTAGGAAGTTATTTCAATTCTTCATAGTGATCATAAGATTTATAGTCGAATTCTTTACTTTACTATTAAATGTAATTCTCTCTAAATAACCTTTTTTCAAGATTACTTATCTTAATCTATCTACTTATCTATAATTCACTTTTATATAGTAAATTTAATGAAATATTATTCCAAAAAATTGTTTGAGACACTAATATAATTTACCCATTTAAAGTAATCAGTAAAATAACTAATCAAGGTTACAACAAATTATTTATGACACTCAAAATAAAATTTAGACATTATCAAAAATTTAGAAGCCACTATGTGTATTTACTGAACTACTCACTATAGCATTAAGATAAAATAATTGTTTTTCTAACCGTTAGTCAACTTTTGGTGTCGTGCTTGTTCATCGTGGAGCCTTTGTTCTAGTTCTTTGCACCTCCTGGCATCTATAGACACCTGATTGGCTTGATTAATTTCCTTTTGCATAAAGAACTCTTTATGGTTATTCTGAAAACAATATTGGATTATTTTACACTTAAAATTATATAAATTATTCTCATCTATCAACAGCTTTGCTTAACATTTCATACAGAAAAATTAAGCTTAATTTTATGAATCTATGCTATGCTAATATTTCAAAACTAATGGCACCAAAGCTTTTATTTTTATTAATTTTATTAATTTGATTGGCATGCATATTTTTTTCAGAAACTTAAATAACTTAATTTTTGGCAGCCGTTAACTACTTCATCAACGCGATATAAAATTGATCGGAAATTATTTCTGTTGACAATTACATAATATGTGTAATACTTAAATAATGATCAAATTCAATACAGACCATAAACTAAAGGATCTTAGTACTAAACATTAACTGTTGCTACTTACTGAAAGCACATTAAGATATTCTTGTAATTGCAAAATTTCATTTTTAAGTGCGCTCCTACGTTGCAATAGACTTCGGCATTCCATTCCTAATTTTTCACGATTTTTTTTTATGTCAAACTGCTTGTTTTTAAATTCACCATTTTTCTAAATATTAAAATAATAAAATGTAATAATCATAAATTGGAAAACATAATATTATATTAAATGTCATAGAAAAAACCACTGAACTAAATACATGGAACGAGTGCATTATTTAAAATATGAACCTCGGAAGTCGCCATATGTCAAGGGAAAACATGGTAAAATGTTATGTTATCTATGAAAATTGTTATCATCATCACAACATTAATGTTAAAAATCAAATCAGAATGCATGTGGTCTCATTTTACTTATATGAGAATTATTCATAATACACATTCCGTGTATTTAGTTCAGTGGAAAAAACATACTTTTACATTTTCGAGGCATTTCACACATTCTTCTTTGAATTGACAGTTAGCTACTTCGCGGTCAACTTTTTCAGCTGGAATTACAATTTGAGATTTAAGTCTTTCATTTTCAATTTTAAGCTTTTCCATCTCTTTTTCGATTTGTACACAGTAGCTGGAAAATTCTTGTTGAATGCAATTTATCTGTGGAAATAATAAAAATATTTTAAGTAATATTTTTCAAAAAAAATGTTTCAAAAATAATTACTTGTTCTTCAAGTTCGGCGTTTTCATCGATTGAAGGCAATTTATTATCAGTTGATTCTTCTAACAAATCACTGTACTCTTTAATCTTGACTTCTAGATTATTCAATTTTTCTTCACTAACTTTTTTCTCCTATACAAACATTTAATTCTAATTTTTTAAAAGAATAAATTAAAATTAACAATTATTTTACCCATAGCTTACAGAGCTATAATGATTTTATAATCAAATACATTTGCGACAATTAAAACAATTCAAATTAAAAAATACTAACCAATTCGTTTAGTTTACGCTCTTCTTCTAATTTTAGCGACCAATATTCTTCACACTCAAAGTATTCATTGCGCAGTGCATCTATACCACGTTCTAATTCAGTACCTTCATCTTTCAACCGCTTAGCCTCGTCCAGTGCTTTGTCTGCTACTTCACATAGTTGATTGTACCTAGATTCCCAGTACTTTTCAATCTTTTCACACTTGTCACGCAGCTCCTGATTTTCTGATTTAGACTGATTGTACATTTGTTTCAATTTTTCAACACTACCATTTGTTACTTCTATTAAAGTAGAATCCATAAATTCCGTTTCTGTTGAATTTTCAAATTGCTTATTCAATGACCTCCTAGTTGGATATTTATTTAAAGGTGAAGAAGTCATAAGACAATCTGGAGATTCTTGCATTGATTCTAGTGATTCTTTTTGTTCAACCTGTTGCGAATGATCCGATTTTTGTCTTTGTTTCATATGTTCCAAATAATCAATTAATTCGTCTAAATGACATGATTCAATTTGTGATTGAGAGGATAGAGTGGTTTTTATATTATTTACAAGCATTAATGATGTCTGAGGGGATTTGTGGTATGATTTTTGTGAATTTTCAACCTGTCAAACAAAATCAAAATAATTAATGAAACAAAAAAATTCTTAGTTTACTACAAGTTTCACTTACTTTATTCCATGCATCAAAGTCAGACTCAATTGTATATGTTTCAAATGTATTTGTACAATCACTACCGCCTTCCTCAATAGAAAATTCGGTAGTAAATTCTTTCACTTTGCCAAAGCAGTTAGGACTATTTTTTTCTGCCAAGAAATTCCTCACATTACTATCAAATGATCTATCATTACCCACATTTTCTATCCTAAAAAAACCATAAAACCAATATAAATAAATGCTACATTTTATAACAGTTAAATCGTATTAGTAATACAACACATACATTTTAGTTGCTTCAAGTTCTATAACAAGTTCATCATTTTGGTCTCTAAGACATTTATTTTCATTTTTCAAACAATCAATTTTTTGCACGAGATCAATAATTTGTTCATTATTAGATTCCAGTTCTAGTTCCTAAAGTTCAATCAAATAAATTGACACATTTACTTAAAATCTAGATAAATTTTATTTAAAGAATACTCTTGATAAATATTGGTAGTAAGATTTAGTTAAGACTTAGTTTTAATATACTTCAGATTTATTTAAATTATGTGTTAGAAGTTAACCACTGTATTTTCACATTTTTCTGTAAAGCTTACAAGGAAAAATGATAAAATATGAGTGTCAGCCTTAAATACTTAATAAAGTAAATGATATATTACCTTAAGTTTTAATTGTGGAATTTCTTGAACTTGAACTTCTAATGAAACATTTTTTTGTTTTATTTCAGCTAATTGTTCATTTAATGCACTATTTTCAGTTTCTAATAAACTCAGTTGCTAAAAAAATTATGTATTTAAGTTAATATTACATAAAACTACCAATTAAAATTGTCTATATCAAACATACTTTTTTGTTGTTTAAAAGTTCAGATTGTAATTCATTTTCATAATTTTGTACTTGTTGTAATTTATCATTGAGCAAAATATTTTGGTTAAGTAATTGATCTTTTTCTGAACCCCATTGATCAATGAGTATTTTTCGTTCTTCATGATGTTTATGTTCCAGAGCACTAAATAATTTTATATTTCTCGATTAGAATATTTGTTTATTATATTTTATTTAATAACTTTAAATTATACTCTTAGTTCTTACGCAATTTTGTTGGCCGAAGATTTTTCTAATCGCATATGATTTTCATCAACTTCTTGCGCAAGCATAACTGCTCTATTGTTGGCAGTATCAACATCATACTTTAATTTATCCCTTTCGCAATTCATTTGCTCAATAATCATTCTGAAAATAAATTGTATTATTAGAGTTAATTAGTATAAAAAAACGTTTTATGTTGTCCTTACTTGAGCCATTTAACCTGATATTCATTCAACGAACTTAGAGCTTTTAGCAATACAAATGGTGTATTAATCGAATCATATTCTGTTAATGAAGAATCAACAAAATTATTTCGAACTTTGTGGAGTTGATTACTGACAGTTGTAACTAGATCAGGTATATAAACAGAATCTAGGGATGTATCAATTCCTAGTTCTTGTAACAAGTTAACAGACTCTGGTATACCACAGCTTTCCCATAGCTCAATAATAGTGTTTATACTCACCATCCTAAAAAAAAAAAGCATACATGTCAAAATCAAGTTTATTGAATATTTAAATGTATTAGATTTATGAACACACTTACATTGTGTTTGGTAAATTATCTTCTCTGTGATAATATGATGTAGAAGAGACTCCTGAGGTTGAAGTTTCAGAATTTGGTGAGACAGACCGGTAATCTAGATTACTGATTAATTCAAGAACTTCCTTAATTGGTATTCTGTCATTGGAATATTTATCGTTTATCTTCTCAAATAATTTTTCATTGCAATCAAAATGTTGGATTACATCAAATAATTGAGTTTTTGATATAAGTCCACTAGAAGTAATACCCATGTGTTCACATGCCAAACTTAAATTATGTTTGTCCATTATTAATCGTTCTTTTAACAAATCTAATAACAAATATTTTTTTTTAGTGAGATTAATACAATTACTACTTGAGTGAAAGTTGTTTTATTGAGAACTACTTACCATGTTTGTCATCACATTGTGATAACATGTCTTTATTCTGTGTTTCCTCATCTGATTTCAACTCTGAATTTATCTGTAAATTGATAAATTATTATGTACCTATAGACCTATAAAATAAACATTTAACTAACGTGAACATATTCTAGTTTTCGAGGAGATAATGGTATGCTGCTGTTTAAATCTTGAATTATATCTGATTGGTTTAATATAAAACTATCTTCTCGAGGCTTTGTTCGGCGCCCATATTTTTTTTCGCCGAAAACATACTTTGGAGATATTTCTCTAACTGAAACATGAGAAAAAAAAACTAAACTATTAAGAACTATAAAGAACTATGTAAATCAAATGTAAATGAGATAGGTAATGATTTGTCTAATAAGGTCGCACTAAGCTATATTAACGTCCTTCACAATCAGATTGGAATTGAAAAACCTTTCACTATTGTTATGCTATAAACATAATTTATGATAAATGGTTTTTAATATTGATCTTTATATTATTTATTATTTTTTTATATAGTAATATGCGTTCAATATGGTATTGTTATCACTTAGGTATCAAAAAAAAAATTCCCTAATATTTAACTCTATAGGAAAAAATTGTAAGATTTAGGTAATTTCAAATCTGAGTACCCAACTACCTGGACACATAACATTTTTAAAAATGTTCATACTTTTTTGATACATTAAAATACATTTTCCCCTAATTTGCAATTGTATAATATAATTGAAGGTATTACAAATGGTAGCTATAATATGGTAGGTTAAATAATTTCTCAAAAATAAAGAGTGTAGCAATATACTTGTAATTACATATTAGTATATTACAAATGGTTTATTCACTCTAAAAAATGATTTTAGTGGATGCAAGAATAACTAGGTAATATTATATTATATTATATGTTTTAATGCCTAACATGAAGTTAGTCTATATTAATAGATAATATATCCAGTAAACATTTTGAATGTGTCACTAATGTATGTAGTAAAATATTATTAATAATATGTACTAGGTACCTAATCTTATTATATTATTTTTTATACCTATTATCATACATGATATTTTAAACATAAATGCAAACGATTTGATATTAAAAATAAATAGAAAATACTAAAATATTCAAGTACTCATAAGTTAATACCTTAAATATGTGTACAAATTAAACCTAATATTTAGGTACAAATAAATTATCTAATAATATAATAAAGATTTATATTTATTAAATTGTGTATTAATAACTTAGATAGGTATACAATAGTATATTATATAAATATTAAATAAAAAAATGTATCATAATATGCATTCATATATCATATTAATGTTACCTTTGCCCTATTTACTTTAATTTAATTGTGTACCAGCACAGTTTTTAAAAACTGATACAATAAGGTTTAACTAACTTACAAACAAATTTAAATATAAAGTTGTGCACAATTTTTAATTTTGTTTTTAAATAATCTAACAACATACATAAAACAGATTCTAAGAATTAACTGGCATACAAATAATATCTCGTATATAGTACAATTTAATGTTAATTTGAATAGTGGGGTATTTATACAATTTTGTAACATTGAGTATATTATATTGTACAGTATATTAAACTCAATGGTAATAATTAAAGAATATCTTTGTAATTACTAATTAGTTATAATATAGGTATTTATTATAGGTAGGTAGTAGGACAGTAGGTACAATAATGTTTTATTACCAAGCCTATTGATTCAAGTTTATTCACACAATACAAATACATGTCAATATTAATGTATGATAAAAAAAAATATAATAGGCTTATCTGTATAAAGTATATATAATAATAGATAGGTGGAGTGAAAGGAATGTAGAAAACAAGGTCAAACATACCTACCAGAAGACTTACAAAAACACAATATTTGACAACAATTTCACAGAACATGTACACAACATATTGTCAAAGAAAAATAATTTAGCATTCATACGTATGTAAAAGATATAATAAAAATGTGTTCTTACCTGGAGAGATGTCTCTAGAATAAGTTTCATCTTTTGAGCCATTATTGGCCAAATAAACAAGAGCATCACGGAATTGTTCAAATGAAACATTAGAGTTCTGATCCAAGAATGACCATAATTGTTTACGTTGGCTAAAATCCAACTGTAATGTTTCACAAAGAGCGTTCACCCCCCTATGATCCAATTCATCATTTTCATCACTATCAAAACTTTTGAATATGTTATACAATTCTTTTTCATACGGTTCTTCCATAATAATTGTGTGTACGAATCATCACCAGTACTGTAAAAACAAAAAGACAATAAGTAAATATGTATTGTTAATATCGACAGTCAATAACATATTATTTGCACAACACGAATAACAAGATTTTTGTACAATATTGATTGATGATAGGTAGGTACTTCACAACAATAAATCTAGACTACCAACCCATATTTATAAATTGGAGAACGAATCATAACTAAAAAATTGGACGTGTTTTGTCATCATGGTGTTGGATAATGAACATATTGAAGCTTAATAATTTAGTGGTGTTCACGGGCAACGGCCACAATATGTCAACACAATTAATTGATACTTGATAGAGGAATCCTTTCAAATTAATAATATTAATACAAAGTCCACTCACCAATTAATTGGAGACGTGATACGTAGCCACTTGATACCCGGTGTTACGATGTAAAACGAATATTAATTGCTTTTACACTAATCGAATGCGGCCCGGAAAACATATTTTCTATTTTCGACGACGACGACGACTATTATTATTATAATTTATAATGATCACACGAAGATACGAAATACCAATCGGAAATTGCTTTTATCAGTCCTTCTGGTACGGTGGTATGGGTGGTAAGAGTAATGTTATCACTGTCCAATGAGGTTGTAAGCTGTAGAGCGCAATCTCACTGGCCACAAGACATTGTTTGAGGTTACTTCTTCTACAACATCGCGAAATTATGAAAACAACAAAATATTAGTAAATACGTTTTCAGAAAGAAAACGAAATTGATTCCTTTAATTTTATAAATTTTGAGTTTTGACATACAGTAACGAAACAGTAAGTCTATTAAACCATTATTATTATAGTTTATAGTGATCGGCTAAGACGTCTACGGCATTTATTGTTCTATGATAACATTTATACCTATATATTGTTCTTAGCTTTAAGTCTTACTTGATAACAAGTGTACTTCGTAGTTCGTACTTTAAGCTCTAAGGATAATATAGCTTTGAACCTTGTAACTTGTATGTAGGTAGTTCTATTATTCATCAAGACTTATGTAAACGGTTTACTTATTAGGTAGTCAAGTATTACTACTTTATACATTGTATAATTACTACCAGCTAGTCAAAAGTTTTATCAAAACAGACAATTATGTAAATGTGTATTTATATAGTTTACTTGTATTATTTAAATTTGAATTATAAAAATTATATATAATTAACGGAAACAAAACGTCTGTTTACCTACCAACTATATAAGTACAGCTTAAAAAACCAAAAGGTTAATACGTTGATAGATCCTAGTGCTGGCTTGGTCTTGAAATCGGTTTTAAACTACCACTTGGCACTTTTAGAAATACATTGATAAACTTTTATCGTGGAAAACTATAAAATAGTAATGCAATATAATATATCGTTCTTAAATCATAATCTAATATCCAACTCATAATTACAAGGCAATATAACAATATCCAAATATTTGAAAAATCAAATATTTTTTTTATTAAATATATTATTTTCTTGCATTTGTTTTTAAGCTCCTCAATCTTATATTCTTAAACCTTAGCTTATTCTGTGTATATTATTTTTAATATTATTAAATTATATAATTTTATATTTTAATATTATTATCTTATATTATTATTATTTAATTATATTATTAAATTATATTTTGTTTAATCATAATTTTATTCATATTTTTATTTTATTTTCAGAAAAATAAATCATGCCACAAAATGAGTATATGGAACGGCACCGTAAGTTATACGGTCGCCGTATGGATTATGAACAACGTATGCGTAAGAAGGAAGCTCGTGAGCCTCATTTACGTTCTGATAAGGCAAAACGTCTTCGTGGTCTCAAAGCTAAGCTCTACAACAAGGAGCGCCGCAATGAAAAGATTCAAATGAAGAAAAAGATCAAGGAACATGAAGAAAAATTACAGAAAAAGAAGGAAGAGAAACCCAAGGAAGGTGCATTGCCGGTTTATTTACTTGACAGAGATGTTCAATCAAGTGCCAAAGTACTCTCCAACATGATCAAACAGAAACGTAAAGAAAAGGCAGGTAAATGGGATGTACCTATACCCAAGGTGCGTGCTCAATCAGACAATGAGGTATTCAAGGTCTTCAGAACAGGTAAATCCAAGAGAAAAGGATGGAAGAGGATGGTGACAAAAGTATGTTATGTCGGTGAAGGATTTACTCGTAAACCTCCTAAGTTCGAAAGGTTTATTAGGCCAATGGCTCTGCGTTTCAATAAGGCTCATGTAACTCACCCAGAACTAAAGGCCACATTCTGTCTACCAATTATTGGTGTAAAAAAGAATCCTAATTCTCCTATGTATACAAATTTAGGTGTTATAACTAAAGGTACTGTAATTGAAGTAAACATTAGCGAGCTAGGTCTAGTAACACAAACTGGTAAAGTAGTATGGGGAAAATATGCACAGGTTACTAATAATCCAGAAAATGATGGTTGTATTAACGCTGTACTTTTGGTTTAAGTTCATAAATTTGTTTTTGTTTCGACTGTAATTAATGAAATAAATATTTTATTACACATATTGGTTTTTTAATTACATTTAAATAGTAATTTTGTTTTCTGCCTTCTGCTTGTGTAAGTTAAAGGTTTGAAATAGTGTTTACGTCAAGTATTGTGGTTTTGGATAAGATGTAATTTCAAATTGTCACAAAGGTAAACATGTCATGGTTTTCATACTTAAAACTTCACATTAGAAATAGTGTTTGAAGTATGAAATATTTCACAAAAGCGTGAAACATTGAAATTTTTTTGTAACACAATGTTCAGTGTTCTAAATTCTAATGTAAGAATTCAGTAGGTATACAATATACATTTATAATATTATATACCTACTTGTATCATTTAAACATTAAAATATTTAAAAAATGTGAATACTATTTTAAATGTATAGGTACCATACAATAATGAAGGTGATTTATGACAATTATATTATGTAAATATAAAATTTATTTAAAAATAAAACAAAATTTATTAAAATAGGTACTGAAATATTTCATTTTTTTAAATTTCATGAAATTTTCAAACACTAATTAGAACTCATTAAATAAACTATAAGTTTTGATATTTCAATACCTATTTAATATTCTAACAGATAATTATTCTACTGGGTGCTGATAAATTTTCTCTAAGTTTCAAGTTTGTGAACCAAGCATTAGAGACATAGTAATAAAATGAAGTATATTTTACTCGAGAAAGAGTATATTACAAGTTTTAAAAATAACATTACTTAAATAAGCACCTCCAATTATATTGCTCTCGACACGAAAGTTGAACTATTGTGTCGAAAATTTTGTGTGGTTATTGTGGATTATACTCAGGATACTGAAAATGTGAAACTATATAATATCATAAACTTACCTTGAACAACGTACCTGTCAATCTTGACTATTTTAGTGTGTAACCACATTACACTTTAATTCAGCAAAACCCAATGCTGCAGCTGCCAGTATGAGACTAATATTATGATGACACATAATTTATATATAAAAAATTAGCATTTGGTTTATAAATGAAAATAGGTTTAGTTATGAAATTACCAAACGATATAAATTATTTAATTATAAACTTATAAGAAATCGTGTTTTTTATATAAATACTTTCTTCATTATTCTGTATTACTCAAACTCAGCATGTACGATGTACCTAGTCTGAACATTTTTTGTTTTCGTTTTGATTCCCTACATTATATTAAAGACATTGTAGACATAGATTGCGTGCATTCCTGTTTCATTCTTATACATATAAGTTTAATAATGAATAAACTTAGTTTTGTTTAATTTCAAGAAAAAAAATAATAAGAAAAGGTACCTTGCGTGTATAGTCGCCGCTATTAAAACATTTTTCAAATTTTAATTGTTCATAATAATATAAGAACTTGTTTATTTTTTTTAAACCAATTTTTACCTATATACGGGGTAGGGTGTGATTCATCAAGCTCAATATGTTTTAATTTAATAACGAATTTTAGAAATTTGAAATTTACTTAAAGACCATATTTTAAAACTTATGAGATTGTATGTATCTACAACTAAGGATTGTCCCGTGGTGATAGAAACTTCTCTTGTTCTAATGAGAACCCTACTATCTTACTTTAAATTATTTATTAGGTATTTTTTTAAAAACGTTGATGTACCTAAATCAAAATACGAACGAGTTGTTTCTCAATTATTAAAATGTCTTTACTAAGGATAAAAAATACATACAAATTATTAAAAAAAAAAAATATAAAATAGATGTAATATTGGATCTAGTACCTATTGTATTATACGTCTTAGTCCTTAGACTATTCCTACAAATTATAAATGATGATAGATTAATATTAAATTTGAATACATTAAAATCACTTTATCCCCCATATCATAAAACCCATTGTCGTGAACCTATTAATTATCATACATAGGTACTATACAAGGTTAAATAACTAAAAATAACTCGTTCGAATTTTAATTTTGATAAGTAGGTTAGGTCAAAAATATCTTCATAAAAATTATCTGATAAATAATAGAAGGGTACTTATCGCATTTAAAAAACAGAATTTTGTATATATATAGGACACTTCTTAAGTATTAAAAAAAATCTCAAGAATAAGTACAACTAAACATTTTCAAAAAATCATATTTTGAATAACTGTGTTATTGAAGAAGAAAAGAGGAGTGGGCAATGGGCATGCATGAGGCGAATCATAGGATCACCCTGTATAAACTATATTGTAATGAAATATATTAAAACGCTTAGAGTAAGGTAGTTAATATTAGTATCTATCTTATTATCTTCTGAATTTCAATGAAAATAATATTAATTACCTAGTCACTTTGCGTTACTTGGAATTCGTGTAGTTGTAACATTTCAGTTGTATCTACCTATTAATGAATAAAACAATGAATTATAATTAAAATGTCATAATGTTTGATATTAATTTTTTAACCAGTGAGTAGGTAGGTACTAGGTAAGTAGTTAAGTATACGAGTGGCTCTAACTATTTTTGTTAATTGGTACATTTTGTTGCATTCCACGTGAAATAATTGTGTAATGACAGATCTAACATCTAACCCAGCGTTAGACAATATAAATTAATGCTCAAATGCCATGGGCCCTGCTTGCGTATCGCAAAATAAGGCGCAATATATATGCAATTTTGTCGCCACGGCCCGTAACATTTGTGAGGCCTAACTATCATCCAGGTCACAGAGACACAGCCGCACAGCATACTTTCTATACTACACTCTTGTCTATTAAAATATTATAGAAATCTGTTATCTAGGTATATCTCTTTTTATAGCCGTAATAATTGTTGAAGATTATACTGATTAGTGTTTGTGCGGTTGTATATACGGGTGCCGGGTTATCTACGCAATCATAGGCTCCAATGGGGGGGGAGGGCTATTGTAATATGCTATATTGCAATGGTCTGCTTGCCTTTAATATATTCAGTCCCCCCCCCCCCCCAAGCCAAAAGTTGAAATTGCGCCTATGGCGATAATCATAAATAAAAAGCATAATTTTCGCTCAAAACACGGGAAAAACTCTCACGCCACTTGGCCCGTAGAGTGGAGTGATTACATTAATTTTTTTTTTTTTTTGTTAGAAAGAGAATGATTTTCTGCTTTAAACAAAAGTTGTGTACGTCAACGTCATAATATTGCGAACTATAATATTGCGAATAATAATGCGAAGAGTATCATTTATAAAAACCTTTCTTAAAACCGATTCAAAATAAATACCAATAACACAAATAGAAGTTAGAACAGACAGCATAAATACTAATATACAGTACCTACATATTACCCCAAAAAATATAATAAAAGTAGCTTACTCTCTTCCGTTAGGTTAGGTTCGTAACACATCCGAGGACGTAACACTAGTATTTTTTGTTGTCTCCGTCTTACCAGTGTGTAACATACCAAGTTTAAGCTCAGCAGAAAAATTGTAGCATCGTTAGTTTAAAAATTAGTGTGAATCGACCTATTATTATGAAACTTGATGGTAAGAACATTATCTTTGTTTGTAAGTTGGTTTTTTAAGATCGTTATAAATAAACTGAGTTATGAGCATTTTTAATTTACGATATTATATTATATATGCATAACTTGCTAAAAAAATTTAACCAACGTACAAATACAGATAATATTCTTACCTCAAGTTTTATAATTTTCACTCTAATTTTTAAAATAACGAAGCTACAAGTATTCTGCTGAGCGTAAATTTGTTATGTTACGCACTTGTAAAAACTTGTCACTTGTCAAATACCAGTCCTCTTAAGCATGCAAAAATACACATTTTGAAAAAAGAATTCCAAAAAAAATAGCTTGGGAGCTTAACTGCGTTTATGGCTTTTGTTTAATGTATAAAGCAATTTTCATACTATAACATCTGAACGTATTAAAAATAACTCTGTTGAATTTCAAATAATTTTTTTTTAAATTTGCTAGAGATTTTGGACTTGCTTCCCTGCGGGGTGATCCGGGTTGGAGTACCACTTGAAAATTAAAAATTGTAAAATATTAGTTTTAATTATTTTATAGTAGCCATACCAACTATATAGTACATTAGCAAAAAATGTATTGGTTTAAACCTGCTTACAGTTAAGATAATAAATTAATTCCTTACCGGAATACTGTGCCAGTGGGTCATATATGATATATGTTCAGTGTGTATTTTAAGTTATATGTAATAGAGATATGGCAAAATATGGGTATGATGTTTTGAGAAAGTATAATAGTAGTGTAGAGTAGGTACATTAGTGATACACAGAGATTTTAGCTAGGAAGATTGCGGATAACCGGTAAATAAAATGAATAATTTTATGAAACGTATGTCTGTCTAAACACATTTTATTTTATACGTATCTACATGGAAAACATTGATCAAGATCACAGTCTGTTGTATTCAATTTTTGTTTACCTGCCTATCTACTATAAAATGTTGATATGAGATACTTTTATTACAACTCATAAGGTACTTCAAAGCTGGATAATTTGTTTGCTGATATTATTCGTTGCTGTCGAGAGAGACGTGGTCGTCGTATCGTTATGGTGGGCCGAGCATAGACAAGAATACTTGCGGGAGACGCGTGGAGTGTGGACTGTATCTATGCGTAATGCGATTGAAGAATGAAGTATGATATTAAAATAAGATAATAATACAATATTCAACTATGCGGTATCGTTTGGTAACTGAGGTAACCGTGATTATATTACACGACACGGTGTAGTGTGAACCCTCCTTTACCTTTTTAAATGTACTATAAAAAAAATTTATAAATCTCCCAAATCGCCGTTATCAAATATCTAAAATCGCATAGTTTTCTGTTATCATAATATGTATAACATTGATAGATAACAAAAAACATTTATTATACACGTCCATAGGGCACGGACTGAAGTGAAACTTACCGTGAAAGGGTTAATTATGAGAAAATGCCGATTCCGATAATGTATGTAAAACCCGTCCGGTTCATCTCTG